CACACTCTGCTGTTTTTCATTGTTATTCACGCGTTAGCTCGAGTATGGGTATTAACATTTAAAAGACCTTTAGGAACAATTTTTCGATAAAACTAGTCGCATCAGCAGTTGAATTTAGCGAACCATTCTCGAAATTTTCGATTCCTTCGGGCTGAGTCATTCGATTAAGGGAATTAACATTCCAATTATCAGCAATTATTTAAGAAAACATTACTTTCACACATTTGAAGTTTATTTGTGCTCGACAGTTCTCTGATCATTTATATACATATCTCTCTCTCTCTCTCTCTCTCTCTCTCTCTCTCTCTCTCTGTCGCTTCTGTAATCAAAGTAAGGAGAGATAGAGAACAAACATACCTGCCCCATCGCTGCTCTCGTCATCGCAGCTGTTTATTAGTCGGGCATACCCGCAATAGTATCTGCCATGACCCCGGCCTGTCCCGATCAGCATACCAAAAAAATGAAGAGGGGTACCAAAGAATTTCTTTTATATTATTTATTTTCTATTCAATTTTTTTTGCTATGTCCCGTGCTCCGATTCTGAATGACGACTGAAGTAGCGCCTGGGCTAAGCAACAGCTTCTTATGGGGCTGCTACTCTGCCAGATACCGAAACCAGAATACCAGACACTATTTGATCGTGCTCTATTTACACACATGTGTTTCATAGGCACTGCAAATGGTGGGACGGATAGAATTTCACATTTAATGCCTATTCCGGGTTAATTCCTTTTGGAAATCCGGCTGTACAGATCCAGTATCGTCAAATATCGGTAAATAGGATTAAAATTAATTACTCAATTTGCGTGATTATCTTAATTTTCCAGAGCACAAATGACGTCGTCTGTCATCTATAGCTGAAGATGGAGGTGTTAATACAAATATTTATACTACTCTTTACCACAATCCCCCTGACTGACTGACGTCATAACAAACACAAGCAACAGCAAAGCCAGAGGCAGAGCAGCCTCCGAATTCAAGTTAGAAAACTCTTCCCAGCACCAAAACCCATTAACATGGCGCGTGTAAGCCCTTGAGCTCCCAGAGAGGGAGCACTTAATAAGACTGTAAAGCTCCAGGAAGTTCTTCAGTGGGGACAGACAGATAGAGTGAAATGAAAATGCATTTGACCAAGTTAAGTTATTTAATTCATGATTGATTGAGCAAGGCACGTTCAATGGATTTTGCCATTCACACAATTCGCAATTATGTTTTCAAAAATATATAGAAATGTCTCGGTCGTAGACCCAGTTTTTCCACAAATATTGACATTAATCGTGTAACGGCTGTAACTTAGGCGATGGATAACATTTTTATTTCACCTTGTAAGCTTTGTTTTTGTCCATCTCTAAGCTATCGATTAAGCGATTATCAAGTGACTGCAATTCAACTCAACCCTGATAAACAGCTGAGCATAGCGGCGGAACCGTTAACAAAAACAAACTGCCTGGCGGGCGGCAATGGCAATGAAAGTGCAATGGCAGTTGTTTACACAAAATAAACAAATGCAGCAGCAGCAGCAGCAAAAAGCAACAACACGATGTGCTGCAACTAAGTGGGTTAAGCAGTGCAGTGCATGCACTGCTTGCACTTTGCCGCTGGCCTTAAACTTTGCTTTCATGGTCACACACTCAAGCCAAGCATAAACAACAAAAAAGGCAAAAGAAACAGTGACAACAGCAACAACAAAGCATAATGTAATTGGTATTGAGAAAAATAAACAAAATTAATAATTAACATTAAATTAATTGCCGCACAACTCGAGTGGAGTGGATTGCAGCGTTGGTACTTTTTTATGGCGCATGTAAACTGCATGCGAAATGCATTTCACGGTTTTCTTATAAATAGCGTGCAGCAAATTATGGGAAAAGCAATAAAAGATGTCACACACAGCGACAAACATACATACAAACGCGCGCACACAGAACAAAGAAAAGAAACAAATATAAATTAAAACAAGAATTTTAAAAAAACGCAAGCTTTGGTATCCGAAACTTTTGGATTACCCTAAAGAACAATCTTTTATCTATCGAAGTTAGGGACAGATTTTGCATAAATAGATCGGACAGACAGAGGGACTGACGGTATGCTAAGGAAAGTTGGGACCCCCAACTTGTAGGTTAGTGTTAATAGATTCAAATTGAATTAGTTAACCACAAGTTCCTGCTGTAGTTTATATTTAAATACTAAATTTAGCAATCAGAAACCAAGGAACACACTGCCGGTAGATAAAAGAGAGAGGGTTTTGTTGGAGGAGGTTGGGGTAAAGTTACGTGGTACAGCGGGGGGGGTGATAGTGTGACAAAAATAGCTTACGTATGGGCCTGCGACGCAATCTGGGCTCATTATTCACGCCGCCACTGTTCGGTGGATTCTCAATCGGCTTCATGTTGCGACGGTCCCACTACTACGACAACAACAAGTGGGTGTGGGGGAGTGGCGTGGCGTTTTGTATAATGTGATCGATTTGTATGTGAAAAGAAAAGAACCAAAAGAAAGATACATAAGGTAAATGTCGAAATAAAAACCAATTTCAAATCAAAGCAATGCAAATACACTCGTGGCAGCACTAATGTTTCAATCGGTAGATCAATGTTCTGGCACGCCTCTGTATTAACGAATTCCGAATGTCTACGGTCACGGTCAGGAAAATAGAACCAGTAAAGTAAATTTTGCCAACTTGCCACTGTTCTGGCCCGTCGCTGTAGCCCCTTCTTGGGTAGTCACAGCATTCGTTATGTAGATTTGGCTACGATTGTGTCCGAAACAATTGTGGATAATTGTGGATAATAATTCTCAAATAAATACACCAAACATTGCAAGTTCCAAAAACTAAAGCTGGATAATGTGCTGACCCGCCACTGTAGACCGTAGATAACAGTGCAAAATAACCGGTTCGACAGCGCCGCCACACTCAACACGCACGCACACATTCACAATTTACATTTGGCAAAAAAAAAAAGAGTTCTATTTCCCGTCTTCCACCCCCTTTACGGTCGTTCTTTGCTCTTGCCTTTCGATGTTATTATGTTTTACCTTTCTCTCCCTCGGCAGAAACGCGAATGATCGAAGGCAACTGAAAGAACGAAAGCGAAAGATCTTTGCCGCTGACCTGGCAAACAAACAATCGCAACAGCAGCAACAACGTGTGAACCAGACGAGCAAAGCAGAGCAGAAGGAAATTGTTATCAAATAAGCGTGACGCTGGCGTTAAGTCGCGCCTGTAAGACACATTTCGAGGGGGTGGCGAAGACGAAGAGAGACCGCTATCAGAGCTGTACTCTGATAAGATAACTTTTTTGAACAGGATAGTTATAGACGTTCTTTAAGAGAAACCGCAACTCCGAAACGATTTTGATAAGTAGATTTCAATATAGTATTTAGATTTTATCAATTAATTATCTGCTAAATTTTCATAATTACATAGTGCATACATATGTATGCCTGCAGTTTCGTAACCTGTGGTTCTTTGGTGACCATGAAATTGACCACGAAACCTGAATAAAGATGAAGATGAAAGAAATAACCAAAAGCATACGCACATTCACATACATATGCATGACTTAAATACACATACATATGCACAAGTGGAAGGCAACTCCAATAGTGGGAAACAAACAGAAGAGTTCGATTGAAGACATTAAGAGGGGAATGCCCTGTTGGCCTGAAGAGAGAGAGAGAGAAAGGGACAGCATTTGCATGCGTTCAATAAACTTAGATTAACAGTTAATCGATTCACCATCGCACTCACTCCAGTGGACAGACAACACGTGCTTTGTCTCTCCTATTGATTTTTACCCCACCACCAAAGGGAGCAGGAGAGCACGGTATGTACGAGTAGATGGGAAAATAACTGCACATTTCCACTGTTTGAATTTCATAATCAAACGAAACGTAACTTTTCCTCCCACAAGGTTCGGATGGTTTTCTTTGATTTTTTTTCGGGATTTACGCCGCACACACGTGTTGTAGTCGGTAATGAGGGATTTTTGTCTGCATATTGATGACTGTTTCGTATTTTGTTTGTTACATTTGTGGTTATGTTTTGGCGAAATGCAGGGGAAGAAAAACAACAAAGGTATTGCCGCTGGTGGAAATGGCGTGGGTGGGCAGTACACAGATGAATGATGAAACACCGAGAGGAGAAGTCGAAACAAACGGAACAAAAACAGAAGTAGTAGTGGCACACACTTACAAGATAACCAAAACGAAATAGTCAACAACATTTAACAATTGGCAAAAAAACAAAAAGGGGAGTACGGTTATAAACACACACACAGGCACACACACTCACATCTTTTCCAGACAACTTTAGTCGCGGTAACAGCGCGAACTTGAAGTTTACTCCTGGCTTCATTGACTTGCAATTTCAAACTGAGGCTAGCGGGGCAACAACAACCAAAGAAAAGCGCAGACAACAACGACTATGCGGCGGCGGCGGCATTTTCCACCCCATTCTGCAACGGACGAGCCACAGCAACAACAAGAACCACAGGAAAGGGGTTCTTCTGGTTTACCCCTCCCAGCATTCAAAACAGCCAGGCGCTTTTGGTGATGGCCGAGCACACATGTTCCGGTATCGATAGCCGCACACATCGATAGTAAATATTTTGGTTCTATATTTTTTTGCCTAAATAGTATAAATAAATTATTTCCTCAAAAAAAAAACAGTATCTTTAATATAATCATTGAACGAAATTTGAAAAAATGTCACAACGGCAATGCATCTGTTTCAACTGTTGCTCAACCGCTACTGCAGCGCGCCGCTCAGATATTTGGAGCGCCCTCTTGCGCAGTTGAAATGCTTCCCGCAGACCGCGCATTCAAACATCCAGATTTATAATCTTGGATGAATTTTTCAATTAAATTCATTATATTATAATATCAGCAGTAATTTAGAATTATAATATCCTAAAATTGCCTATCGATGTATCCTTTTCACCGTTTCTTGCGGCAACTCTGTTTTTGAGCGCACTCCTTTCTCGCTCATTCGCTCAACTGGAAAGCTGGAAGAACAAATTCCACTGCCGAGATCGCCTCAACTCAACCTCTGTGTCTCTACGTTACCACTTTTTGGGATATTTTGACGGCCAAAATTGAGTTCAAGGTGTGGTGTTCGGACGCGGATAAGCTGAAGCTGGCGATCGAATGATATATAATACAACCAGTGCAAGTGCAAGGAACTACGAGAAAGAAAGCAAAAAAAACCCATTTGAGTTGTTTCGTGTAATTTTTTTAACATTTTCGTTACATATATTTTTTTGCCCACTCTCCCTACGTGTGTGCCAGCTAGTTATTCTTATTCCGGCTAGTTCATTTTATATTTAGTTAGTTTTTTGTGTTTTTTCGACCGGTATCGCAGTTTGTAATTAATTGCCCCTGTTACTGTAAGTAGTTAAGGTACGTACGTTATGTAAGAAATTTGTACATATAATAATATATATGCGAATATATACATATGTACATACATACAATTTGGCGTCAAGTATAACATTTTTTGATGATCTCCATTTGTCTTTGCTTTGTGCACCGGCGCCATGTTGAAAATGTGTATACATTGACGATGGTACATATCGTCGTCTCTTTTTAGCGCACTTATACGCTGGAATTGCGAGGCAAAGCACCGTTGCCTGTGTGGAATTGTGGAATTTTAGTTGCTTGCAACGTTTTGAGTATTTTTCGCCTTCCGATTCCAGTGGGTTGTTCTGGAATATTATAAAGCAATTCATTTTTGCGTTTCTAGGTTTCTTTACCATGGAGTCACTATTTATGGAAATGGTACGCCCAGTTACCTCGGGCAGCCGCCAGGCACCAGATCCATTTGACCAATATCTGGAATGTCACGGTCTCTATCGCAAGCACACGGCCCGCGACGCCTCCAGCTTGTTCCGTGTGATTGCCGAGCAGATGTACGACACCCAGCATCTGCACTATGAGCTGCGCCAGGAATGTGTACGCTTTATGACACGCAAGCGTCGCATTTTCGAGCAGGTTCGAAAATGCTCAAAAACCTCTGATTTTTCGCTCTTGGCTAATATATTTTCCGCCTATTTTGCAGTATATCAATGGAAATTTCGACAAGTATTGCAGAGAGTTGGCCAAGCCCAAGACCTATGGCACCATGCTTGAGCTGCGGGCCATGTGCCTTATATATCGGTGAGTGGTACAGGCTTTGGGCGCAGGGCAGCAAACTCAAATATTTATTTTTTTTTGGGGACAGTCGCAATGTGATCCTGTATGAGCCCTTCAACCTGGGTGCGGGTGTGACCTTCAATAGCCGCTTTGTGGAAAACTTTCGCGTATTTTACACCAATGAGAACCACTTTGATTCCGTATTTGAGCGCGAGTATGTGGCATCGGCAGCCGTTTGTCAGTGTAAGTGTACCCACCCACCCACTCGCATGGAGATGCCTTTATTAAGCGATTTCTCCCTCCGTCTCTGCCTATAGCAATAACTTTCAAGATGCTCTACCAGTCGCTGTTCCAGCTGCCCGATGTGAGCTTTGCCGTGGAGAGCATGCTCCATCCGAACACCTTCAAGTGGGACTTTTTCAAGGCCGAATTCGATCACAGGGGCTATATGGTGCGGCTGCGCTGTAGCGATGGCCGCATCTTTACGCTGGATCTACCAGAGCTCACAAAATGCATTCTGGAGAATTTTAAGCTCTGTAAATTCCATAGCAGCAGAAAGAACAGCAGTAGCAGCAGCCTGAGCAACGGAGAGGGCGAAGGCGAGTCGGGACAGGAGTCGTCTGAGCATGATTTACTGCATATGTGTCCGAATCGTTATGTCTCGTGTGTGCGTCAGCTGCTGGATGATGGTAAGAGCTAGCCACCAGGATTGGAGTCTGTCTGTAATGTGGCCTTGTGGCCTTGTGCCTTCGTGTTGCAGGTATCACACCGTTTCCCTACAAGGTGGCCAAATCCTTGGACCCAAACATGTATCGCAACGTGGAATTTGATGTGTGGAATGACATACGCAAAGAGGCAAAGCGCTACAATGTCTATAACAATGATTACAACTTTAAGGTAAAACAAACTAAAGGAAAAGTCCAAAGCCAGAGCACACACACACACACAAGCACACAAACACACACAAGCACACAAACACACGTTCCATCAATGTACACTTTCATCATCCATTCATGTCGTATCGCTTATCCATCTATTATATGTTTTGTCTGTTCTGTTTTTCTTCCATGTTTTTTCGTGTCCTTTGCAGGTGGGCGCCAAGTGCCTGGTGGAGTTCAAGTCGCAGAGAAGAACGTGCCAATACACGGGCTACATACAGAACATCAACGTCAGAAAGACCGAGTGTGTTGTGTTTGTGGAGAAATTTGCCAGAAAGATATTGGTACCTTACATACACCCTTACACTCTTCCTTTCTTATGTTATTCCCCTAACTTTTTCACGTTGCTGCTGCTCCCTGATGGATAAATAAATCCTAATGTGTCTCGATCTCTCTGTCTTTCGTTTAGGTACCCTATGATTCGCTGCATCCGGTGGCACCCGAAGACTTTCGTCCCTGGGATGTGCCCTATCGCCAACAGACGAACATGCAGCGACAGATGCAGCGCGATCATATGACCAAATACTTTAACAAGAACAAGTTGCAAAAGTGGAAGAAATCCAAGCAGATCGATGCGAGTGCCTACTTTCAGCCACATCCACAGACCCAGGCGCATCAGCAGCAGCGTAATCTACGACATTCGGAGCATTCGCGTTCTCGTGAAGATTCGCTAGAGAGCGCATACAAAAGCATGTTGGCAATTATTAAGCTGGAGCCGGAACAGGAAAAGGAGCAAACGCATGAGGAGCAGCAGAAGTCTACGCCGTCAAAAGTCGATAAGCGTGAGCGTGATGAGCGGGTCTTCAAATGGCGTCAGACAACGTCTAAATCGCAGGAGCCATCAGCTTCTGGGCCGGCTAAACCAGCAGCAGGAGCAGCAGGAGGCGCTGGACCCGCTCACTTTGTGAACTACATGACACTGATGGCGGGCGGCGGTCGCAGTGGCCAGGCCCAACCACCACCGCCAGCCTGGTCTGGCTCTCCGCTAGCCGTGCCTGAGGAGGCTTACCGCTTTCCAATGCCGCCGCCAATGATGCCCTTCGGTAGTTATGCACCATCGCCGCAGGGGCCCATTGCCCTGCATCCGCAGCTGCCGTTTATGCCACTGCCACCGCCGCCACCACCAAACCGTGCAGCTCCATCGCTGCTACACCACCCCCACCCGTTTGAGGGACACCCACGTCGCTCGTTTATTTCGAATGTCGGGGAAATGCCGCCGGATATGGAAACATTGCGATACTTCTATAATATGGGAGTGGGCATGCATCTGCGCATGTCGACGATCGGAATGGAATCGGAGTTGAATGCTGGCGGAGCAGAGGAGCAGTTGAGCAGCCTGAACTTGGCCACAACCCCACCGCCCACACCCGATGCCGGTGAGCAGGACAAGGGCAATCCCTTTGGGCCCAAGCGCGGCTCGGGGTCACGTGGCAAGCGTCCAGAGCAACTGAAAGATCTGAACGATACGCTGGCACAGGCTGTGTCCCTCTTGCCCACACCTACGCCAACGCCATCGCCCAGTACCAGTGGCGGCCGGTCGTTCAGCTTTTTTAGCACGTCGCCGGGCGGATTGCCACTGTCGCCGACGCACCTGGTGACACCATCAGGGCCGCCAATATTCTTTCAACCAGGCTTACCGCTAACCACAATGCCCAGGGGTGCTACTGGAGGACAGGTAAAGAGCTGCAGAGATTTCCATTGAATATTATAAAGATTTTGGTGTAAATTTCACAGAATCACTATGCCTGGCCCTTGTCGCCGCCAATGGTGCCTGCTGCCGCCGCTCCACCACTCTTTGAGGTGATGAAAAACTTTCCTAACGATGGCAATCCGCTGCAGCAGCCCAAAAAACAGCCACAGCAGCAGCAGCAGGCGGCCACGAAGCCTTCCCCGGCCAAGAACCAGCCAGCAGATGCCTATGCTGCAGCCCGTCATCAATAAAGGGGGAAGGGAAGAGAGGATTTCCTGAGGGACACCCACCACCGAACCAGCCATGTGTATCAAGCTATCAAGTACAAGCTAAAACATTCCATCAGCATACGCCTTCCATTTGACTTACATTTTTTTTAGATTTACTCACTCACTTTTAAATTTGTAGACTTTTTTAAACCCGTTGAGAAGAACCCCCCAAGATATTCCGCCAGAAGATATACTCTAGTTTTACGATATATATATATATATACATTTTTTTTAAACGCACGCAAGAGAGCATGAGTAAAATTCAACCCAGAGACAAGCAGAGAAAACATCAAAGGAGCACATACATATATCGTATATAATGTTGAACCAACCGAAGATTGCACAATTAAAGCCATGCTCAAGTTCATTTTAAATCTGTAATCTAATCTCACTTTTATGCGATTTTATTAGCTCTAAACAAACAGAACAAAAATCCAAATTAAAAAATCCATTTAATTAACGATGATATTTAATCCAACATTTACTCTACAAAATCTAAATATGCGCGATAAATACATACAAATATACACAACATATATAACATACATTATTCAAATCATTTTCATCAGCTTAAATACAAAGAAATTCGTTGCAAGAAGTAAATAATTTTAAATTGAGAAAATTTGGTACGAGGCCAGGGTTTGCTTTGCTTTTGGCAATGGGTTGTAGATACTGTAGGTCACTGCACTGCGGACAATAAATGAATAAGAATAAATAGCTGATTTTGGAGATATGTATTACAATATACAGACCTGGGGCATCTTTAATGAAGAATCTTGATCCTTTAACTGAATAAAACTTGGCACTCCGATTTGGTATACACAATTTTGAGGCCTTTTAAGAGAGATACAGAACTGACAAGTCTGGGCACTACTTTTAGTTGGATCTAGCGTGACTTACCTTGTGGTATATGTATGTGGATAGTAGTCCGATATTTAAATTATATTTAAAAGCTAGGTAGCGGAAAAAGCTACTAAAATAAACAAAAAAAAAAACTGATCCAGCATGTCTCCTGCTTCACCGTATTTTGCCAATCATATTCAGCACCATCTTGGTAATATCCATCACAAAGTCCATGCGAAACTTGCGTTGGCTGAACGGCAGTGCCGTATGGATTGCATGCCCTTTTGAAACAGCCGCCGCGTGGCTGCTACCGAACCAAAGGCTGACCAGAAGCAGGGCTGTCAGCATATGCCAAAACCAACAAAATTCGCGTCTCATTTCTGATGATTTATTTATGCACTTGCTGCTGCTTTATGCGAACTTGTAACAGATTTTTGTAGTATGTGTTTCGTTGCGTTGACTTTTGGTTGGCGTTTTTGTTGCTGTTGAATGCACTCAATTTAATTCTGCTTACAAACTGAAATCGCTTTGCGAAAATGTCGCATTTTTATGCTGATTTTTCAAACTGGCCAAAAGGGCGTCACCTGACGACCTACATATGTATGTATGGTATTGATGCCATTGTTAACCGCGTGGGTGTGCGTTTAGCGTAATATTATCCATAATTAGCGGGCCGTATAAGCCATTGCCTGGATCATGCACTGGCAAGGACGAGAGATAAGTACATGGTATGTCTATATGATTCTCACATTGCGCATTGAGACTGAACTTTACGCCCAGACCTATCCATTAGTTGGTCGGCAGGTTTGCTCAAGTTTTTGACAACATATTCTATTATTTTGCCGCCTTCGATTGCTCTTATCGATATCGACTACCAATAAGAGTTGCCTAGTTTCAGAATATAAGCAATAACTTACATCGAGCTAAATAAATTAACCTAAAATCTGTATTTTACGCCTTCAGTATGCAAAACGGGAGCGTTTCTTTTAAACTGTAATGTAATTTGTGCAGCAAATTGCTGTTTTTGCACAGATTTGATCCGATATTTCCAGGAAATCGATAGCAAAAAAAGGACTGTCAAGTATACAAAATATGTGCAGCCATTTCGACAAGTGCATTCGAAACTTCACTTTGGAATTTTTGTGCTAAATCAAATGACAGTTTGACATTAGTTATTTTTTCAAATTTTTTATTTGTTTGCAAAGAAACCTGAGTGCCACGCCTTCCATTGTGAATGGGGTGTTTGTGTGCGTGTGGGGATGGGTGGGACGTTCAAGCTGTGTAAAAACATAGTAACTAAACGCCAGAGCCAGCCACTGAAAGGCCGACACGCAGCATCCCAACCTAATAGGAGGGAGCCGAGTAGGCGCTGGGTCCGGCTGGGCCGGGACCACCATAGTGCTGATGGCTGTGACCGTGATCATGACCCTGGTCGTGACCGCCACCATAGTGGCCCTCGCGCTCGCCAGCAATGTTGGCCAGGGCGGAGAGACCCTGATTGCCACCCTGCAGCAGCTGGTAGCCGGCGCTGGCAGCGGCGCTATCTGCACCAGAGGCATAGGCGGGCAGTGCTTGGCCGGGACCGTGCTGGTGGCTGCCGCCATGACCGGAACCGTGCGAGCCGGATCCGTGACCTCCATGGCTGTGACCTCCGTGGCCGTGTCCGTGGTGAGAACCCTGGGAGCCGCCGTGGGAGCTCTGTCCGTAGCCCTGCTTGTTCTCATTGACGAAGTACTTCTCTGCTGGCGGCTTGACCACATTGACGAACACGGGCTCGACCTTGACGCGACGTGGGTGGTGCTTGACGTAGACCTTGCGGAGCACGATTGCTGGGGGCTTGTGCAGCACAACGGGTGCGGGCTTCACCACCAATGGAGGATGATTCACCAGCACCTTGGTGGGCGGACGCTTCACAATGATGGGCGCTGGACGATGGATCAGAATCTCGCCCTTGTTCTGGGGATAGGTGATGGATGAGGTCAGGGTGTTACCCTTGGTGTTCACCGGCTTGTAGGGGATGTTCTGATCGGAGCCATAGCTGCTCTGTCCAGAGGAGCCATAGCCGCCGCTCTGTCCGGCCTGGGCGACGCCCGAGGCGTCGGCACCCTCGCCAGCTCCAGGTCCACCACCGCTGATGGTGTACTCGCCGCCATTGCTGCCGGCAACACCGCCGGCAGATACTCCGGCGGATGCATCGGCGCCTCCATCATTGCCACCTGGACCGCCACCGGCCCCGGGACCGCCGTAGCCCTGTTGCGCACCATAGCCATTGGCACTGGCGCATGCCTGCAAAGAGAAGAGAACGGAGACGATTGTAGACCATGGCGATCATCTGTGTGGAGTACGCTCCACTCTGTATTGGTACGTACGATGAGGCAGGCGGCCAGAGCCCAAATGTAGCTCTGTCTTGTCATCTTTTTTCCCTGTTGCAGTTCCCAGTTGGCGCTCCGATGATGGTGCTCCCAATTGGATTGTCTGATGTCTTCTGCTGCCCTGCCTCACTCGCAGATTTCTTTAAATATGCTCTGGCGTGGCAGTACGTGACATTTGGCCAGCCACAGGCCCGGTTCCAGAGCTGCCGGCTCCCCCCAGCTTGTTCCGCTCTTCATGTTCTTGTTGTGGTTCTTCTGGTTGTTGTTGCTGCCGCGCTTTTGGCCCACGCGATGCGAACGAAACATGGCCAAATGCTGATAGATCGCACGCATCGCACATCGCGCATCGCACCCATATCACGGCTTCTTACGTAGAAACCAAAAACAAACAGCACCAACAATCGAAACTTTTGAATCTCTCAGTGCTGCATATCGAGGTCCGAACGTCTGCGTTGAGATTGCTTGCCGGAAAATAGTTTCCGCATTGGCCACCCCATGAAATCGTGAGTGTGTGGCACAAGCGAATGGAGCAAAGCTAAGATTTCCCATCTATCTGGCCATCTCAAGGATTGAACGCTGCCCTAATGGGACTGAATCATAGGTTTTTGGTTTAAAATTTCCATTTGATTGGCTTTAGTTTTGTTCAAGTTTTCATTTTATGCTCTCTTTCAGAGGCCCAACAGTCGGTCGCATGGAACTAAATGTGGCTTCAGGATGTGAGGAAATGCTTGCTTTGGAATCATGGAAGGAAATATATGTACCTGCAGAGCGTCTCAGTTAATGGGCAGATGGAACAGCTTCTCTGAGAGGATTATTTGGAGATTTATTGGTAAGAAAGTGCCACATTTTATGGGTTCTGTAGAACACATTCAACAGATTAGTTATTAATATAAAGAAATGAGCTTTTTGTGCAAAATAGGGCTATTATTTATTTATTTGTAGACTCTGTAAAACATAAGCCACAGGACAGAAGACAGCCATAGCTGCTGAGCTTTCGGCTGGTAAATGTTATATTGTATTTCATTTATTTAGTTAAGAATTAACTGCTAACAATAGACTAAGATAATTGCACCAAAGTGTAAATATTACATACAATATTTTAAGCTTGAAAGTAATGTTTCCGGGCATAAGTTAGGGCAGAGCAAAGAGCATTCGCTTAGTGGCTTAGAGCTTTTAAGAACTATTAACTGTTAAGAAAACTATCAAAAGAACACATTTAAAAAGCAAATCAAACTCGTTTTGCTTACAATGTGCCCTGTATAATCCATATGCATGCCTGCATTTATTTAATTATCTATTTAATCTGTAACAATGTGATGCATATACAATCTTCTTAAAATTATTTATGCACAGGGATCGCCATCTGACACAAACAATCAAAACTACTACTGCTCTATACACTTAGTAAGCATCAAATAAATATTTATCTATTTATTTATTTACTCTGCGAACTTCAAGCAGGGTGGGGGAGACTACTAGTAACCATTTAAGTGTTAAATCAAGTGCTGCAATTATTATTATAATAATGATTATGCGCCTTTGGAGTGTCAGAATACTGTACATTCTCCAACGGATTTTTAATTCAAATTTGTACGTATCAACAGACAGTAGCTATACATTATCGTATTGCTATAAAAGTAGGCAATCGTATATGTGATTGCATATAATTTTATCGAGAAGAAAAATGTTGCCACTTGATGCTGATTTCATTTGCAGATTGCTTCAGATATGCCAAGAATTTCTATATGTATAAAAGCTAACGAAAATACGTACAACTAGTGTGAGAAATACATTTATTTGTCAGCCAAAAGCCACAGTAGCTACACCCTGACCTGCCGCTTTTGTTTCTTGCCCTAAGCTCTCAGAGTAAATAAAGCAACAAGTAAGTAGTAGGTAGTAGCTTGGATTGCTTGCATCAGGGGACCTTCCCTGCGTATAAATAACCTTTCAGAAGATTGCATCTGCGTATCCCTGTATTATACTTTGTGATCCTTACGAGTAGATTCTTTTATGTCGAACTCACACGAGTAATGCAATCAATTGCGAACGATTCCAACTCCCAAGTGGAACTCCATTCCCCTCCCTTTTCCCCAATCCGGTCAACAACATTTGTATATTTTAAGCATATTTTCCATTTTTTATTTGCATTCAGCAACTGGCAAAAAAAAAACAAATTTGTTAAATTAAACAGCTGCTCCGGGAGCAGTCTCCTGGCCAGGAGGCCAGGAGCAGGAACCAACTCTAAGCTGGCTTAGTAGTTGGCCTGGCCGTAGGGGGAGGGGCTGTTGTAGAGGGGTGACTCGTTGCCGCTGGCATAGCCATCGGCGGAGGAGGCAGCACCGGCAGCGGAGGCGGCACCAGAGCCACCGTATGACTGGGGCTGGTTACCGTACGACTGCTGCTGTCCGTAGACGGGGGCAACGACCGGCGCCAGAGGTGCCTCGATCTTCTTGCCCGGCTTGTAGACCTTCACGTAGACGGGGTTGAGGCTGAGCGGGGTGGGCACCTTGTTGATCACCTCCTGCTGGTAGATGACCGAGGGCTTGATCTTGTAGATCACGGGGTTGCCGCGCACCACGGTGGGGGGTCCGCTGTTGACATGCGCTGGCGGTGCACCCGGCTGGTGCACAATGATGGGGGGCAGGGGCTGGGTGGCGATCACCTGATGGTTGTTGTGGCCCGATGGCACCAGCAGGGAACGGAACAGATGCTGATCCACAAACTGGGGCGAGACCACATTGATCTTGCCCTGGCGGATGTTGCTGGCGAGATTCGTTTCGGCCAGCGACTCGGCAATGTCCTCGGAGTTCTTCAGCTTTTGGTAGGTGGGATTGGAGTTCAGAGCCTGCAGCTGGGCCTGGACACGACCCAGGCGACGTGCCTCCTCTTGCGTGGGCTGGATCTCGGCCTGGGCCGCGATCTGGTTGGCCGCTGGCTGCGAGCCGCCCGTCGCCACGTTCACGTACTCCTCGAGGCCACCGGAGGGGCCACTGGGTAGATACTGAATGGGTCCATGTCCATGGCCGGGACCACCATGGCCACCTCCACCTTGACCGTAGTTAGCGCTTACCAGCTGCACAGAGAGATGCACAAGAAGAGATGGATGGATGGATGGGCTTGGGTTAGCTTTGGGTATGGATCGAAATGGCGGAGGTCGGTCTGGGACGGGGTCTTACCGGTGCCGCAGCGATGGCGAAAATGCCAAACCAGAGTCCGAGTTGCATGTTGCGGGGTTACGTGTGTGTTGTCTACTGTTCGGTGTCTGGCCCAGGGGCTAGCTCTTTATAGCGCCTATAATCGCCCCCAGCCATGGTCGGGTACGTGATCTTTACCAACGATTTGCATTTCCGATTTTGGCTCACCTTTTGTCTCGCCAATAAACAGCAACACCCAGAAAGCCAACAGCCAACCAAGCCAACAGCCAACCAAGCCATCAGTCAACCTCCTCTAACTTCTCCGCTGCGCTCCACTTCACTTCGTGCTTCACTCCGCTCAAATCAGATCAGATCAGTTCAGCTCAGATCTGCCTGTCTGTCGTCGCAATCTCATCTCTCTGCTGCCATTGGACATGGGCTCATACATACAATCATACTGCCCGATGGCTAACCGATCTCCAGCCCAATCTTTGCCGAATCAAAGTGCAAATGGAGACGCTTGGCTTCTTCAGGGGCTCAAGTTGAGTGTTTCTCTGCCTCAAGGTGGGTTTTTTGTACCAATTTAAAGATTGGTTATGCAGCAGATCTAAGATTCAGTTGAAATGTTACTTAGTTTGGTTTTTCCAGACATCGGATTTGAGTTTTCTCTGATTTTTCGAATGCCTCTACTGGCTGGGAGAGCAATGCTCGCAGATTGAAGAGCAAGCAGCTGCAGTAGAGAGTTTTTGCGTTTTTTAATGGAGTGAAATTTTATAGCTGGAAAATGTGGCAAGACTCGAGAGAACGTGTTGCAGCAGCTCAAAGATCTTTGTTCAACTGCAGTTCCCCATTGAATATAAAGAATAAAATACAGTCTAAGAGCAATACCCATTAATACCCAATCACAACCTATTTGTATCCACTATCGAAAGTTATTTCGAATCTTGAATCACTTCCTCTTCCCACTTAGATCTCTTCATTGACTTCCGTTTCGTAGCTACCAATGGAAGCACCATAGGTTTTCGCTTTCTTTAGCTTAAGGGAGTTATGATCTCCCTTCGCGGGGGATGATTTATTCTCATACCTCCTCCCAGCAATCGAAACATCAAAGTTTTAGTACCAGAAGCTCCCATAGTCTTCCCACTAACAACATCAACCGATTGGCTGTGGTTTATCTCATTTTATTTTGTACTTTCCCCTTAATATTTCTTTTCTGTATGTAATGTGTGGTTTTGGCTGAGCCAATTGCAGGCCCAGGCCTTAAGTCTAAACTACTCCTAGAGTCCCCGCCTGTACAGGAGATAGGTGAGATCGCGTGTGGGTCGACTGCCGTAGTCGTTGAAGGGCGACTTGAATGGCAGTTGGCTGCCAAAAGTTTCCGACTCATCCTCGTCGGGGGATCGCTCGGTGCCACCAGCCGCTTGAATGGCGGCCGCTGCTGTGGCTGCTCCCCCCGGACTCGATTGGGCCGCATGCAGCTGATCCTCGCTGGAGTTGATAATGGTGCGAATGGGAGGGCGATGGTTGATGTAGTGCACTTGTTGCTGCTGTTGCTGCTGCTGTTGCTGCTGTTGCTGCTGCTGCTGTTGCTGCTGCTGCTGCTGTTGCTGCTGTTGCTGCTGGGTCTTGCGTGAGTGTGGTCTTTGATATCTGTGTGTGCGTGGCTGTTGTTGGTGTGTGTGTGTGTGTGGCTGCTGGTGTAACTGTGTGTGTGCTCGGGGTGTGTAGTGTTGTGCATGTTGCTGTGTGTAACCATATCTCTGCTGCTGCTGCTGCTGCTGCTGGATCAGATATCGCTGCTTCATGGCCAAGGCTTCACCCTCGAGACCCTGCTGCTGCTGCTGATGCTGTCGCTGCCGCTGTCTGGGGGAGTTCCGTGGCATATAGCGAGCTCTAGGTTGCTGCTGCTGCTGCTGCTGCTGCTGCTGCTGCTGCTGGTGCTGCATGGATTCAGGCCTCTCTGCCCCCGGCAGATACTCATGATGCACCTCCTCGTGAATGCCATTCTGTGTCTGATTGATCAAACGATTGTACTCCTCATTGGTGCCGCCCACCTGCAGGTGAATGGCATGCTTAAAGTCATCCCCAAGGTGCTTCATCCAGAAGTTGTCATCCACCTCGCCCGTGGTATAGATGCGCGTCGTCTGGCCGCTCTTGGGCTTGCCCACCACCGCATTGGTGGCAGCCAGCACATCAATCACATCGTACTCCTGCTTGGACGCCGAACCACTGCCCGGAGGCGGCAACTGCTCCACGCGGGCCGCCTTCCGCAGATCGCCAGTGAGCAGGCGATCGGTGGTCTCCGGTATGGATGGACTGGGACTGGTGGCTTCATCGTCATCTATATCCTCACTGGCCGTCGTATCGTCGATATTCTAAATGGGGCTTGAACTTAGTTTGGCTCTTGGTTCTCTGCGGGCGGGGGGTAAACTCGGAGACTCACCTCTGGCCGGACTCGGCCCAGGGCCAGCGTCAGCGTCAGCAGCAAGAGCAGCAGGGGCCAACTGCAGTGGACTTTGTCTGCCATCTCGGTGCAGTTCGCATTTGACTGAAGCCGCTGCAGCCAATGGATTCCATTTAAATAGTCACCAATAATTGTGACTGGCACTGCCACTGCGTGAGCTGCTGCCATGAATGCTCATGTTACGCGCCACGAAATAAAAAACGGAAGAATACCGTGCCGGGACGTGATCTATGGGCAGATATTCTGATGTGTATCATCAACGAATCTCTGCTGATCTTGATGCGTCAGGCCAGAGATCGTACGAGCCAGTGAACACCACTCACACCCAGGGCCATTGGAAATTGTTTTTACTGAATGGTTTAGCCAGTGGTCTCCCTCTCCCTCTCTCTCTCTCTCTCTCTCTCTCTCTCGGTTTCTGATAGTTTCTATAGTGCAGTTCTTGTCGTCGTTTGGCATTGAGTGGGGCGCATGTCTAGCAGCCAAAGGAATACACGAAATATATTCCACAAGACTGTCTTCCCATTTGATTTCTTCAATGCTGTTTGCTTGTTCGTTTTTTCTTGTGTGCCGCTCGAGCTTATCTCTCTCTGTACATTTTTTGGCTTAAGAATTTACTGGCTTGAATGATCCAACAATTTGTATGTACTATGGCAGCGGCAGCCATTAACATTAACAGATCGTGATTAATCATTAATACGAGTACTCGTACCCACATACATACATACATACACACATACATATGTGGAATAATTGAGTTAACAATACATTAAATTCCATGTCGAACTATTGGTAATATTGCATATAATATTATTTGTGGGCCTGTTCATATCGTTTTTGGCGCGAACATTTCAATTATGGCAGTAATATTTCAATAAATATTGAAATATTTTATCCCAACCACAGAGACCCTGCTTGCCCAAGACACACACAAGATGATTAAAGTAGCACGCACCCTTTTTGGGAAGGTATGAATATATGAAGATTTCAACACAAACTAACTAGAGAAAATGCTTCGTTTATCAACGTAGCAATTGAATTTGTACCCAGCCCTTTTATATTTAAAAATAGCATCAAAGTATTTTGGCAATCACCTTCAATACTTTGGAATACACAATAAAACATTTTCTCATTCTCACAGCGCACAGCTCGCAGCTCGCAGTCTGGCAGATACATCAAAATGTGTTCTTCCAGGTAAGTAATATTCACAGTCTCTAATAGTGCACGTAAAATTAATTTGTATTGTTCTACAGCAGTGCGTGGGTATTGCAATGAGATTTCTTTGCGTGCCTGGAACGGCAACAATAGGAGGTCTTACTTCCAGGTGAGTGCCGTGCATTCCTTGGTCTTGGCGTCTGTTTGCTCCCCTATCAGTCTGCATTTTACGGAGATCCCTCTTCTGCTCTGCAGCCGTGAGCACTCCATGTCTTTGCTTCTTTGCCAGCCATCCTCTTGGAAGTACCCCTTCGTCGTACACGTCCCACTCGCAGGACTTTTCATAGATTAAATATTAAGGGGAAGGCGAATAATTTATTTAAATGCAATTAATTATTTCATTCTGTTGTGAAAAAATGACCCCCAACTGAAAAGTGCATTTTTTGTTTGGCATACTTTTGGGAGAAGTTCTCAAGAAAGAAATTCGGCGCATGCAAGCAACCCCCCTTAAAAATCGAATCAAGCATATCCAAGCATTTTAATCAAAAGCAAATATTTTATTAAACTCTTAATGGGAGCAACAAAACCAAACAAAAACGTTGAGCTGCAGAGAACAGAACAGACAAAGGCGAAACGTAGACAGAAATTTGTGAGGACAGAGAGAGGTAGAGAGGTAGAGAGAGAGAGAGAGAGGAAAGGGATAGGTGGTCAGAAATCTAGTTACATTTATATGCAAAGCCCCCGCCCCCCACCAGAATGTTGCTCCACTGGCCTACATTCGGAGACCTCATTCGGCCGACCTCAGCATATTGATTGGGTCTGGGTTTTGGTTTGGGGTTTTGGTTTTGGTTTGGGGTTTTGGTTTTGGGTGTCTCTTCAGTAGCCGTAGCCGTCATCGTGGTTGCAGCTGCAAAGAGAAGAAAAAACGAAAGCGAAAAGTGAATGAAAAAGAAACTCCAACATCATTTTCAATTTATTATATTCAGTTTTTGTTGTTGTGGGAGTGGTGGTGAGGGGTGGGAGGGGGGGGACTTCTTAGGGAACTACGTAAATTAGATGTAAGCTAGAGATCACTCTCTGGGACTGGGGGAACTAAAACCAGGCTCGCAGATACTCGGAAATGGGTGGCACATTGTAGGTGTCGACACTGTAGCCATTCTGGACATGACTGTTGTAGCCATAGGTCTTGGCGGGCGTCGTGGAGTAGTCGGCGTGCAGGGCATGCTCCGGCTCGGTGGTCGACTCAAAGCCCCAGCCGCCGAGGCGTCCGTCGATGAGCTTCTTGAGGAAATCCGTTGTTTGCCTCTTCTGATTGGGCTCCGGATAGTGAGTGCTCGACTCCAGATAATGTGGGTGCGGATAGATGATCTGCGAGATGAGTCTGTCCAGCTGTGAGTCGGACACGTGCTCCACGGGATAGCCACCGCCAATGCCCAGCATCGGAGAGGCATAGCCACGCCGCGTCACCGATTCCAAGTCGCCGGCAAACTGCAGCGGCGTGGAGCCCCGCTCCAGCGGATCTGGCACCGAGGTGGTCGACAGCAAACTGCGTAGCTGCTCGTCATCCACATACTTGTAGTCGTCCTGCGGCAGACGCAACGGCGATGGTATCTGCAGCGGGTAGTAGCCCAAGGCGGCACGCTTGGAGGGTATGGTATTCTGCTGTTCCATCGTCACTGGCAGCTCTGTTTGGTCCTCCGTCGGCTGGAACTCTTTCCCAGCCTCTTCGGTGGCTGGAGGAGGAGGAGGAGGAGGAGGCCCGACTGCTGTCATAGCGCCACAGCCCATATGACACTGGCCCGGCTGGAAGTTCGGATTGAGCGTCTCCGGCATAAACTGTATAATCTCGGGTGCAGTCAAATCAATCTGGGCACGTTCCCGCTCCAGCAGATCGAATTCTCCTTTGATATCACGCTTGCTCAGCCGCCGGCCCAGACCCAACCAGCCAGCTGGGGTCTTCTTGGTCTTTCGCTTCGTTTTGGGACTTGAGACTTGCTCCTCCGGTGGCGTCAGGCCAAAGAGTTTTCGTTTCTGCTTCTGCTGGGCGGCCAAATCCTTGTGATAGAGCTTGACATAGCGAGGTGGTCGCTCTTGGAGCTGTTGCTGACGCATTAGACGCCTGCGGATCAGAGAGCCGGGCGTGCGCAGCTCACGACGCCGACGTATGGCATTGGGAGACCTTGAGCCTACTTGAGCTACTACATACCTTGGCTTGGGGCTGGAGCAGCTCGAGCAACTGCAGCTGGACGTATGCTTGGCAGCACAATCTGTGAAGGATAAATGCATTTTTAATGCTTGAAGGCAGCTGCTGCTGAATTCTCGTCTCCACTCACCTCCTTTGTTGACCGTCACCCGATCCACTTTGGCATACAGCTTCGATTCCGGATACTTGGGCGGCGGCGGTGTCCGTGGCTGTTCGACGGTGAAGTCGAAGCTATAGCTGATCTTTGCCTTGGTCTGCACCGGCTTTTCCACACGATAGCCATAGTCGCTGGCCCCGTACTTCTTTGGCTTGGGCGGATTGGGCACATTCAGCTGATATCCCAGCTGGGTGGGACAGGCACAGCTCTCGCCCGTATAGACAACCTCAACAGGAGCCGCCTGCACAAAGGCAACGGCCAGGCCCAGTACCACTGCCAGGCCCAGAAGGGTTATCAAGTGGCGCATAATTTTGGATTTTGGATTTTGGATTTTGGATCTGTGTGTGCGGATCGGATCGGATCGATGTCTGCTTTCGTGTCGGCCGTTGTGGCTACTACTAGCCGCAGCTTTAATTGTCGCATTCTTTATATGGAACCATTGCATCCACTGGCGCAATCTCTCACGCAGCAGCCGGCCACTGACCACGTCTCTGGGCTTGAGGTTGGGCGACTAAAAACACAAACACCGTGCAGCAGCTCGTTGAACTTGAACTCAAGCAAGGTTTTTCTCTATATGCTCTCTCCCCTCTCGTGTGGTTGTTTTTGGGTTTCGCTGACCTTTTCAAATAATTTGCATTTGCTTTCGCATTGGCTCATGTTTTCCACCAAAAGTCATGTTCCCAGCTTTCGCTGGTTCTTTCAGTGTCTTTCAGCGTTTAAATTGGCTAAATCCAAATGTTTACCGAAATTAATTTGCTCATTTGGCTGGCTGGGCTGCACGTGCACTTATTTACACATTCCAAGGATGCCATGCCACACACGAAAACAGTGCTGGAAAGGGCTGAAGGCAGACATTACGTTCTCGCTCGCACTTAATTAGCTCTTACCGCCCTCGCATTCTCTCACACTCATACATAGAACACGCTCACTCATAGAACTCTCTCACCTATAGAACTCTCTCACTCTCTAATAAAATATGCAAATAACAAGAACAACGGTGCAGCAATGTAACGGTATCGGATGCACAGAAGAAAAGAGTAAACATACATACATACAAGCATGCACACATGCACAGCCTACTTACAAAATGTAAACAAAGAATAATTTTAAATTTTAAATTAAAAAAAAAATATATGTTAGATCTAGTAGTCCATACGTATTTGTAAATCATCAGGGAATTGCTAGTTTATTCAGTTCGTTCGGGAAGTCGGAGTGGAGCAGGTCGGAATAAAATTAAAAATCTAAAATATCCAAAAACGTATTTTTTGAAAAAAAAAAAAATGAATTCTATTCTTGTTAAATTCTTTTAAAGTGTAAAAAAATGAATCAAATAGTTTATCCAAAGTGCTGTGAGTGTTCATTGACCACGATGTATTGAGAGTTTACATTACTTACTCGTGCGTGCAGAAATTAATTCATTGCCAAGCACATATGTAAATTCTTTGAGTGTTTGCGTGGATAGCCAGGCCAGACGAACCGCATATTTCCTACGGTCTCTTTTCTCTGGGAGAATTTCTTGTCGGTCTCAGTAATAATCGACTTCTTTGAATTAGAAAAAATGCGTATTATTTTGACAGAAAAATCAAGGTAGCTGTCATTCCGACCACCTACTCGTATGTACATACGTACATATGTATGTATGGAGACCAGCATATTTCCTCTGTCAGAGTTTCTTCTTGACCTACTTTAAATAATACAAAAATTCTCTTTATTTTTGCAGGACTTGGCTCCGCAGAATCCTGCTTTGTTGGTACTCAATCGGCATAAAAATCCTCGCTGGTCGAGTCTGTCTTCGCTGCTAGATCCTCCTGTGATGGCGTTGTCTACACTGTGGTTTCCTTCACAGGAGATGCCCTTTTCGGACAACCTCTCTGCTGGAAACTGACACCAAAGATCGATCCGACCTCCATGGAGAATGGCTCACTTTCTTGGGGACTTCCTTACAGCTAGGAAGCTTCGCCGATTGTTTCTGTTGGTGTGTGGTGCGCCTTCGCTTGAAGAGCGGTGACGTCAGTGTTGACGAATGTTAGGCCCAGCCAACGGCATGATGGGTATCTCTTTGCGAATGTCTCGCAGAAGTTTGGCCTTTGTGTCGTAGATCCCATACACTGCATCAAGCGTCTTGCCTCTCATAAGGCACAATAGCTTCTGTACCTCGTCCTCCGTCGAGGCCTCAGATTCAGCTGCTTTCAGATGCAGATTCGACTGCTCGATCCGTTAACTCTCCTCCTTGTATTTTTGGGGCCAGGGCCTCTGCTCTCTCGGGCTCGTCTTCGGCGTCTTTCTTTTTGTCCGCTATTGCATCAACGTATGTGGTGATGATAGAATATTTGCGTGTTGTCGACATAAGTCGAATTCAAAAGGATTCCCCTTGCAGTCGAAGTTCGAGGAGTCGGAGGTGAGTCGAATTAAAAAAGCTTTTTGCAATCAAAACAAAATCTCTGCAATTTGACAGGAAAAAGGAAAAGTAAAGTGGCCTGTAGCCTACCCCCTACACGTGCTGGGATGGAATTGAAAGTGGTTGCAGTCCGAGAAGTGCGCGCAGTCCGATGTAAGTCGAATTCAAAATTAAAGCCTAGCATAAGAGACTGAAGGGTCGGAACTATTGCTCTTTATTTTTATAGGAAATTAAATATAGTTGTTCCTGCCGGCTCATCATCGTAGGACTGCTGTGGCTCTCTCCTTCTTGAAAATTAAGTAAGTCCTCAATCATTTTCAATTTCAATTTCAATCGGCTTATTGAGCTAGTTTTCAGCATGGAAAACATCAAACTTCGACTACAATTAAACATTCGATCGACCCCACATCCGGACAAATAGAAGAAGGCGGAGAACGAGGCACTGCGGGCACATTCACTGGTCGTCAAGTTCAAGATGGAAGAGAAACCAGTCAATCAGCCTGTGTGAATACAGACGTTGGATCCACAGACAAGAATATAGCTGAAACGTAGGCTCCGACGAAGGAAGGGGTGGCAAAACTATTATGCCATATGCGCGGCAAGACGAATGTTTGATGGGCTGGATGGGGTCTACGATCCAAAGACAAAACTTCTGCAGGACATCCACAAAGCGAAAGCCATCATACCATTGGCTAAGGCCTGCCCTCCGTCAGCGTTCCCGGCACCGCATTGCAAGCGGACACGCACCACACACAAATAGAAACAATCGGCCAAGTCTCCACGCTCTAAGAAAGTTCTCAAGAAAGTCAGCTTATTGTCCATTGAGTTGGGAACGATCTCTGGCTAGTTCTGCAGGGAACATGGTCCAAAAAAGGGCAACTCCAGTGAAGGCAGCAACAGTATAGACACCGCCAAACAACGGTGGATCTAGTCGCGAAGGCACATTCGTCCAGCAAGGACCTCTATGCCCATAAGGAACCACCCAAAAGGACGTCCGCTCGAGCCAAGTCACCTGCAAGGCCGCCTGTGGCAACGACTCCGATAACCTAAGAACTCTTCTGAACCTAAGAGACAGTTAGAGTTACTTGTTAGTGTTACTTGTTTGAGAATATATTATTTATGTTACCAAATCTTTGATGTTTTATCCACTCGCTTTATCAACATGTTCTCCCTTTGATCGTTTGCCGTGGCAAGTTCCCGTATGCGTGTGCAAGGTTTCTAAATCTGCACAGAAGGGAAAGTTTTCGACCCCTTAAAGTATACATATATATTCTTGATCAGCATCAGTAGCCGAGTCGATATAGCCCATGTCGGTCTGTACTTCTCGATGAGTGCCTAGCTCTCAGAGACTTTAAGAGCTAGAGGAACAAAATTCTGTTTCCATACTCATGTGATATCACAGTGTTACAAGTGTCATCCACAATTCAGAAGTTACGAGAAGAACCGAAAACGCAGTATCGTAGAGAATGATCATATCTATCAGATTGCCGAATCGGATGGGAGCCAGTGGCTGCCACAAACTAGCAGATGACAGCCAAATAAATGTAGTTTAATGTATAGACACATGTGTGGTTTGTTTGTTTGTTTGTTTGCATAAATAGTGGATAGTACGTACATATATTTAAGCTCTAAGCCAGCCAAGCATCCCTTCATTCCTTAGCATAAATAGTAGATATTTACAATCGGAAGTATCAGAGCAGGAAATGCCTAATAGCAGCTACCAGCATCCGGCTCCTGGCGATTCGCATTGCGGTAGGAGGTAATGCGTCCCGGCTTGAACCCACAGTCAACGGAAACCTTGCCGGCCACCTTGCCGTAGCCATCGCTGTAGGTCTTGGAGGCGTAGCTGCTGGAGCCATAGCTCGAGCGGGTACTGGTTATTTTCTTGAACTTGGGGTTCTTGAACTGCTCGGTGATGTAGCCCAGCTGCTTGTAGGTCAACTGGGGTGCCGGCTCATCATCGGAGGACTGCTGTTGCTCGTCCTCCTCGATGTACTCCTCCTCCTCCTCCTGCTTGGCAATATACTTGGGCTTCTGCAGGGTGATGACCTCGCTCTTCAGCTTGAACAGATTCTCCTCGGGCACATTGGAGAAGGTAACCTTTTGCACACCATCAACAGGCTTTTGGGCGAATCCATAAGCCAGCTTCGCCTCCGGCACATTAATGGCCTTGCCGGCCTGGGCTGCCAGGCTCACACTAATGGGATCTGCGGCCGGGCTGTTATCTTCCGTCTTCTCGGCCGCATATGCAATGCTGTAAATGTGAATGATCCATAAGCAGTGGATTAGTACATGGCTTCATAATGGGGATGGATGCACTTACTTGCCATAGCTGGAACTGGAGCTGGAGCTGCTGCTGTAGCTATCGTCGCTTTGCTGGCATGCGCAGGTGGGTTTGCATGGTGTCGTCTGTGTGTAAATGATCGAGAGTTTGAGGGGTATCGTTATAAGGTATCGAATTTGGTTTCTATCATTTCAGATTGTTGATGCTTAGAAGCACGTTCGGAGCGATAGTGATGACGGCGAAGAGCATAATGATGGTGAAGTTTACGATGACGAGGCATAGCTGAAGCTCTGGTTACTATTGCAACCCACGACTCACTCGCGCGGCCCTCTGATAAAACATGCGATGCGGAAATACTTAATACTGCAGCTGAGGATGATGATGTTGTTCATGTTGATGATGGATGTGCGCGCACTGATACAATTAGTTACTGGTCCAGGATCTATGGTTCTAGGACTGGTTCTAGGACTTAAACTATAATGGATGGTTAGTCATGGAGTTAGATTTGATATTGATAGCCGGATGGACGCCTCTTGTAGCAATCGATATGCTCCAGACGCTGCAGACGCTCGGCCAGACGGCGAGCCGCCAGTGTTTTGGCTTCGAGTGCACCCTCGAGCATACGGCGGCCCAAGAGATTGTTGAAGGCATGCACATATTGAAAGAGATCACGTACTTTTCCGCAGGTCTTGGGTAGTTGGGCGGGCTCAATCAGCTGCTTGCTGCACCAGCAATTGTCCCCGATCGGCGAGAGATTCACGTCGCTGGGCTCATAGTAGCGGGGCTTGGGACGCACAATCGTCGGTCCTTGGCAGCTCTGGCAATAGTCGGTACCCTTTTCCGAGCACACACAGGCAGCCAGCAGCTGTAATATCGATAGAAATCAAACACATTTAGCTTTTATTGTAAACATACAAAAACACGCGGTTTCCGTCAACAGACTCTCAGTGTCACACTATTCGTCTCACTTTCACACGCACAACCCGTCCCGGGCCCGTTCAAAACATATAGCTCTTGCTCGCTCTTTCCTTCGATATGCTTACCGCTTGAGTGCAGTGCATTGCCAGCAGAAATGAGAGAAACAGCTTACAGGCTTGCATCTTGGCTTGGTTCTTATCGGTCGCGTGCCGCTCGGTGCTCGTTAAAAGTTTGAACTGCTTATGGAAGCGGTACACACGTTTTATATACCCCAGAAGATTGAGAACCGCTGCTTTGGGTCATGTCACTGCAGTTGCTCACAGAACATGCATTAGTATTTGTTGTTGTTGTAATTGCCGTATTTCACTCAATTCGGGCTAAAAGAAATCTTGGCCATTCATGGTTAAGGTTCAGTGCAGCATCACATGGTCCAGCACAACGCTTTCTCGCTTTGATCTTGACTGGCCCACCAGGGTCAGGTTCAGGTTCGGGCGGCGCTGTCTGCTGATGCTGCAGCGACGTCGACCGCCGCCGCTCCGGTGCGGCTTTAAGCCAGTAGCTACGTGCTCCCCGGAATTGGGCAGCGCCCAACCTGATATTGATAAAAACAAAATCACCGTAAACAAACGAATCTAGTGAATTCCAAAGAATTTCATATCGCCAACGCCCTGCCACCCCGTTGTCAGAGACTAAAATTAACAATGAAGTTGCGACAAAGTCGAAATTCTATAGGAATTATATTCCGATTAGCTGTAGCTGCGTGTGCCCAATCCACAAATTGGGTCAGCGTCATCTCGCAAATTGACCCCCGGGAGCAGACTCCAAAGAAACGGAATCAGGCCATTAACCTAATCTCTGGATTATTATTGTTTTTGGGTTCTAATCAAAACAAAAATTCCCAAAAATTCGCCGATCGATGGGAGATTGCAGTGCGTAGATGATATCATCGATGATATTGCGTGTGCGAGTGTGGTGTGTGCATATCGAAATAATATGGTGGACATTCTTCCCAATGCAATGCACATGACACATCCAAATAAAACACGTCTTTGGGCGGTATCTTGGTGCATGTGCATTACCTGACGTAACAAGTAATTAAACCATAAATGACAGCCCAAGATGCTGTCTATATATACACGTGTTTTTTAATTGATTAGAATCATTGCAGATTCATTATGCAATCCGAGTGCGATGACTGAAAGCGATAACGTCAGCAACGGCGTGTGCATGCATACATATGTAAGTAATTATTCTGAAAGAAGATTTCATCTCCCCCCTTGGCTAATCTCTTTTCAGTGATGCCCGTGGCCTTGGCTAACTGCCTTATCAGATGCTTTCACTGTCAACAACCAGGTTCAGCCCCCGCCCACTTTGACATCGTTAAGTCGAAGCCGAAAATAGTCCAGCGATCAGCAATTAGATTCGTGCACAGAAGGATGCCATGAATGGCCCCTTGCCAGATGTCAGCTGCCTGGATTTCGTTGCCCAAAAGATCAGCTGGTTAATGGGCAAATTGGAGGTTAATGGCACGGCAACAAGTCGAAGCTGTAGCTGGAGCCGCAGCCTGGATAGAGATGATTGTCGTCTGTCTGCCGTCTTATCAGGAGATGTTCTGGCATATAAGCACTGAGCTGACGTACCCACGAGCTAGAAGACCCAGGTTTTCCATATACACACATCTCCCAGTATATTATTTAAAAACGAGTATATACCTAGTTCGCGATTATCGTGCCGAACAGAGTCCAGCTTTTAGAGCCGAGAATTGCTTCCCGTTCAGTACAGTTGTACAGCCGCAAGTGATCGCAAGTAGAAAATTCGGTGCTCTTCTTCCACACGAAGTTCGGGAAATCCTGCTCAGAGTGCTCATCCAACTAAATATGGCAGCAAAAAGAATGGATTTAAATAAGCGCACCTTTCTGGTGCTGAGTGGCAGCTCGAATCCTTTGGGTCAGACACTGGCCCTGCAGCTATGCAGTCGTTTGGCCCCCGGATCTGTTGCCCTCATCCTGGACGATGACCAGGAGAAACTTGCTGCTCTGGAGCTGCTAAAGCCGGATACAGTTCAGCTGAAGACGGGCAAGTTGGATGAGCACCACTCCAATGGTGTAGAGCTGATGGAGCAGGCCTTGAAGCAGGCGGAGGATACCGTCTTCGAGCGTTCCATCATTGTGCATAACGAGGGTTTGGCCGCCACCGAAGTGCTGATGGAGCCCCAATTGTCGCAGGATTGGACCGCCTATGTCCAGCAGCAGTTGTACGCCCCGGTGGCCCTGAATCAGCACTGGCTACAAAGCAAACAATTGACCGACGTGGAGAAGCTGGCAATCAATGTGACCTCGTCGCTGCTGGTGCGTCCGCTGATCCACAGCGGTCTACTCTGCTCCTGTAAGCGAGCCAGGGACATGTACTTCCGTGCCATGGCCTCTGAGGAGTCACGCCACAATGTCCATGTGCTTAGCTATGCTCCCGGCCTGCTCGACTCTCATCAGACCCAGTACGATGTCAACGGCAATGTGATTACCCCGGAATCTCTGGTAGCATCGCCACAGCTGCTGCAAATGCCACGTGTCCAGCCGCTGCAGGCCACCCTCAAGCTGATCAACATTCTAGAGGAGATCTCCTTCGTTTCCGGTCACGATGTCGACTACTACGACACATACGTTTTATGAGTAGAAACCTGGAGGTGGACTCTGTCCCTGATGGACTCGGTTCTGACAATGGTTACCGACTTGGATGCTGCTTTTGATTTGATTGCTTGGGAAATTAATAAACTTTGGCTGGTGACCCCGGTATTGGAGGTGGAGAAGAGCGAGTCACACGAAAAGGAAACTGAAAAAAAAAACCAACGATTTTTTATTTGGGTTTTCCGTTTAAGGAAAAGAGAGGTCAAATGTGGGTAAACTCATTTCTTTTCAGGAAATTTGTAGATGTATATTTTTTGATCAGTATGAGATGCAGAGACGATTGTGAGATAGCATTGATTACTAGAGGAACTATTAGAAAGGTTCTGCTGGAACGAGTCGGGGAAAATTGCTATGAGGGAAGCTAAACTTGAATCTTTAGAAAGAAGCTTAAGAATAGATCTTTTTGAATATACTGTACCTATAGCATATATACAGTAAAAATAGACTCACCTATAGCTATGTGTAGGTTCATACCATATAATATAGTAATATAGGCGAAACCCCGCTAAAGATAAGCTACATTTCAGTAGAATAGTCACAAAATGCACAGAATGAAGATCCCCGGGGAAGATCCCCATCGTACATTAGCTCCCCATCTTCCTTGCTCGCCTGTTCCGTATATGAATCAGCGTTTATTACTACACATAGCTATAGGTATACATATTAATATATTTTTGAAAATCCACTCCAGACATTACCAGTCGTTGGATTCACTGATAAGCGTAACAAATGATGTATATATGTGGCCATTGGGGGTGCGTGCCAGGGCACGAGAGCAGTAGACTGTTGCCGGGTCCCCATCAATCCTGATAAGAAACGATTCATGTGGGATTCGCAGCTTTTGGGCATAGGCCTGAAAACTGTAAATATATTTTCGCAATATATGTTTTCATGTTTGTCTGAAGGGGAAAGGTGCCTGTTGTGGACATAGTTTTGTGTTTAAACTTTTAATCAATTGCAAATTATACCATATTGTACCAATTAAAGCCTGGAGGTCTTAGGTATCGGTCAGTGAAGGAACTAAATTTATTTCTTCATTCACAAAAATTATATCCAGAAATTATTAAGGGGACCAATTTTCGAAAAATAAATAATATATAGATAGATAATTATCTAATTATAATTAGAAATTAGTTTCGTTAACTGTGTATTGTTAGCAAAGAATAGACCAGGTCTTGGAAAAATGGCTACGCTCCTAATTCAGATGCCTCGTTGGACGCTTCAAGGCATACTTTGGGGCCTAAGAAAATAAAAATAAATTGATTCATTAGAATTGTATAGCATATATAAATGACAGTACATTGAAAGCTTTTTCTGGGCAATTTTACTTTTTATACGCGTACTTGAAGAGTTTAGGGATGTTGGATTTTTGGTAAAAGGCGATGTGTGTAGGTTTATTTTTGCGAGGTATAATTTGGGTGCCATTAGAAATCAATTTATTAAATATATTTGGCTATACGAAAAGATATTTTCTATTATATGTACATACACATAAATATAAACTTAAAACATCAGCAGAGTTGTTTATATTTTATTCAAGCTCATACAAGTTCTTATATGTATGTATAGGTGCTATGTGCAATTCGTTTCGAAATCGCGAGCTCATTGGCAACCGGTTTCAAATCTTGCGATTTGCGATAACCGGAGCATGGCTGTTAGATGTAGATGACAGATGTAGCAAAAAATGTAAAAATGTAAAACATGTTAAACTTCCACACTCAGCCGTTACCGATACCTTTAAAGACGGTTAATTAATGCACCTTTTCCAGAGTTTTTAAAGTGATAGCGTCGGAAAAAAAGCGCACAAAAATTATACATTTTGCATGTGAAAACTTAATATTTCCCAGACGGTAAGCTGAAGCTACAAAGTGCTTAGAACTACCCTATACCTTATTAGCTTTTCAGAATGGCAAAGTTCTTTACAACCAGATGTAAGACAACCCTGGCGTCCTTTACATTTTGGCCGTTGGGGTCCCTATCTCTCGACTCTGGAGCTACCAGGTCATTTATCAGCCAGCGGATAGCACAGAAGCTTCAGACGGAGAGAAACAAGCGCAACATACGGAACAAAGGAGGTAACACAAGTCATGGTAACAGAGGTACGTCTCGATTGATTTCGGCCCGCCAACGAACCATCCGTATCAACACTTAAATCCGCGCGGCATAGCCTGAGCCCGATGGCAGAGACGAGATGTCCATGGATGGACGCTTCGCGACAGGCGAGACACTATGTCGGCTCACTTAACCGACGGCTCCTCGAGAGTCGTAGCCGGAGGACTCTATTGAACTCAGCAACTGGCTACCAAAGTGGCATACTTTTTGGTGGCAAAATAAAACAGCCTCTTTTCCGTTGAAAATCAAAACACTAATAAGTACGTGTGTACATACATACATATGTAGTTGCAAACTCTTATGCGTTTATGTGTGTCTGTGTACGTTGAGGATATATGATATATGTATAATATACATTGTATATACTGTCGTCTGTTACATTTTTTGTTCTGCTGATAAAATAAACTCCAGTGAAACTTCATACGACTACTGTTCCTTAAGCTTAACCAAAATAAAAAGAAATAACATATTTAAAGGGTCGCCAGAGTCCTGCTCCTCATTGCAGGAGTCGTTGCTGTTATATTCACAGGGCTACACAGTGTACATGGCAACGGCCTTCACCTCAGGTTGTGCCTTCGGGCTTGCATTTCGCATCGTGATACAAATTTGGTGTACGAGACGCTCCGTGAAGTTGATTTCCATCGTGATTCCGTTGGACTTCGATTCGAAGGTTCCCACCTCATTCCAGATCTCGACGCTTTTGACACTTACGCTCCATTTGCCACCACCATAAGTAGTCACGATAATGCAGTTGATTAAGGAGATCTTGTTGAGATCCAATATAGTTGAATTCTCTGAACGAATTGTTAATGGTAGTTTCTCTCCCGGCAGCACATGGGGGCAGCCGGCAACACGGTGGGGCAGATTCTTTTCGGTATACTTTTGATCAATGGCGTCGATTATTTGGTTTAGCTCGAATTTGGCTGTGGGCTGCACCACGGATATCAGCTGCTGGACAGTCATAAGCGGGAGACGTATGTGTGACATCATGGGCTTGATGTCCACGCTCGGATTGAAGAGACTCCATTTGCATAGAGCCTTAAAGATTTTAACTTCGGGAGCTGCAAAGGTGTCCCGTCGTAGGACTTCCTCAAGCGATTCCTTAGATAGCCTTAAAAAGGACTGATGCTTTAGCAGCTTGGACGCATTGCGGTCCATAAAGTCGATGCATTCTTTGCTCAGATCGTTCATACTGTATCGGCGCGCTGCATTCAGGATCATGCAGACGTTGCTGACGGCCAGATTCTGCTGCAGATGATTGTTTATCACCCCCTCGACGTTCTGCAAACCGTAAAGATGGGCCAAACCGAACACACCTATCATGCCCTGCACGTCCAGTGTGGACAGTGGCAGGGTGCCCGTGTATATATAGCGCATGATAATTTTAAATGCATCCACCGGCACCTCCAAACGAATTTCCCGCTCCTTCGATTCAGTCATGTTCCCGTAGAGCATTGCGCGAAAATAATCACTGCGCGCCGCCAGAATGCTGCGGTGGGCGGGCAGCCGCTGCTCCTCTACCAAGAAGTCCACGTCCGAGTAGAGGTCGTTCAGGCAGAGGCGTCTCATGTCCAGACCTACGTGATCGATGTCGTCAGTATTGCTATCCATCGTGGTACCAAGGGAAGACGCTTTGTTAAGCTGGGTGCTCCTTTTCGTTGCTGGATACCTGTGCATGATATTAATGATGTATATACCATTATGTATATATATATATATATATATATATATATATATATATATGTATGTCCGTATTTATTACTTACGTTCTATAAAAACGTACTTTATTTCCCTGTATTCTTGAACAATCACTGCGCACAGCTTGTATTTTCCCTCGCTTTCAGGTGAAGGTGGCAGCGCTACAATACATTGATATTAATTGAGTCCTATATCGACCTATCGATATATTTTACCATTGATCCAATTTACATATTATAATCCTTTTTAAAATTGCTTAAATCAATTTAAATACCATTAATCCCGTATTAATTGTTGTTATGTATGTTCCTAAGTGTTTTATGGTTTAAGCCTAGTACTCAGATCCAAAAACTGTTTGCTAGCAAACAAATTTCATATATTCTTCTAGCGGCCAGTGGTGTGACCAGAGGTCTGCACTGCATTCCGTACGGTTACACTGCTCAGACAGCTGCTTGGTTTTGTTTAAATTTAATAAAATGCACTTCTTCGGCTGGGGTCGCTCTTCCCCAGACATATCCTGGGCTCCCCAACATTTTATTGGTAAGGTAATGTGTCTATCAGCAGCAGCAAGTGGCGACGCCTCCCGTGCCTACCCCCGTGAAGACAACATATTTTAAAAACAAATTTTTTTTTTATATGCATTAAAATTAATAAAAATAATATATTATAATATCCATATAATTGTGATTCATAAAGCTGCCTAAATTAGATTCTATTTGTCTTCATTATTTAAATATTTCATTTGGTTTTTTTTTTCTGATTTTCATTTAAAAATCACACAATAATAATATTTTTTTAGTTTTTGGGATAATCATTATTGATAATAATTATTTTTATAAATTATTATTAATGATTATCCATAATAATTATGTTTGAGCGAAAAAAATAAAACTCAAAAATAATGATTAAACTTTGAGTTTTATTTTTTCGCTCAAATATAAAACTCAAAGTTAAATAATGAAAACATCATGGGAAGCTGAGAAAAAATTTATACATATCCTTACTAATTAAGTCAATAGGAACGCATTAAAAATGTTTTTCAATTAAAAAATTCTTATTTGTTAAATTAGCGATTACAGCCTCATTAAAAAATAAAGCCAGTAGATATTAACTGAAATATAATGGAATACTGGGAAGAGAAGAGGTTCAAGTATCCCAATATGTTTAAATTGGCTAGGGTTGGGCACTCTGTTCCCGCAACTCAAGTCAGCGTTGAGAGGAAATTTTCTTTGCTGTAACTGGTGCTAACAGATTTGAGATGCAACCTCTTTGCAAAAACTTCTTTTTGTAAAATTAAACAAGTAAATCAATTTAAAACCAAAAAATTTTATATATATATTATTGAAAAAAAAAAATTGCCTAAAAACATGTTTAATGCGTTCCTTTTGACTTTTTGTTGATCTGAGTACTGCCTTCCGTACAGAGCCTAGAAAATAGTTTTTGCCCAAAAAAATTTCTTATCGGTTTCATACGAATATCCACCCTGATTCTGTTCGCGAGGTGTTGTTTCGGATCCTGAGTACTAGGCTGTAGAATTAACATGTTAGATGTAGATGTAGATGACAGATGTAGCAAAGAAATGTAAAATATAAAATATTTTAAAGTTCTATATAAATTATAAGCTCTCAAGCTTATATTCTGACTGAGTACGGGTATAAAAGTAGAGTCGCGTCCACAGAAGCGACTACACGTTCCTTCTCGTTTTATATGAAGTTTTCCAGGAATTTTTCGATTCTGCGGTGCTGGATACCACGCTTAAACGAAAATTTAATGGGCATTTGTTCCTCATGTAGCATCTTGGTATTGTATAGTCTCTACTGCGACGAAATTACCATTAGTCTCTCCCATTTACACACTCTCTCTCTCACACAATAGACAGACGACAAGAAAAACTATAAATCGGCCGAAGAGGTGAAACACACAAGAAGGAGATAAATAAAAAGGAAACAGTGATAATACACTGAGAGCAATCCAAAGACATTTTGAATGTCTTTTTATGTTTTGCTCTTCGCAGAATTGACTATTCACTGCGGCAATTTATTTTCAAAATATACCATAACTATTCCGATGCAAAAAATATTCCTCAATTTTGATATTCCATTTAATAGCAAAAGCTATTTGGGACTCTCAGCACTAAACAAATAATTTAATATGATTAATGAATCAATTTTCTACAATATTGGGTATGTTTAAAGACTCCTTTTTATTGGCTTGTGTAGAAAATAAGATTTCAACAGAAAAGGTCAACAGCTGCTGCTGCTGTTGGGGCATAGGTGAGCTGGGCATTTGGCGGGTTTTTGGCTATGGTTATTATTGCCCTAATCAGAACAATACTAGCTTATTGGGCAATCAAAAAATTATAATTCTTTGACTTCCGCTCCGCTTCGTATAACAAAAGAGGATCGTTTCAATGCGATAAAAAGGACGTGTCTTATGTATATGTAATAAAATTAAGTGGTTGTAGTTGTTGTTGCGCCATCTGCTATGTAATTATGTATATGCTAACATATGCTACTCTTCAATCGCTGCTTGCTAGTACTATTAATTTGTTTGTGGGTCACTGCAGAAATACTGCACCTGTTGCGATCCCATTTAAATCTGGATTAAATTCGAAACTATCGATTACGAAATATGTAGATAGTTTGAGCCCCAGCTGCCGCTTTCATTGGATCGGAAATTAGAAAGGCCCAGCATGGATCTGAAGCAAAAAACATATCTCCTGGTGACTGGTGCATCGCGTGGCATTGGCCGCGAGTTTGCCCAGCAGCTGTCGCAGCGCATTCAAGCTTTGGGCTCGGTGGTTGTGCTGATGGGACGCAGCCAGCCGCTGCTTGAGGAGGCAAAGGCCACAATTTTGAAGCAAAATCCAGATCTGTCGGTACACATATTCGCGCTGGAGTTGGGCACAGCCAAGACCGAAGATTTTTCCAGTATCCTACAGGACTCTCTCCAGGCAAAGGTGTCTCCAGGTGACTTCGAGCGCGCCATTGTCATTCACAATGCAGGCACTGTGGGTGACACATCGAAGCGTGCGCGAGAGATTGGCGACACGGAGTACCTGCAGCAGTTCTTCCACACCAATTTGTTCTCCGCCATTGCCCTCAATTGCGAGTTCATGCGCATATTTGCTGGCGTGCCCAAGCTGGTGGTCAACTTGAGTACCCTGGCGGCCATAGCCCCAATCTCCTCGATGGCCCACTATTGCACTGTGAAGTCGGCCAGGGAGATGTATTTCCGTGTGCTGGCCACCGAGGAGCCAGCACCGGGCACTCTGGTGCTCAACTATGCGCCCGGTATGATTGACACCCAGATGACAGTGCAGGTGCAGCGCGAGGCTCATGATCCCGCGGTGGTGGCCATGTTCCGGGAGCAGCGCGAGTCTAAAACAATGCTGACAACTGCTCAGACAACTGAGCGTTTCATCCAGGTGCTGGAGGCACAACGGTTCCAGTCCGGCGACCATGTTGACTACAGGGATCACGAGAAGGCCTAGATCACAAAATATTTTACACTATGGTTATTGGGTATTTGTATTAAAATGGAAACGCAACAAAGGAATTGACTATTTGTTAGGGGGTAACACAGGCCGAGATCGACTAGGTGCTAAAAGAAATCCGCCGCTGCACTGCGTGGCTTTATGGGGATCTTGAGCAGATCGTCTGTGATTGTGGAGCCCGTGTCGATGATGGTGTTGCTAGATGGTGTTGTGATTCGTCTCGGCCTTCCCAGCGGCGTTGTGCTCTTCACCAGACCGGGTGTGATCTTTCTCTTCCTGGCCGCTTGGCCCGGCGTTGGAGTGTGGCGTAGACTGGGCGTGCCGCGCAACCCCAGCTTGGCAGTGGCCAGATGCTGAGCAGCCGGTGACATGCTTGCCAGACGCTCCATGTTGGTGCGTATCAGCGGTGAGCCGATGTTGCGGCGGGCAGTGTCGAGAGCTACTTGTTTCTGGTTGCGCATCTTCTCGCTGACCCTTTCGGCTAGAGCAATGGCAATGTTCTCACGGCGGGAGTTCTCGTTGATGCGGAACGATGGCCCCTGGGTGGGACGCAGTGGAGTGTCACCTCCATCCAGGCGGAAGGGCGTGCCATCGATCTCGCCCCAGGTCATAATCGGGGAGAAGGCCACACCGGGGTGGGGTGAGGGGGAACGTAGCAACTCGAAGCCGCGAATGCGTGGTGTGGCAGTGGAATTGTTTGCTCCATTTGCTACATCTGTATCCTTTTTATTTTCCATCTCCTGATGGTTGCTTAAACTCTCTGGCAGTCTGGTGGCCTCGTGCTGGATGCTCATTCGGCGTTCCGCTGCCTGCACACGCTCATCCTCGGTCAACTCAACGCCGTCCGGCACATACATAACAGAGTTCATGTTTGTGTACTTCCAGGTCTCAATCTTCCTCAGAGGATCGGGCTCCTCGAACTGCTTCTCGATGCTGGGCAGCATGAGGGCGCGCTTCAGCTGATCCGCGGACAACTGCTCGTGGTTGTACAGCAGGGCATACTTCTGGCGCAGCTTCTCCTCGGCCGTCTCAATGATTTCCTGAAAGCTTTGATTGTCCTCGCTCGTATAGCTCTGCAGGAAGGCATCCAGCGACATCTTGGAGGGCAATGAACCGCCCTCGGCCGAGCTGTGAGCGCTGCTGCCGCTGGTGGTGGAGCACGGTGTGTCCGCGCGCTGGAGTGGAGTGTTGCTGCGACTTCCTTGGCTAACAGGCGTCTCAAAGGTAGCCGGGGACATGGCTATGGAAAGGGACAAACAGATGAGTGATATGGCAACTTCCTTAACCGGCGACTCACCATTGTTGTTACGGTTGTTGCGTCTGCCGTTCCTGTAGCCCATCCTTGGAATACGTCCCAGACTGTAGCGTGCCCGTATCTCCGCCATTTGCAGAAAGTCACGACGCGCCTCGGCCTCAAGGTAATCATTCTGGGCCCGCAACTTCTCTAGATCGGGAAAGAAGTCACGCTGTATGATCTTGGACATTTCTTCAATGTACTGCTCTTCGGTCAAGATTTTTGGTTTGTGTTTGCGTCGCACGAGATCTGTGGGTTTCTTGAAATCTGCCAGCGCAGTGTTCTGGGCCTTGACCATCTCCATGGCCAAGCTGCCGGGGGTGCCAGGTGTGCGTGGTGTCTCAGACATTGTAGTGAAAAAGTTTAGAAATAGTTTTTTTTTTTCCCACAAATTCAATTTTCCTAATTTTATTTATATCAGTGCAGTAGTGCTGGGAAAAAATCTATTCAAACATCGATATAATCGATTCTTTGTTTTTGGTGTAAACATCGATTAATGTTTTGGAAATCGATGTTTGCTTGCGACCACTTGAAAAAAATTCCATCTCCAATTTACCACAATTTAGCGCGAACTTGAGTGAAGCAAAAGGGTGAGAATAAAAATGTATACAATATTTTTGCATTCCAGCATGTTCAACGGAGTCTGAGAGGATGTTCAGCCGAGCTGGAATACTCATATCAGATAGACGAGCCTCCTTAACGGCTAGCAACGTTAACAAATTGTTATTTGCAGGCAGGAACCAGCGGGTTCTGGAGCAATAAAAAAAAACAATGGATCTCAAAAAAAATAAATGTTTAGATTCGATCTAATCGACTAAATCGATGTTTTTTCTAAAATATCGAAAAAATCGGTTCTACGAAAACTGATTTTTTCCCAGCTCTACAGTGACAGCGCCGATAACGATAAGAAATACCATCGTGCTATAAAAAATAAATACCATTAAATACCAATTTAGCTTAGAGATATACCATTTAAATACCATACCATAAAAAACCAGGGCAATCCGGCGATCAATCGAGACTTAACCCACTTAACACTCCTCTATTCAAAGAGTTGAGCACCCTTTGTTAAACCGAGAGATATAATACTGTTTGTAAAGGCTCCTTGTAGCTCCATTCTCCTGTTTACTTACAAAACAAAAATGACCACCGACATCTTTCACCTGTAATGCGTAAAATATCCCCCTGGTCGACAATGGGTTAATCGTTCTCTGTCCATGTTCGGAAATCATATTCCTCGATTTTGAAATTGATTGAAATAGCTTTAAAGCAGAGACTGACTAGTTTCTGCGTTGATTACGGTCCGAGATTTCAAACATTTTCTTCAATTGTATAATATTCGTATCCCCAATGGTAACAGAATGTTGATTCTGCTTTGATACCCTATGTTCTTTAATATCAGTTTCAGGGTTGATATTAGTATAAATCCAATAAGAAATTTGCTTGGGCAAAAATTGTTTGCTAGGATCTATACGGCCGGCAGTATTATGTTCAAGAAAAAAATGCCGATAGATACTAGAAAAGCAAACGATGGTATTTGCTGGAATTCGTTGGTATGTTGCTAGCAGCTCGAAGAAGATATAAGTCACAACTATCGCAACTATCGACCACTGTAGTGTGGAATGTATCCTGCATTTCAGCGATCTGGCAGGGCTGGCATAACGATAACCTATCGTTAATTGTGGAACGCATTTCCAGAGCGCGCAAAATTTGAAATGAGCAGCTAAAGCAAATCAATTAAAAGCGTGTGTGTGTTTGTGTGGTGTGTGTGTGTGTGTGTGTGTGTGTGTGTGTGTGTGCCAGGCCACCTCTCCCTAGCTTTTACCACTATCACTCTCGGTCACGAATCATGACGAATGTGTTATCTTATCGTCGTCGGCAACGGCAAGCTCAAAATCCCGATACAGGCCCCCGATGCCAAGCGCGCCGACGTGCTTTCCACTCAGTCCAGTTTTAGCTTTACTCCGTGTCGCTACTCGATCTCCCCACCTTCCTTTAGTTAACTCACATTTCGAGTCTGCAATCAAATATCAAACATGAAGTTCTATTTGTTGTTAATTGCGTCCGTGTGTTTTTTGACCTACATCAGCTGTGGTAAATCTTCTTGTTCACTCATTTTACTTTACTGATTTCATTGGGTATATTTTTATTTATTTTTTGTCAGTTTGAATTACAAGTGCATTATATAAGAAAGTGTGATAAGCGGCGGCGAGTCATATAAAAACACATAACAATTCGAAATCCAACAGTCCAACCAAACGGCAGGCAGCGTATCTTATCAATCGCCTCCACCGAGTCCATGGTAACTGTTCACGTTTTCACAGTGTAACTTAACCCTCTACGCTCCGTACCTGTGTGGGTGTATTGTGACTTGGTGTGTGTGTTCATTGCCGGCAACAATGAATATTTTCCAGATATATGTACATATTTTACTATATACATCTGCATATACATATGCAGATCGTATGACATTCGCAAAGTAATGAAAACAGACTGCGGATATGCCATAGGCAGTTGCCTGTGATACATCGTTTCTGTTGCTTTTCTTTCATATTGCAAAACAGATGCACTGAAAAAAATATATACTTTTCACGTATGTTCGTATGTGCTTTACTTTTTGCACCGAAGAGAACATTTTCAATCAGACTCGCATTTAAATAAAAGGCTTTGATTGTTTTTCAAGCAAAATCAAATATTTTATTTACAACAGGAGTTAACTCAGGAGTTACATTTGTCTTAAAGAACTTTCATCTGCATTATATATTTTTTTTTCTTTTTTTCTGAGCTATTCCTCTTGAGTTGATTGAAGTTTTGATGGATATATTTTCAGAATACACATCAGATGAATTGTGAAATAATTATTATTTAGATTGAGCTTATCTTATTACATTTTAAATGAAACTTTTTCTTTAAGTTTTCTTTAACTAACTTTGAGTTATTAAATTAAGACTAATGGATTTCCATTCAGCTAGAAAATGTTTCCGCATACAGTTTCCTTCTTCCTTCTTTGTTTCAATATTGTGAATTTCATGCCTTCAGCCATTCCGCTTTTTATTCCGCTGAAATCAATTTTAACCGAAAGCCAAATGTATCACTTAATTTTAACGCTGTAAAGGTTCGAAATACTCGCAGTTTCCAAATTAGATTTGATTTTTGTGTATTTACTTGGCTTATCTTGTGTGGAGACATAAATGTGTGTTAGTTGACTCATTTTCGGTCTATGTACACGCTTGGTCGATAAGAATCGATGGCTGTGAGAGAGAAAACGAGATAACACCGAGCCCCAGTGTACAGTGCGTGTCACGAGCATAAGACAAGGGCAGGTGGAAATTGCAGCAAATCGAACGAAAACCAATTGAAAGGGTCAAGTGGCAGGCACTGTAGTGGGCATTCGGGCTTCGGGCTTCGGGCTTCGGGTGTTAGTTGGGGTTTCTAGCATAGCCCCGGTGCTGGATATTTCGAAGGCTACCACAAAAATTAATCTAATCTAATCAGGTCTAGCCATGACTCAAAGCAAACGCAACGTTCCACTCGCTAAATTCGCAGATGGCTGCATCCAGTGCAACTCGAAGACCGAGATCCGCTGCGCCACCGATCCGCTGAGCCTATTCACCAAGAACTGCTCGGAGTCCACCAGCGGATCCGAGTGCTACGTGCGTGTCCTTGGTGAGTATCCTTGTGACGATTGCGAGGGGCATTGCTTATCGAATTCCAATTTTGATTTATAGATGGCATCACCATCCGCGGCTGTGCCAAAGATCTGACCAACGCCACCAAGGCCTCCTGCAACAACGAGCTGGAGTGCCAGATCTGCACCTACACGGAGGGCTGCAACCGTCAGATGTTCCCCTCATCGCGCGCCCAGTGCCTCCAGTGCTCGGGCAACTCCACCTCCTCGACCTGTGCCAGCCAGGTGTACGACCACGCCTCCATCTGTCCCATCTATAAGCTGGGCGACCTCTGCTACATTCGCAACAGCAACCGCACCGTGGACGGCTCCTTCCAGCGTGGCTGCCTCAGCACTGCCCAGGCCAACAAGCAGTGCATCAAGGATGGCAACTGCTTCACGTGCACAGGGCGTGGCTGCAACTTCCTGCAGGCCAACGACACCCTGATTCCCCTGGCCCGCGACTCCAGTGCCCAGCTGATGCTGTCGATGTCTCTGCTCCTCGTCGGCCTTCTGGCTGCCTGGATGCTGTAGGAGCCCCCACCCTCTTGTTTGGGGACATTTGTCCGTGAGAGCACTGAAAGACATATTTTTCCTGCAGCATTTTATTCTATTAGATATGAATTTTTTTTTGTAACTGTATAAAAATCACACTCCGGCTTTTGGCTGTTTGCTTTGAACCACACCACACGAAAATTGAGAGAGGAAAGAAAAATAAAGATGAAAATTTAATGGAAAAGAGGAAAATAATATTGATCAAACACTTTTGTTTGCTTTCGGTTTTATGAGGTGCCAACGGCCGGGGCACTTCAGCACTTGACACCCCCCACCGCCCTGCCCCGACCAAAATGCAGTTGACAGTTCCCTGTCCTCCGATCCCCCGGCCGCCTCTTGCCACGGCATGCCACCGAACCGGAAGCTCCACGCCAATGAGGGGGTGCATAAATGTGTCGACGCCTTCAAAATGTTTGTCAATTATTTTTCATTGCCTTTGGGTTCTTTTCTTTTTTTTTTTGGGTTCTTCCTGGCTGGAATTTCCAATTGAACCATCGATCGCAATGCGGAAATAGATCAGCCAATATATACTACATATGTATATGTATGTGGACATATGTATGTATGTACATACATATACTTTTACAAGAAGATTAAGCAGTATCCCTGGACCCATCTGAATCCATTATAGGAACCAAAGTTGGGTAACATGTTGGCTTTTTTAATTTTATAGAATCATTTTGGGCGTATATTGCAAATATGAGGAAATGAGGAGGAGATCTACCCATCCCGGCCTACAACATAATTTTTGTCTCGTGCTAGGTACATTCATAAGTTTTCATTTTGTCGCGCAGTGTAATGGATAATAGCTCTGGCTGGACTTGTACTGTTGATAAAAATCGAAGGAGCAACTGAGACAGGAAACCAAATCTATCAAAATCAATAAGGATAGCTCATTGATTTCATTTTAAAAATAAACAATTAGAACACGACCCTGCAGGACTTTATTTTTGGATGCAGGAATGCAGTAAGAAAGTATCTTTTAGATGTGCTTGGACTGGACTGAAAAAGCAATCCCTAACGAGAACGAAAAAGCGAGGACTGAATGTCTTTTTGAGTAGGATTTAAATTCGGCTACCGCGGATAAGTTGTATCTGGAAGTAAAGAGTTGTATCCTAGCCAGTTATGTAGATTATTTATATTTATTAATATTCTTCTTGAAGATGAAACTTAAAGCGGCTTGAATCCAAATTTAAACGAAAATTGAGACCTTATATTGATCAGTCAGAAAGGATGAATTTGGGTGGAAATATAACTGAAATTTAGGTAGTTTTTTTTCTTATTTTTTGAGATCCTTTCAGTGGAGGGGAGTGGAGTGGTGTCGAAGTCTCGTCGGTGCAGGTGCAGACCAGCTTTGATTGTCGGTATTTAGTGAGGACTTTCAATGATCTTCTCATTGTCTGGGTCAGAGGAGTCGTGGTCCCCATAGATCTCGTCCCACGTCTCCAGCTCGTTTGGCTGCTTTAGCTCCGGAGATTCCTTTCGCTCCTCAAGCTTGCTCCAGTCCTGAGACTCCTTCCGCTTCTCCAGCTCGCTCCAATCCTGCGACTCCTCCGGCTCCTTCTCTGGCTCCATGTCCAAGTCAGGAATCAGGCCTAAAACCGTACTGCTGATGGCAACTCCCCCCTCTGCTTGGTCGTGCATGGGCTCATCCTTGAAGGGTAGCTCGTCGAACGATTTCCTATCGGACTTTTGCCGAAAGATAGCCAATAGATCGAGCTCATCGTCTGACAGATCGGAGTAAACTTCAAGATCCTTTTCATCATACTCCAGGGACTGGAGGGACTTAGTGCTGCCTCCCGGGTGGCCCACAAGCTCAGTATCGGATGCAGCGGGAGCGATGGGGGAGGATTCCGACTCGACTTTGGCTAGGGGCAGGGGCAGGGGCAGGGGCAGGTGGTGCTCCAGGCAGCACAGTCTCGATCTAGAAATGCCGCCTGTCTTCAACATGTGATCGTAGCTCTCCGACATGTGCTCGTGAACGTTGTGACCCTCCAACTCCTTCATTTCCTCCTCCAGCTCCAGTTCGCGCAACCTCTTCTCGGTGCAGATAACCGGCTCCCAATAGAGCTCCAGCGTTGACATCTGCTTGACACCGATTTCCTCGAGCTGCACGCTGTTGCTCAGTATCTTTTTCTTGAACACCAATCGACTGAAGCCCATGGGTACGCCCAGCAAGCGACCGATGCGGATCTTCAGATCGCCAGCGGTGCCAAAGCGGCAAGACTTGTAGAGGGTCTTCTTGCCGTCACGTGTCTGAACATAGATCTGCATTTTAATTTTTTAGGACTGTTTAGTTGGCCTGGATGGCTTCAATCTACGATTATTTAATCTACGGGCTTCACTAAAAATTTTTGTACAAGTAAATGTTTGTGTTGGCTTGCTCGAAAATACTGTTGGGGAAATGTGATTTTAGACCCCTGGCTAAATGATGTACAAACTCTGAGCTTGTTGTTATAGTATTTAAGATAAACAATCCATCACCCATGCCGCTTCTTCTCTTTTCCAAGGAAAAGGCCAACAAAAAAAGGTCAAGCAACATCTGAGTCGAGAAACCATTATACGAGTACTTCGAGTACTGTAGTGCCCATCGAGGGTTAAAGCTTTTCCTATCTACGCATTTACGAGTATCAAACAATTAGTTCGAATCGCTTTTCCGTATATTCAGCAATTTGAATTCCATTTTTGGTTTATGTTTAGCCATAAATGATTAACAAATAATGTAATAACAATTTGGGCATCCAGAGAGGCGTCCAACAATTTATGAATTATTTATGGACTCCCCATTCCGATCGCACACTCATGCGCGCCACAAGGAAACATTCGAAGCGAAAACCACTTAACTCAAAATAATTGTAAACAGTGCGGCAAATGGATAATGGCCAAGTCCTGGGCGCAACTGGATGCTAAGATTTATGCGCATACACCAGAGCGGAGAGTAGAGCAGGAAGAGTGCGGCGATCCGAGTAAACAAATCGGATCAGATCAGATCAGATCAGATCAGGTGTAGGGCCCCAGGCCAGGTATGGCTGCTGCTGCTGCTGCTGCTGCTGCATTTGTGCCGTTAATTGAATGCCTGTGGCTGATGAAAAGCAGACACCGAACAACAAAAAAAGGAGAAACAAATTGTTTGCTTTGATCGGTTCGGTTCGGATCGGATCGCATCGGACAGCCGAGCTCTTCCCTACCCATCCCAGCCACCCCATGGGCCTGGAGTACCCACCCACCCGCGTCGCCCCATGTCAAACAGACGCCATTTTTCTCACTCTCACTCACTCGCTCGCAGTCTTTCTGTCTCCCTCCTGCTCTCGCTGTGCCTCTCTGGCTATTCCGTATGGCTCTTTACGGTTTATTTAGTGTCGAGGTTATGGCGCAATTTGTATTTATGGGCACCACTAGGCGGCAGCATCATGAGCACGACTGCCCGCACCAGCACCAGCACCACCATGTGGTGGCAGTCCAATTAAACGCATTTTCCGAATGACTCAGGTCAGTCCAACCCCACACCCACCCACCCAGTCAGCCCGCCCACTCGCACGCAGCCCAAGAAGCGATCGGTGGCCCCACCACAGACCAGACCCAAAGAACGCCGCTCCAACTGCCACTGCCAGAAGAACACGCCCCCCGAGAGAGCACACGCCACGGAGAGCACATAGGGAGGGGGAGAGAACGAGTACAGTAAGGCCTGTGCTGAGGGTTTACTTCAAAATGGATTAAGGAGCGATTATGATGTGGAAAACTTAAATTTCCGCAGATTTTATGGGCCGTTATAGTATCGTAGTAACTGAAATACAAATGTATTATAAATTTAAATTTAATTGAATTTAAATTTAGAATTTAAGAAACCTTTTTCGTGCCTGCCTGTCATCCAGTTATTATTGTGTCCATCTGTCAGTTCGTCCATGTAAAACACTTGAACATGACAAGGGTCAGCGGACAAGTCGATCTAGTATGTGTATCAAGTCTACCTGCATGCCTGCTCGCCCTTCTATCCATTCGTCCCAACAAAATCCCTAATTTCAGAAACAATAAGGAATACTTAGAGTTACTAAAGTTAATAAAGGAGGTTTTAAAATTAATAATAAGTGAATTTAATTTATATGCAATAGGGAGAGAAAATTGCATCAAATTGAACATCTAAAATATTTAGCCACCCATTAGAATCCGCACTGTATCCCCGCTATCCCCGCTATCCCCAGCTAATCGATGCCTCTTTCGAGCCCTATGCTCTACGCAGCGAAGCACATCAGTTCTGCCCGGTCTACAAGAGCACACGGACAGCGAAGAGCAAACAGATGTCGACGCAAAGCGATTGAGAGGCCCCCGAAAGAGGAGAACGGTTCAGCCTCAGCCTCATTGGTCGACTGATCGCCACATGGATGCTCTGTCTAAATTTGGATGCTGCTGGCGGCGATTGGCGGACCGGGAAGATGAGATATAGATCCATTGGATGGGCGAGATCTTTCAAGAGTCCGCAGTCAGTCTCCGGCAGAGCTCTCATTCGGCAGACAAGCGCCTGACGGAACGGATGTGTGTGCAACGCTGCGAACGGTTCAGTTAGTGGATCCACTTCAGATCAGTTCAATTGAGATCAGTTTGGGATCAGTTGAATGCTCGGTGCGGTGCGGTTCGGCATAGATAGATAGAAAGATAGATAAATGCCTATTATTCGCGTGTGTGCAGTCGATCGACAAAAATCACTTCACACTTGGCCGGAAGAAGGTGGCAATTGAGACAACTCAACGCCTCCGACAAAAGCCAGGCGAGATTTCTGCAAAGAACACACAAGAAACAACAACAACAAAAAATAAGGAAACAAATAAAAGAAGTTCAAGTCAATCAATCGATCGATCGACTCGAACAGTGATCGATCACGCCGACAAAATTTTCGCCAGTCAACGCCAACGGGCCATAAAACAGAAGCGGATGATTTGAAAAAAGAACAACAACAAAAACCAAGAAAACATTTGGTGGAAAATCGCCTCAAAGTGGAAAACCCAAATGAGAATATATATATATATTTTTTTTTTGATTGACAAAGCAATTTTCCAGCACTCCCCCGCCCTCGAATCGAAGTTTTTTCCAGTGTACTCCCCCCATGAGTGTGTGTATGTGTGCGTATGTGTATGTGTGTGTGTGTGTGTGTTCGTGTCTGTGCGCGGTGTTCAATAATCAAATTTGACAACTGCGCGAAAAACGTTTGAGATCAAAACAACTAACTTGCAGCAGCCACAAGCGAGCAAAACCCAAATAAATGGGCCAACAATTCTGTGAGGAATACTTTTTTTTATTGTGATACCCAAAAGTTGCCACCGATTGACGGATATACATAAGAGTATATAATATACTGTATAGGCGTATATTTTGAGATAAATACGGGCTCAAATGACTCACCTGATGGGTCCCACGGAGTGCGCCAGCGCCATGATGAGCACCTCGATGCCCTTCCTGGACAATGGCCTGGGCCCCAATCTAACGGATTACAGCTGCTATGCCAACGATTACTGGACCACGCCGTACATGACCGGCGGCCTCAGCCCCATGAAACAGATCGAAGGTGAGTGGAGTGTCGGATCAGAATATCTCTGGGGTCAATGGGGGCAAAGAAATGCCTAAGAAAATGGGATACATGGAGGGATGCACCAGGTTCATCATTGGGAGAGACATTTCATGTGGTTTTAATTCTGAAAAATCAGTGCAAGATGAGCTTCTAGGCGAGGAACCAACGCGTTCTTAATTGCTTTCACTTGTACATCAAATGTGCTTCATTTTTAGGCTTAACTTAAAGCTTACTTTTGGCATAGTCTACTTTTGCGTCGACCGAAAGGAACAACAATAGATTATTATCAAATGAAATAGTGAGAAAATCAGATTGAGAGATGTAGTTTGTCATTGAGGGAATCTATGCTTTAAAATAATCATATGAAAATAAATAGGGTGGATTTGGAGCATTGCGTCAAAAGAAATATTTGTTGTGCATGGATAAAGATATTATCTGAAAACAATTGAAATTTTTAGATATTAATCACAAGAAGATCACTCGCTGGATGTCGACATATATGAAGTTTTTTTCCTGCACTTACACAAGAAATATTTAATGTGCATAAATCATACGAACAATATGATTCCTTCATCATTGATATTTTAAACACAAAATTGTAGCTTTGAAATATTGGGTTTAAACTATAGACAAATATTCTAAGAAAGATAGAGAAACATCTTTCGATAGATACTACCATTCTGGAAATACATATTGATGTTTTAATATTGAGAAAATAGAAAAACGCTTGCACCTAGCTAAACCTTATTGGGCTTTCACTGTTTCCTCTAATGAAATTATGTTGCATGATATTTATTGTCATTTATTTCGCGATAGTACTATAAACTATTCAAAGCAGAAACACTTTTAAAATAGAGTAAGAATACTTACTCAGAGTTAATTTAAGCAAGCTGAAAAACTTATTTAATAATTGCTTAAACGCTCGAAAGCTTTTTACATCATGCAAAAAAAAGTTTGAAGTAAGTTTCGCAATTCAAAAATTAATTCTTTTGAATTTTAAGAAGTTGAAAAATGCTCATCTCAGACTTCCAAAATTTGGTGAAAACATCAGCTGAGGGTCTCCGGGTCCCCTCCAAAAGTGGAGCTCATAAGTGATTTTTTTGGTGCTCTTCTCGAGCCTCAATAGATCCGAGGCCTGGACACTCGCCTCTGAATTCCGTTTCGGATACAGTAATTACCAAAATACACGAACCATGGCAGCAGCCAGCACAGAAAGCACAGAAAGTACAGAAAGTACAGAAAGCAGAGCAATTAGCTCGGGGAATTCTCTTTGAGACTGCGAGGCCCAAGTGGCTGGCATTTTTCTCTGCCTCCGCCTCTGTTGTTGTTGTTTGATGTTTGTGTGTGACAGAAAAACGATTTGTTGTGCCAAACGTTAATTGATTTTAGAATTCATTCGTGAAGCACTACGAACAACAGCGAGAACGTGAAGCCAGCGATAAAAAAAGAGCAGAGGAAGGGAACGGATCGGAACGGAACCGAAAAAGTGTGTCTCATTAAGCGATAATTGATGGCGGGAAAAACGCCGAGCCGAACCGAACCGAATCGAACCGAACCAGAGGCACCAAAGGCATCAGAGTCGACCTGTCATGGGTCATTGGCAACGATACCAGGGAACGACCCGCGACTCGCCTTCCTTGCCACTCGCCGAATCGTTGACAATTAATTGCAAAATTTACTTGCAACAAGAAGCTGCAGGCACGGCCAGGCCCTTTCCTGTGAACGCCACTCCGCCTGGGGCCCTTGAGAGGGGCAAACTAAATTTAGAGCAGGCGTCTCAATCAGCAGCCGCTGCTCTGACGCCTTTTTATAATTGGATATGTTGTCCCATTTGTTCCGTTTTTGCCCAGCGAAAGTCGGCTCATTATATAGCCAGATCGGATGGCGGTGGGGGTGGGGTGGGGTAGGTTTATAGGGAGATATAGGAAGGCAGTATCTGCGCCGGCGTGTCATCTTCATTGCTGCGTATCCCTCTCGTTCTGTGTATGTGCTTTCCACTTTAAATCGCATAAATCAAATTAAATATGAAGCTAGCAAATCTCAGATGGTTCATGAATATATGTATATCCATACAGTTGGTTTATATATGGGGTGTGTGATTTATAGGCAAATATTTTCCGCTCATTTGTCAAAGAACAGAACGCAAAGTGGGTTTCAGTCGGACTACGCTTCGACACAGCAGACGCTAAATCTCAGGAGATATGTATATCCAGGTCAACAATTAGTTTGAGTATATCCAGAGATCTTCAAAATGCTTAAAACCCAAATCACGACTCTTACAGCCTGCATTCAGACGGCGGGCAAGGATCGCAGCTCCTACAAGCCACTGGAACAGATTGATGCCAAATTGGCCGACATCGAGACGCACAGCACGGGCAGCAGTGGCGCGGCGGCAGGATCCAGCAGCAGCAGCAGCAACAGCAACAGTAGCAGCAGCTCCCTCAGCAACCCCAATGCCGGCTGCCAGGAGCAGACTTCGCTGCTCCACTCAGACTATGCCAGCGGCAACAGTGAAGCCACCAGCGGAGCAACATTGCTGTCCGCCACAGGCGACAACACAGCAGCGGGTGCAGGTGCATCTTCCGGCGCGGGAACAGCAGCCAAGAAATACAACAAAAACCAACACAAAAAAGACAACAACAATTTGGAAAATAGTTCTGTAAAAGCCAGCAACAATCACAGCATCAACGGCAATGCCAAAGGGGTAAGGAGTAAAAATTGATATTTGTTTAAATTAAAATCGATCGCAAATGCACTAAATTTAACCATCATCAAATATTCATATTATTAGGAGTTAAATTTGATATTTAAAAGAACGATTTAAAGCAAAGATTTTGTCGAGTAAAAATTCATATTTTTTTAAATTAAGATCGATCTGAAATTCACCAAAAATTAATCATCATCAAATGTTAATATTCTTGGGAGTTAAATTTAAATTTATTTGGAAAGATTTTCTCAAGTTATTGACTTCTATATTTCTAGATACATATACTATATATATGTACATATGTACATATATTCTGATACTGTATGTCAGAATGATTCAAGTTCCACAAATTACAAATTGGTTTTAAATTTCACTTTCTTAATATTTGTATCGAATTAATATTTACCAAAAACATCCCCACATCCCAACAACACTCAGAATATTTTTAATATTTTTTAATTTTTAATTTTAAAATACTTTATTTAATTTTCACATCTTCAATGTTCCTTAAATGTACATGCATGCATATATATATATAAATGTATACATACATGAGTACATCAATTTACATCAGATAAATTGAATATTAATTGACCCAGTAAATCAATCAAATATAATCCAAATTGTTCCTAATAATTAACATAAATCGATTCATCTAAGCGTCATTGCATGATCTACCTGAATCCTTTCTAATAACTTTCGTAATATTATTTAAATTTAAACCTCAAATAGGAATCAGAGCCAGTGCATCCATCGCTGGCCCAGGCCATCGTTGTGCTGGAGACCAAGGCGCTGTGGGATCAGTTTCATGCCCAGGGCACCGAGATGATCATCACGAAGACAGGCCGTCGCATGTTTCCCACGTTTCAGGTGCGGATTGGGGGCCTCGATCCCCATGCCACCTACATCTGCATGATGGACTTTGTGCCCATGGATGACAAGCGCTATCGCTATGCCTTCCACAAGTGAGTTTCCATCAGAGATGGCGATGGATCTACATACATATCAGAGGTGATGAAGTGATCTCATGTGTGTGTTTTTCGTCCCTGACAGCTCCTGTTGGGTGGTGGCCGGCAAAGCGGATCCTATTTCACCGCCTCGCATCCATGTACATCCCGACTCGCCCGCGGCCGGATCCAATTGGATGAAACAGATCGTGTCCTTCGACAAGCTGAAGCTGACCAACAACCAGCTGGACGAGAACGGGCATGTGAGTGACTGCTGCCCTACAGAAGTTTTCCCCCAGTGTGCTAATGTCCCCTGGAAATGGTTCTCCCTCTCTCTCTCTCTCTCTGCCTCCTCTTTCGCTCGCCAGATCATACTGAACTCGATGCATCGCTATCAGCCGCGCTTCCATCTGGTCTACTTGCCCCCAAAGAATGCCTCCCTGGATGAGAACGAGCACTCGAGCCACTTTCGCACGTTCATCTTTCCGGAGACGAGCTTTACGGCCGTGACTGCCTACCAGAATCAGAGGGTGAGTGCGGAGCATGTATACCCCTTTACCCAATATTAAATAGGTAATCCCCTTGGATGTACAAAAGTTTTCCCCTCTTGGCCTTACTACTTAGCCCCGCGTCACGTCACCTCCCCCACTCTGCCATGCCATAGCATACCAAATAAGAGGCCGCAACCATTTTGTGCCGTTTCGGCCTCATTGTTTATGATATTCCCATAATTTATAGCGAGCGCAGGGGCCAAAGCTCTGCGCCCCGAGAAGGGGAGCGGGAGGAGCTCTACACACAACAACAGCAGAAATATATTTGAATTTACATATCTGAAAGATTATAGGAAAAAATATGCCTATCCAGGAGATAGAATCAACGACTGCAAATATACACTCATCCATCAGATACGGGAACACAATAATGTTTTATATACATTTTTAATTTAATTTGAGACATTTAGCTTTGCCTATGCATGAGAATTTATTTGAAATGCTCAGTGTTTCGTGTGGAAATACGTGGGAAAACCACTGTTTAACAGTCAACTATTTCGTTTAAGTAAATCAACTAATATTATAAAATCATCTAAATCAACCGTTATGGACATTCAAACGAGATGACAATTTAATTTTATATTTAATTAATATATCTCATAAAGATATCTGTTTTTATTTTTATTTTTATTTAACGTTATAGAACAGATTTTTTTGGCAAACTTCTTAGGATGAAATTAATTAATATTTACGTCAAAGGAGTGCAGAAAATTTACATAACTATGTAATATACATATACATTTGAATAGAAGAAATGAATGAGTGAAGTTTATTCAAAAAATGCAAACGAAAGTGCGAAAATCGATCAAAATGCAATCGAGAAAATTGAGAGAAATTTAAATGGCGTTTAAATTTAAATTCAAAATGGGAAGGCAAGTACAGAGGAGACTTCCCGAACAAATATTAGCACAATCAAAGTGTCAGAAGGTAAACTTTTGAGGGGAGAGAACTCTGAGTGATATCTTATCGCCGGGTCGCGAGTTTCACGACAAACTAGGGGGACTCGTGGCATCTGCTTGGCTCCTCCATACCTCATCATATTTGTCTCGGGTATAATTCATAATTCTAGCAAGTGGGGGGACAGGGCTGTGGGGTAACATCGGGTAATAGCTGGCCGAGAGAACATTTGCTATAAATATATCTAGACATTCTTGAAAAGTATTTAAATTATTTATGCGCTCAATGTGGGCGTTAACACTTTTCCACCTCCTCATCTGCTCCTGCTCCTGCTCGGCGGCCGCTTCAAAATTTATTGCAAATCATTTTCTGTGTATTCCGCTCGTATTTCCCAATGCGAATTCCACTTGTAAACATTTTTCTCTAATTTGTTGGGAATCTAATTTATTTGTTTTCGTTGTATTTTCTGTTCCTCCAGCCTCCAGCATTCCGACCATACTTTTCCAAACATCCAAGCACACAATATAAATACCATAAATTCTTTCCGTATTGCAGGTGACACAGCTGAAGATTTCCAGCAATCCCTTCGCCAAAGGTTTTCGAGATGATGGCACCAACGATGTGTAAGTATCATTATTTATATATCTAATATCTGCAAAAGTTATGCCCCACTTGGAATATTTGTACTGGATCCAAAAAGGGCTTTCACAAACATTTAATTAAAATAATATTTAAAAGCAATCACAATTGAATTATCCAACGGGCATCCAACGGTTTGTTAGACACTCAAAAAAGAAACCAGTTAGATTTCTATTGAACTTTGTTAATACCAGTCCTAAAGCGAGACAATTTGTTGGGAAATTGACCCACTTCTGTGGGTTGCAGTTGCTGCCCCCAGTCCAATCCCATGCCAGTCCCAAGTGGAACTAGACATTCCGTCGACGGCGGGCAAAGACATTCCCGGAATTGCCGAAGCGTCGCAGCAAACAAAATATCTAAAATAAAAAAAGGGAAACAATAACTCAAAAACAAAAGAACTTCAAAATGTAGAACAGAACAGCAGCAGCCAGTGATGTCTCGGGGATGATGATGGGGATGCTGATGATGATGATGATGCCCGATGCCCGATGCTGATGCGACCGACTGACAGATGGGACGGCGGCATAAACAATTTCTTTCTGTTTTCCGAGGGCTTTTCATATTTGTCGAGAACGGGGAACTAGGAAGCCCAATCTTGGGCGCAACATATTCTAAACAAATCAGGGGTCTACAATTTCTATTGTTTATGCCCTGATGTTTATCAAAAAAATTCTCAGCATTTCTCAAAATATGTGCTCCAAATTTTTGGTTCACATAATTGTTGTATGGGGATTCGGATTCTGTTTCAACTCAAACGCTTATCAAAAAGTGTTTATCAGAACTTTATTTAAATTATCGTTCAGATCTTAGCAGATGTTGATCAGAATATAATCTTGATAAATCCAAAATTTGAAACACATTTTTGGTTTAAGAACCAAGTATCAGCAATATTTTATTTGTATGCGATCTAGCTCAATTCTTTCTGATGGCGAAGGACCGACTCGTAGGACCAACGAATGTAGGTATAAAACTTGTTGTATTACTCCGAAGATTAACACGCAAAGAGTGAAAAGTCCGGTGTTAATACATATGTATGTACATATATGTATAATCATTATAAAAGTTCACTGTACATTTATTTTCCTTCTGTTAACATTGGGGGTGTGGTGTGGGACCGCTCTCCCAACGCTCTCAGAGAGTCGTACCAGTTAACGGGTACAGCACATGGTAACAGCCGCAGTAACATGTTAGCATGTTAAAGCCCTGCTTTGAACATCTCTGAATGTTCCAATGTTTTAATGCGAAGGGTGAATTTTAGACAAATATAAAGAAACTTTTGGCAAAACTATTTTGGGGCAAATCTTTTAAAGCTTTTAGGCTACATGGTACATAGTTTTAATTAATGATTTTCGTAAATTTCTGTTACAATCTTTGCAGAACCAGCGGCAGCACTATGAGCCATGAGAGTCAGGCTCGCATGAAGCAACAGCAGCAGCAGCAACAACAGCAGCACCAACAACAGCAGCAGCAGCAGCAGCAGCAACTGCAACAACAGCAGCAATTGAGTGGCAAGGAAAGAACGAACAGCAACAATTTCAGCCTGAGTTGCACAGAGCTGAGCGTGGATCCTCAACAGCAGCAGCAGCAGCAACAGCAGCAACAACAGAGTGGCATGCAACTGCCAGCCACGCCCTCGAGCAGCTCCGCTTCAGGAAACTCCCCGGATCTGTTGTCCTTTCAAATGGAGCAGCTGCAGCAGCAACAGCACCAGCAGCAGCAACATCACCTGCAGCAGCAGCAGCAACACCAGCAGCAGCAACAGCAGCAACATGCCACGTTGCATCATCAGAGCCACAATCAATATGGCAGCTATCACCATGCCTACCAGACCCATCCACTGACGCCGCACTCCACCAGCTCAGCCTCGCCGCCAGCAGTAATCCCCGCCAGCAGCACAGCGGTGGCCACTGGAGTAGCACCAGCAGCAGGCGGAGCAACTGTGGCAGGAGCAACAGGAACAGAAGCTGGACCTGGAGCTGGAGCTGGTGCTGGGGCCACTCCCCAGGTGATGGCTGCGGCGGCTAATATTTACTCCAGCATCGGTCAGCCCTATGCCCAGGATCAGAGCAACTTTGGGGCAATCTATCATCATAATGCGGCCGCTGCTGCCGCCGCCCACTATCACCATGGCCACGCCCACAATCACGCCCATGGGCATGGCCATGGACCTTATGCCAGTGCGTACGACAAGCTGAAGGTGTCGCGCCATGCGGCAGCCGCCGCCTACGGGATGACGGCCAGCTACCAGACCTTCTACGGATCGGCGGCCCATCATCAGATGATGCGACCCAATAGCTATATAGATCTGGTGCCCCGCTAGATCCCCACATTGGACAGATCGCAGATCGAAAAAAGTATTAGCAGCAGTTGAGAAATAAAACCAAATAAATGCAAAAAGTATTACAAGTATTTCTTTAATTATCTAAAATTATTGAATGATTTTTTTTTTGCCTAGTTCTTAAATAAAACCAAAAAATATAAAAATATTTGTGTGCCATTGTGTAAGAGAAACCCCGAAAAAAGCAGAACAAAAAAAATGCATAATTATAGTTTGTAAAATGTAATTTTATGATACGATTAATGTTTTAAATGTAACCTATTTTTTTTTTTTTTGCCTAACATTTGAATTGTAGAATCTTGTAGAGTTCTCAATTCTCGCTCTGACTATTCTTATGGCATTCTATTCTATGTATGTACATACAAGAAAAACGTATCTCCTCCCTCTAAATATAAAACTGAAACAGTTTCAGCAGCAACAAAAATCATAAATTAACAAAAACAAAAAACAACAAAAAAACAAGAAACGAGATTTTAATTTTCTTCAATTTCAAAATGGCCGGCGGGGGCCTGTAGTGTAGGCGATCGGTAATTGGGAAATGCGGCGAGGAAAACACACGATTTTTCCATTTACCATTTTGTTTATGCCTTCTCATTGCTCTGTCCGCCCCTCTCTATCTTTCTTTGGTACGCTGTTTATATGTCTGGCCATCTCTTTCTAAACAAAAAGTGCCGTTGCCTTAATTGAGAAAAACCAACGAAAGAGCATCGCTCGATCAAGGGATGGGAGGAGGAGAATGCTGCGAGGTGGAGGTGGGGAGAAGATACTGTTGGATACTGGTGGATACTGGTGGGAGAAGGAGATCTAAAAGGTGGATGCAGAGAGAGGGATAGAAAGAGATACGTTAATGAAGAGGATTGAAAGAAGAAGAAAGAGACTGAGATTGGTGGAGAATGGTGGTGGAGAAAGTGGAGGGGGAGAACAGAAGAGATAGTAGGAGAAGTGGAAAGGATTATGGAGTGGCAATAGAAGGAGAAGATTGAGTTGGAGAAGAAATCGGGGTATCAGAAGAAATAATGAGAATAAAGAGAGTCGGAGAAAGTAAAAACAGACAAAAGAAGTCAAAGAGAATTTGGAGACTGGGGAAAGGGAAGAAAGAGACAGAGAGCGCCGCCCCAAGTGAGAGACAGAAAAAATGGAGTAAAGAAAAATGGAAAGGGAGCAAAGAGGGCGATTGGGAGGAAGTTGACTTAAAAGCGAAAACGAAGCAGAACAAAGTGGAAGAGAAAGAGGTTTTGGCGTGAGAGTGGTAGTGGTAGGGGGAAATACCCTAAGAGTGGGGAAACGACTTTCTGATAAAGATGTGGAGAATGCTATCGAGAAGGTAGAAAAACAATTGCGGAAGTGAAGATCAGAATGGGGCAGGAGGTAGTGGAAAATTAAAGAAAAGAGGCTGAAGAAGAGGTGGAAATACAGTGGAGATGGGGTGGAGATGCGTCTAAAGACAGAGAAAGAAATAAGAGAAAGCGAGCGAATGGGAGAGTGCGAGAGAAGAACAGCCCATAAACCGTATCTGCAGCGTCTCGATTTTCCATTTTCTATTTTCCCTCCTCCCCCACCACCCATTGTTATCGTTGCTGGGTCCGTCGACCCTTCGAAATGCGTTTACCCATCCTGATAAGTTTCCTTCTTGGCTGGCCCGCTGATTGACGAGGCGGATCTTTGGGGCAAACAAAAATTATACTCGTACTACAAATCGCCAGCGTTCGGGGTCGATTTATATTCCACTGAAACCGAATCGGACAGCAAGTGAAGTCCCCCCACATTGGGGATTGGGGATGCACACCTATTTATACATATCTATAAAGATATTTGTGCAGGCATGTTTGTGGAATCAACGACCCACAGCTTATAGCGTTTGCTCAAACGACCTGATTTTTTAAAAATTGGTTTCCAGCTGCATAAAGGCATTAAGGCTGCACTATTCGCGCCAAAATCAAATCAAAGTGTGCTTTGGTGGTATAAGTCGAGACATCCGATCCGGGGGTCTTATGCTCAATCCCTTAATTTGCTTACCGTTTTCTCTTTTTCAGTTATTTTTTGTTTTTCTTTTAGTTGGAATCCCAATTCTGGAATCCCTCCTATTCTGTGTGGCACGCGCCAAAATCATTTCACACGCCTCTTGACTCTGTCATTCCCTTTGAGTGCTTGCGACGATCAGAAACGATATTTCCTGGGCGTTCTGTGAGAAATTCAACTAAATTAATAACACACGCAATTTTCATTGCCAAAACAATACCTTTTACATTTATTAACAAACTTGAGATTGAGCACACCGCTTATGCGCATTCTATTAAGTGAAATTTGTTTTTGTGAGTGCGTTTATTTTCAGTCCGTTGATAAAACAGAAAGGATTCGGAAGTTTGATTGCGGGGAAATCAAATATCTGTTATTTTTGTCCGATTTTCCTACAGTGTATCTAATTGTTCTGCTGCGCAGACGGTGCAGAGTCTGCTCCGCATCTTATTTTTAACTGCAGGGATATTAGGAATTTATCATGCATATAAATTTAAATGCATATAAAAACTGCAAATAAACAACATAAATCCAATGTTAATTTGCTAAACATTTATGGCTCACTGATCCAACCTAAAGTGGTGGAAATGATTGGAGACGGTTTTTTATTACTTAGAGCCATTTCTTATTCATTTTGTCAGACCCAAGAAAGGGGCCAAGAAAGAGCCCAAGACATCCGAATATATGTAGAAGAATATTCTGTGCGTAATTGACAGAGATTTAATCCAACGACCCATGATAGAAAAGGCAATAAATCTGAAAGTTCCGGAAGCACTTGAGAAAGTTATTCCAGTTCCATCGAGGTTTTAACAATGATGGAGCTGTTTAAAAATTTGGCGAGGAGCAAAATCCAGTAAAAAGACTTCGATTTTGAACAAGCTCCAATTTTTTAGATGTTCATTTTAATATTTATTGTCTGGACGTTGATATGATCAAGTGGCCCATGCGATTCCAAGCCGAAGACTGTTACGCGCGGAATCCAGGCAGAAACGCAGCCCCTCCCCCCGCCCAACCGACCGAGGGGCGCTGCCGCATGACGCGCGACGCGTGTTACCGAACCGATCGCGAGCATGCAGTAAAGATAGGTGTTAGACTAAAAGTGAGAGGAGAACGAACGAGTTTGAGCCTTCTTTTGAAAATCAAGTGTGTATTCTAATACCATTACAAATAACAAAAATAGTACGAAAAAAGGTGGTGGTGCAGGTATTTATATCCTTTTACTTTTCACATCTTCTTTCAAAAATATCAGCGAGCGAAGCCGTCGAGAGCTGCTAGTATTTACATATGTAGATAGAAACTGTAGAAACTACATACATATTTGATGAAAAATTGCTTGGCATTTTCATTACTTCCTACCGATGAATGACACTTCGAAGTATTTATGTACATGTAATGTTATTTCATTTCCCTTTCTATCATTGCAAAGTTTTTCTCGAATGATTTGAATAGTGTGGAAGCTCGTATACAGTATTATAAATTGTTGGCTTTTTTTCTGGTTTCTCAGATTTATTCTTTGCTCCCTTTATATTATCCAATAAACACGGCTAATTTTGTTCTGCTTCATTATTCGTTAGCTAATTTAAAATAGTGATATTAAAGCCAGATTTCACATGGAACATGAAATATTTCTAGCCTTATGGGGTAAAAAACAACCTGAAACGCTAAAAAATGGCTAAGCCAAATTAAAAACTATCATTTGAGATTATTTGTATTAAAAATTAATTTCTTTAGATATACGCCTGTTGATCCTAAGCAAGAAATTACATATACAACATATGTGCTTACATATAGCAAGTATAGGTATGTACATACATACATATGTAGATGTATATATGTACGTGGATGTACATCGGAGGAGCAATCGGATGGTACGATCAGTGAGGCATGCGACACATGGTCTCGTTATCATTAGTAACGTCGCCTTGGGTGACGTTTAACCTGCACCTCCTCCCCAACCACCACCTTTACCGACACAAAACAAGACGCGAGGAGACGTCACTTCAATCTCAATTTCACACGCTCCGAAAATCAGAAATCAGAAGTGAAATGAATTTCTCAAAAACTGTGTGACAAGCCATCAAAAGTCCGACAATCATTATTCACAGGAGAATTTCGACACGCCAGAGAGAGACAGAGAGATCGGTGCAGGGAGATTGATTATTTGGCATATTGAACTTTGACCAAAGATCCATACACATGCACACACACACACACACACACACCTAACCGGGAGGAAACTGAACCGACAAAACAGAAGAATATGGTCTAAAAATGTTGCTCAGAGGAAATTCTTTCTGCTCTCTGGTCGCTGGCAGCATCAAAGATCTTTGTGGATGTCTAAAATTTAATAACGCTATATCTTCTGGTACATATCTTCCCCCATCCCGCCTACGCCTCCCTCTGGCTGTGGTCCCCTCCTAAATAATAACAAATTGGCATGCAATTCGCCTTAGAGCAGCGACCAAGTAGAACATAAATTTCTCAACACTTGCATAAAATTTCTACAAAAACAACGATCAAGAACAAACAGATGTGTCGCCGACTGATTGAAGGGTGTGCTGCGGCAAGGGGATGTTGTTTGCATGGTGCAAGTTGGCAGGGGCTGGGGCTGGGGCTGGGGATGGGGCTCGGGGATGGGGCTCGGGGAGGGCAGTGGAAGAGTATGGAATAGCCAGAGGTAACGAGGAGCATTTAGTCGAGGAGGCAATGTATATTTTTTTGGGAATTGCAGGCAGAAGAGAAGTCGGAGCGAAATTTGTTAATAATATTCGTTTACATATGGACACGCACTCGTACTCCTAAAGTAGAATTCTTATTGCAATACGTGCTTAAAGTTCAAGCATGCGATAACGGCAGACAGTTACTGAGTTGTTCAATCAAGTTTAATTTAATATGAAGCTAATTTCACCAGCCCTACTTGTATATAAATAAATAAATAAATAATTAAAACCCGTTCAGCAAAGGAGCCCTGACCCTTTAGGAGGACTTTCATACACTTTCTGTTACGTGAAACAGTTTAAGTTAAAGTTCTTTAAGGTTTTTTTTCTTAATAAATTTTATCTTTGAATATGCGGAAATAATTTTGCTAAATTTTATTAGCATTTAAAATACATTCACTTGCCATGCAATTAATTGCAAAAAATTCATTCCCAAAACACTTCAAAGAATATATCTCTAAGGTGTTTGCCAGCTCCTTCAATCGCTGTTGCTCACGTTTTCGGGGGCTTTTTAAGATAATTTTGATGCCTCTTAGAATCTACATATTTTCTATTCGCTCTCTTTTCTGCTCTCTATTATTACTAATATAATTATTTTATTTACATACTTAATATATATATACATATTTATGGATAGATGGATCTATTTTCCGATAACAGAACCCTTTTTCCGTTTTTTTTTGTAGATCTGATTGAATAAAAATAATATTTATCAAATGCTCCCGTAATGAAGCAATTGCCTATTGGCCAATCCATCCCTGCCCGTAATAGCTATAAAGGTAAAACAGTCCAGAATATAGGGATTTATTCTAGGAATGGTATTGGCAATTTTTTTAAATGTTTTGCTGATTAAAAAATAAATCTCTCCAAGGCATTCCATTCCCAAAACGAGCGTAGCTTCAGCTGTACATACATACATACATAAGGGGAGGGGGAAACGGATATTACTAACCCAACTGACTAACCCCAAAACGAATAACTTCACTAGGCTGTGAAGTGATTCAGGGTTGAATATTGCCCAAACTGAATTGAGGGAAATGAATGTGTCAGGTGCTTTGACTGACTAATACCAGAGGGTTGGAATCGTTGGACAGGTTGTGTCCGGTCCAAGCTCCAACACATTACATTCATTGTAAGAGACTCCGGGAAGCACACACCTCGAACGAACCCATGGAATTCTACGAAATTGTGGGGCGGAGGTTCAACATCGACATGGAATAGGAATCATCGTTTAATTTTATCGCCATAAACACTTTCGGTGCTGATAAGTCATAATCGGCACTCTGGTATGACGTACATATGTATGTACATATGATATGGGGTATGTACATTGTACATACATAGTATGTACATATCTTTGGGGCACTTGCCGTGTTTGTATCATCATGCCCAAGTCCGGCCACTATTTGGCTCCAACTTATATACAGCAATAAGGCGGCAAAGAGGCAGGCACATGTGTTTGTGTGTGTGTGTGGGTCCACCACCGCCCTATCATTATATGGTGACAATCAATTGGTGTGTCAGAGGAGCCACTTGAGAGTGGAATGAAAAATCATTTGGAAAGATGATTTGGATGCCACTGTAAAATGAATATTTTTGAATATTTATTGTCATCCCTTACGATGTGGTAGGTCCACTTCACATCCAATCCCATCCCATGCCATCCCAGTATTTGTTGTTGTAGGTGTGCGCCCTGTCGCCCTGTCGCCCTGTCGCCCTGTCGATCTCTGGTGTTTCGATCTCGCATCTTGCATGGTGTCAAATGGCTTGAAGGTCCGTGTCTCCCTCTCTCTCTTCCTCTCTCTCTCCCTCTCCCTCTCTCTTTCTCTCTCTTTCAAGTGGAAAAAGAAACTGTTATTCTTATCATCTTCTAAGTGTTTGTTGCAGAGATTCCAGTGGCTAGGGGTGGGGGCGGGGGCGGGGGCGCATCCGTGGCTAATCGCTTTGAAAGTGAAACCGTGTTTATGCTGTTGTGTTGTTGTCTTCGTTTTTCCGCTTTTCGCATTTCGTTTGTTCGTTTGTTCGTTTGTTGGTTCGTTCATCTTATTTTCGGTTTGTTGTTTCAACCCGACACTTGAGTCTTTGTTTATGCGTTAGAGACAGCAGCGTAACCCACTGTTTAGGGTATGCAGCAGGGCACGCAATGCTCTATCTAAAGGTGGATACTCGTACATAGTACAGGCTGGAAAAGGGAAAGTGGCAGTGGAAAAAACTTTGCACTATCATTAAAAATAATATGTGAAAATTGTTGTATTGTGTATCTATTCAACGATTGAGAGACAAGCAGCATAGGCAGCATGCAAGGGTATTAGCAGTTAAAAGGATCAGAAAGCCCTAGAGGGAGAAAGCATCCGCTGTGATTCATTAATGGATATTACATGTTCATAAGCTTCTAAATTAAACTTCAGCGATATTTTTTGGGTAATGGCTGATCATTGGATATTTTATATTTCTAAATGAACTTTATAGAACAATTCAATAATACCAAATTTTGGGATATATTCTCAGTTCATTTAACTGTAAAGAAGGCGATCAACATATTGCTTGAGGGCAGTGAAATTATTTCCCAGGAAATTTGCCCTCAATATGTTTCTCGAAAAGATGGTGACAAATAAATAGTTAATTAATTTTAAATTAATAAACGAAAAAAAGGCCTTAATTCTTGCAGATCGATCGGTTATATCGGGTGTTCCACAGGTAAAGAGCTGGCAATCTGTGGCACATCCGATTGTGGGAATTTTTCCATTTTCCATTCCATAAATGTCAGATCTATTTCTATCGGTTCCAACTCAGTTGGAATTCTGTCTGTGGCACCCCTAAACTTGATAAATTTGATATTTTCTATGATCCGAATTATATACAAAACCAAAAAGATTACCAATCCAATTTCCTAAAATATATCCCTTCAACGCTCGCCTGGATCACCCTTCGAAATGCTTTTATAATAATTATTCACTTGTCCCAAACTATGCGTTTGCTGCTGCAAATGATGTCCCCAGAACATAAGGCATGTCCTTCAGGGCATCAGCTAGTCGACTACCTTGGCTATTTCCTGAGCTGGTCTTGTGTGTTTTTTACTGTTATTTATGCCTGGATATGGATCTTTCCTCACAGACGCCAACACGCGACTCAAGTGGCAAACGGCGGCCTGACCAACCCCAAAAAATTGAGGAAAAAAAAGAATGACGAACGGCAACGGCAACGGCAACGGAACGGGAAACCCTTTGTGTGGAGACGCGCATGCGCGACTTGACTGTGTCGAGGGGCATATTTGACATATTGCTGACACGCCCACAAACAAATCTCTCCTCTATCCTCAGTCTCTGGCTCTGCCTGTGTCACTCTCCACTTCAACGCTGCACAGATGGCGCACGTGCTCGCTCGCCTCGCCTCGGTATGGGACTAACCGTGGGCCGGACAGGACCACAGCCAACATTGTTGCTACCATTTTATGGGCCGTGAAAATTATGAAATAAAAATTGCATTTAAATAAGGGACATTCTTTAGACAGTGCAAACGGCAATTAATATTACACAATAGCAGCGGAGAAGTCCAGACAGGAATTGGGTATACGGGGGGAGGGGGGGAATCGGGATCTCTTTGCCTGTCGATTCAACGGAAATTGAGCGCATAATTCAGAAAAATGTTCTGCCTCGGATCGGATATGTCGTGCCATAAAAATCGTGTTGAAATGTGCAGCAGTGGCAGTGGCAGTAGCAGTAGCAGTAGCAGGAGGCTGGCTCCCTCCCTCTCTATCGCGTAGCGTAGCTGGGCGCACTTACCGAAATTAATGCTATCGATGACAACACTGGCAGCCACAATAAAAGGCAAATGCCAAAAATAGCAGCAAAACATTATGCTGAGGAGACTGAAGCTGAGGCTGAGGCTGTGGCTGCTGGCAGGGAAGGGATGGAATGACAAAGCAGCCACAGAAATTATGATGCTTGCCGATGGTGGGGACAGGGCCGGGGATGGGAACGGCGGCGGGGCAGATGGGGACAATGTTGCCACTGCTGCACAATTATTGCCAACTGTTAACAGATTTGTTGGCAAAGAGAAATTGAGAGAGCGGGCATGGGATGGGTGCCCTGGGAGCGGCAGCAACATTTGTTTGATAATGATAATGGCCATGTTGATGCCTGGCCCGGTCCGGCCCACGGAAGATGCCGTTGCTCCAAAGGGAAATTGAGTCATTTCCAGATGGTACTTACATATTATGGGGCAACAGGAATGGCATACAATGGCCACACAATACACAGCAAATAAAACTCAATTTGGACACCGATAGCTAATTTTGTGCGATTTATTCAATGACCCGCGGACTTTAATAGAGGGAATAAAATCCAAGAACAATCCCGCCACTATGCAGAGCAGAGCAGAGTTCGATGAATACCAGGATGGTAAAGCGAGGACCAGGCAAAGATCATTAGAAGTCCGGTAGAAGTGCACCCAACCAAATCGAGTACTTTGGTTGAGCAGTGGTAGTCCGTGTACCAATGGGAATCAGTAGAGCTATCAATTGAAAGTATACAAAAAAATTTAATTAGAAAAGGAGAGCGGCACAATTCTGCTATGGAAACGACTACTTGCTTTAAATATATTTCATGGTATTAATCAGTGAAAATGTTATGCCGCCACGAAATGGGTTCCACATTGTGGTATGTAACAGTCGATAATAGTAGTTCAAATATCAACTGCGAGAGCTTGATATGTGGCGCGTACACTTGAAAATTTGAAAGCCATTCCAAGGCTGGATTAACTGGAGGATTGAGAAGGGTTTAATATAGTTTTAAAAAATAGGATAATATTGTTGAATGCTTCAAAAAAGGTACGGGTAAAGTCCACAAGGCGCATTAAATAATTTTGATAATTAGCAGAAAGTTTCTCTTGCTCACCCTTGGGATAGATTTTGTTGTGAAACCTTTGGAATCCGCATTGTAGAGTTGAATATGAAAGGTGCCTAATAAATCGAAGAACTTGCGGCTATGGGTAGGGTATAGTGTGGTCATTGTAGAGGCTAATATTGGCTAGTTTAGAACAGCCGTACCGAGAGGGAATTGGGGACTATTAAATTTAATTATAATTTGAATTATGATGCAGCTGCCCTTGAGTTTCAGGTGGTTCCGGTTCCGGTTCCGGCTCCGAGAGTACATTGCAACCGCAGAATGGACAGAAGATCTGATAATTAAACCAGACCGTGACACAGCACGTGTGATAGGAGTGTCCACAGCGCAGTCGGACCCAGCCACACTTATTCGTGGACTTCATGGTCTCCCGGCAGATGATACACTCAAGGCCGACTATCTCGTGGCCTTCCAACTTTTTGGAAGCCATTTCCATGGCGTTGCGAGCGTCCACGCGAAGTCTAACCCGGACGATGGCATCAGAGAAACTCTTGACACAATACAGCAGGTTGGCCAGGCCCACAGTCGGCCAGTAACTCAAAAAAATGTGGATGGTGCAGACGAGTTCGAATGCCTCAAATAAAATCTGGGTTCGGGGAATTGTCCGATTGCAGTTTTTGCATTCCCCTTGCAGGGCATTTGTAACCTGCCAAATTCGCATACTAGTCACGGTATTGAGGATTAGTAGGGCTTGCTCCACTGTCAAGCGATCTTTGAGGCTGCCATCGTCCAGCATGTTTTTATAGGACCACATCAGCCACACATCCAAGGCGATCAGCACATTGAGAGCTTTGAAGGTCGCATACTTAGCATGTAAGGTCTTCACGTGCTGTCGAGCAACCCAGTGCATCCAATGCGACATCATTAGCAAAAACAGGCAGTACGGCATAGTCCAGTCCAGCTTGTTGGGCATTAAGCATAGAGTAAATATCATGTCCACCGCATAGAAAAGGAAACGCTTGTACGCATTGATGTGCCAAAACTTGTGCACAATATAATAAAGGCATAATAGGCCCATCCACAAAAGCGTATTCTGAAACATTTCTATGAGTTTGTAATTTAAATGCTTTTGCGAAAACTCTCGCATGTACGTTTGATGATTTTTTAAACTTCGAACTAGTTTGATATTAAACTCAATGCTATACTGACACTGGTAATTGTACAGTTTTGGGCTGCCAGGTTTTCAAAATTTGAAAAACTGATAGCTTTTTGTCCATAAAGTTATCTGGCTGGTGGCCATCTCCATGGTACCTCTTTCCTCTATTTTGTGTAAACCGTATTTTATAGGTAATCAAATAATTGGGAGTCCTTAAAATAAGCTAGATAGTAGAAAATTAATTCATCAATCGGATAAAATTAAATGTACAGTGCTGAAAGCCTTTGCTGAATAGTAATATTAAATCGAATATCAAAATTGAGGAATATGATTTCCGATCATGGACAGATACCGACTAACCAACCCATTGTCGACCAGTGGGTATGTCGACTTACGCATGAATATTATGATTTCAGGTGTAAAATATCGTGGTAATATTTTTTTGTAGGTAAAGAAGAAGGTCGTACAGCTGCGGTCAAAATAATAGTAGTGCCAATATGACTTTTCATATATCCTCAAAAATAGGAATTACGAGCACTGCTCCATAATAATACTAGTTTTTTTAGAGACTATCTTGATTGCAGATTGTAAAAATGGAAAACAACTTAGAATAAACCATCAACATTTTCAGAAAAATATTAAAATGTTGAAGTAACAACAGTTTATTCGAAGCTAGTTTTAAGATTTATTTGAGTAGCCTATGTTAGGCCTCTACCGTCTGCACGACGCTTTGGCATGGAGCTAATTCAATTTTGCTACCTTTCAACAGAAATGAGTTTATAAGACTTTTCCTCTCACATAACATCATAAATTATCGATTAGATTGAGATCGAGATTGAGATTTAATCTATTGGAAGCGCACCACTCTTTTGAAACCTTGCGGCTGCCCTTCGGATCTTTGTCCTCCTGGGACGTCCAAATAAGTTGCATAACCTCAGATGCATAAGGTAGAATCATTTCGATCAATATTTTAATGTATGAATACGATCCAGTATGTTTTTAACACATACATATAATGGTCACATTCCGTAGCTGGAAAATCTCGCCCAAAACATTCTTTATGGTGCCACAGTTTTACGGTTTTTGTGGAAAATTCAGAAACCCGTGGTCGTGTTAAATACCAACGAGATACCAGGCTCCCAAAAAAAAAAAATACAATTATAAACTCGTTCGAATTAAAGTATTCCTCCAAATTTACTATGGCCAATTTAATTTGTTCCTTAGGCTTCGTTTCATTGAATTATAATCTTAAACGCTTCTCCTAATGATTTCAGTACTAGTTTTAAAATTAAACATTTTTTTTAAGGCTGCAGCAGGAGCAAAATGGTTTCACTACACCTGTCGTAATGGTTGATCTACTGATATTTTGACGAAAAACTTCGTTGATCGCGTGTTTTGCTTAATTGTTCTTATATATTATCATTTCTGATCATAATAGCTAAACAACCAATAGTTTTTGGCATCTCGAAATATTACTATCCTACTGAAACGATCTCTTTAAGCACGAAACCTTCTCTGCTCTAAAGTGTTCTCCCCACTCCCCATGACACCGGTACCAAATGACCAAAAAATAAACTAAAAAAGCTTGAAACTGTTAAATAAACCATTCCAGTTTTGTTTAAGAACAAAAGTTTTGCAAAAAATGCAAAAGATTTCAAAATTTTCAGTATCCATACCATTATTTTGACCGCATCGAAATGGTGATATTTATCGAAAAATCACGAAATATAACGGAAAGAAAAGAGACACGCTAATACAACTTTATAATCATGGACAGCAATGCCTAATAGTTGTACGAGTAAAGAAACAAATTCGATTATTGAAGGAATAGCGGAAAAAATAGCAATATGTAAATCCATTTGTAGCACTACTATTATTTTACCGCAACTGTATCTACAAGAAGAATATAAAAAGAGTATTGTTTATATTTCGCGGCTTAATTCACTGTTATTCTCTGTTTGATAAAAGAGGGGTTAAGTCCTATTTTTTTCTATCTTCGGTATATTTATGGTATTTTATGCAAATGATAATGTATATTTTGGTATATTTTTTAGGGTCAGACGGTATATTTTGTCGATAAATCCGCGGTCACACTGCGGAACAGCCTGTTGCGGAACGTCCAAAAGGATTTTTGGACAGGACCTCCACCAGACCTTGATAACGAAAAACATAATGTCGGGAACACTAACGCTATGCGTCTGCGACTACTGGAAACGGCGTCACTACTACAAACGCCCTCCACTGGCCCTGGATGCAGCCACCACAACAAATGAAGATGCGGCGGCGTCAGCGGCCCCCGCGCATCTGGAAAAAAAGACAGTGCGTCGCCTGCGGCTGCAGGTGAATGCCATAAAGGGCAACTATTATTTGCGGGAGTTTCTGCAGCAGCGCGTGCTGGCACTGCGGCTGCGGAACCATCATGGCGTGCAATTGATTTGGCTGGAATTTGAGCCCCCGGAACGGGACACCATCGATTACAAGTTTGCCGATATACTGGCCCACACCATCTGGGAGCACATAGAGGTGGAGAATCTAATGTCCTGGCTATCCACACTCGGCGGTGGCTTCTCAGCGCTGGGCGAGCAATTCGGACGATGCGTAAGTTAAGCATAAACGAATCTCTGGGTCTGAGTACACACACTGAAATCCTCCTATATACACAGGCGGAAACGGCTGGCAAGATCTCGCTGCAGCAGCTTAAGATTGGCCTACGTCTGGGTGATCCCTTTCTACAGGCCCGCTGCAAGCTCTACTACAGTATTTCGCTGATACAACGCGGCCATTTGCGTGCAGCCAAGCATCTGATCCGGGATCAGTATCAGTTTGCACGTGTCCATCAGGAGAAGGATCTGCGACTGGTGCGCATGTGCCAGGGCATTTGGCTGCGTCTACGATACGAGTACGAGCAGCGGAATCAGCGGCTTAAGCAGCCCCCAGCAACAACAGCAACAGAAAGTCAATAGATCCTTAAGCCAAACATAAGAAAATACTCTACACTGTACTCTAATCGTAATAAGCGTTACTACCATTTACCATTAGGGGAGCACAAGAGGCAGGAGCAGGAGCAGTAGCGGTTGGTTTTTATTCCAAGCTTTTAGGCCAAATTTAAATTGTATATTCAATAGTTCTTTTTATTATTATTATTTAATGTGTAATTGTATATACGTAAAAAAATGCATTTACATCATTCACTTTCTCTTTTAGTTTTGTGTTTTTTTTTTGTATTATTATAATTTTCAGCCGGCCCGGTTGTTTGCAAATAATCAAAAAGAAAGACGACACAAATTTAATGTACGACAGACACAGGACAAAGGACGTTTTTTTTTACTTAAAATTGAACGACGCCCAAATAGGGCAATGGATAAGTGCATAATTATATATCATATATAAATGTGTGTGTGTGTGTGTGGTTCAATCAAATATTATTGTGTTCCTTTTTGTGGGTGCCCTAATATCAGAAAACAGAGGATTTTGAAAGCATTTTGTTTGGAGGCGGATCCGAACCAAAATTGATGCTTAAGTTGCTTGCATGCCACACCATCTCGATGTTGCTACTGCTGCCATTGATGTTGTAAAGCTTTGTGTATATATATAGGTAGTATTTATATAATGACAGCTGGGCTCACTGCTGGTGCCTGGTGCCGGTTGCCTGTTGGTGATGCTCACTGCGCCAGCGTGCCCATGGGATCCCAGGCGGGCAGGACAATGGGATCCATATCGAAAACGCGCAGCACATCTTCCGGCACATACTTCTTGTCGACAACCACCTCGAAGCCAAACTCCCTGAACCAATCGGCGCACATCACCAGATAGCCCTTCTCGCCACGATCCTCGCCCCAAGAGTTCTCCACGCGCAACTTCTGAGCCACGCCATTCTTCTGCAAAGCACAAGGGATTTTAAAACCTTTAAGATGTTTCGAAACAGATGTACTTACGTCCACAGAGACGGCGGTAAAGACCATGGCATGGGTCATGGCTGATTCGCCATAGATGAGACGGTCTGCCTTCGAGAAGGTCGTTTGTATATCGATGTCAAAGACCAGCTTGAAATCATGGCTGCAGACAAACAACAAACAAATTAAGAATAGATAACGCCATAGGGTAAACGGGTCTGCGGCGCTCCAACTCACACTGACATATCCTCGATGCCCTGCTTGGAGGCAAAACGCTTGCTAACCTCACAGCCAAACCATACTGCCTCGCCGGCCTTCAGCGATTTGGTGACAACGGCTAGCAGAAGCTCCACAGATTGATTGTTGTACAGAACGGGACGGCCGCCAACCACATTGCCCAGACAATCGACGGTGTAGGCCTGATCGTATCTGCTAGAAGGCCGGGGATCGGTCACCAGGCACACCTTATCCTCCACATTAAAGTGCGGCTTCACATAGCGCTCGTAGAACTCAACCGAACTGATGGGGCCAACCGATTGGTAGTTCTTGCTCTTATCGTAATACTCCCAGATGAAGGTCTCGGCGGGTATGCCCAGGCAGATGCCCACCACCTTGTAGATCTCCGACATTTGCTCCTGGATCTTGGCTGTGATCTCCTCCTCTGTGGGCTGCTGTTCCATCAGCACACGCAAATGGCGGGCATACTCCCGGAGCTAAATGCGTGTAAGGGAATTAGGGATTAGGGGCTAGCAAGTGACTGAGGTGGGAGAGAAGAGGCTTTTGCATACCTTGCTTTTCAATATGGCATTCATTCGTATGCTGGACTCGCAGCTAAAGCTCTCGGGAAAGCATTTCTTTGGCATGAGACCATGTTTGGTTATCAGATTGACCAGCATATCCCACTGACCGCCATCGGAGGTGGGGTCCAGCAACAGGAACGACACCAACCGGCCATCAACCTTCTCGCCCCGCCGCGCCGTCTTCACAACGTTGTTGAGAAAATAGTTGCAGCGCTCGATCTTGTCCCAGTAGAAGAGGAAAGCCTGCGAGAACTCAAACTCATCCAGATTGTAGTTCTTCATGAAGGGCAGGCGTATGCAGTTGAGGGCCGCAAACAGCCAACAACGGCCGCTGCTCCGCTGATTGGTCACCGGCTTGCCCTCCGTTTCCACCTTAAAGTTGAACACATGGTTAGTGGCCTCTAGCACCTTGCGGGAGAGGCACACATCGAACGGATCGACACGGGAGCAAACGTTCTGGGCGAGCAAGTTCTTCGGGTGGCTGTAGAAGTTTTTCCGCCACTTGCCGAGCAGTTCGCTGGTGACGACACTGCTGTTGCCGCTCTCGCTCTCCGATGCATGGATGGAGTTCTTTGAGGCGCTGTTATTGTTGCCATTTCCACCAGGTCCACCGCCTCCCGAGCTATTCTTGTCAGCTGCAATTAAATTGGAATGGCAACGTTCGCCCGATTTTGAGTGGGTTTTTCGTACTGAATGTTGTGGGTCCTGGCTCTGGCTCTGGCTGCGACTGTGGCACTCTCCCTGATGCCACATCTGCGTCTGAATCTTGATCTTGAGGGGGGTTTCTTTATAGCTGGCTAAACAGTGCAGGGATTTGCCCACACGCTTGAATGCCCACCGAGAAACTGGGTTAACGAAGATCGAACCAAAAACGAGAAAATTTTGGGTGCGAACTTTACAAAACAAAAAAAAATTGTGGAACATTTAGCTACAAAAATCAAATTAAACAACATATCAAAATCATAGAAACATGACACTACACTAACAGATTTTGGATATGAAAATACATCATTTTTTTAGGGCTGTTGTATGGGGCTTGTGACGCAATCGAAATCTGAGAATGGGCCCCCCATTAATAGCGTTATCTTCATAGGCATATTTCCTCTCTAGAGTTGGTCAATGTTATTGCAAGGTTGAGAGCTGTGAGTGCGGGCGTTGTCCACGGATTGTTGATAAAGGCCGAGGTAAGCTAAAAAATTACTTGCACAAAAAGCAGAAATTGAAAAGCGACAACAGCTGCGGCGGGACCGAGCCGGGCCATTAGCATTAACTGCAAATGTCTCTCTGTCTGTCCCTGTCTTTCTCACCCGCTCGCTTTGCGTACGTGTATGTGCGTCTTTGTGAACGTGTGTATGTGAATGTCTTATGCACTTTGGATTTCTGCTGCTTTGCCATTTATTTTAGATATTGCGGACCAGCTTTTGTTAATTGTTTATTTCATGCCTGCATGGATGTGTGGGTGTGGATGGTCGCCAGGGCCTGGCTACCAGATGCTGATAACGCAAAACTTGACGAGTTAGCAGAAATCGTAAAGAAATCTGAGCGTAACTAAACCTGGAAAAATTTATATTAGCACAGTTATGACCCTTTCGGAATTGGGCTTCTCTCTCTGGAGGAAGACTGTGTGTGCGTGAGAGTGAGAGGGCGATGCAATTAAACCAGTTTAACGGGACTCGCACACATTTGCCCGTAAATATACATTCATACATACATACATATGAGTATAGCGGGTGTAGAGTTATGAGCAAGAGAGAGGGAGACGAGACGAAGAGAAGGCTGGCCAACAGGCCAAAATGCCGTTTTAAAAACTTTCGCGGAAAGCCGGCGCAAAAAATCTAAACAAACCAATAAAAAACAAAAAACGGTTAACAAATAAAAAAAAACTTGTTTGTCCAGTATCATGCGTGTGGCTGTGAGTGTGAGCCAAAAAACAAACACAAATTTGGGTGAAATTTTACTTTCGTCTGGACAGTTTTTGTTGTGGCTGCTGTTGCTGGGGCGTCAGCAAAACTGCGTCTCGCTCAGACATACACAGAGGCAAGAGACACACACTCGTACACTTGTACATGGGTTGTCACCCCCGCACAAAGCGGTCCAACAACAACAACCAAAGAATGCAGAAACTGCAGCAGAAATAATTTCCTGCTTAACCATTATTTTGGCTGCAGTTCTCTTTGTACTTCTCGTTCTTTGTAGTCCGTCACACTACGCCAGAGGGGCATGCGCGGGGGGTCTTTGTCTGCCCCCCGACGACGCGTCCTACTTTACTTACACATAGTTTTTTTTTGTCCTCTTTCACTTTTTTTGTTGAACTTTTAAAGATTGCACTTGTTTTGAATTTGGTAACTACGGAATTTTGATCTATTTCCTTTGGCTAGCTGGATGTTATGTGTGTGTGTGCAATGCAAGCAACTTTAAGCGCCTGTAATTATGCGCGAATTAGCCGCTTATTTATTTTGTTAATGTGAAAATGAAAAATGGGTTTAAACAAACACGGCCAACGCATAAAACGGTTTTAACTATGAGCATGGACATTTGTTATATTAAATTTCAGGTAAAAAAGTACGGTGCAGTGTTTTAAGTTTTTGCTCGGTATACTTTTAACGCAAAAATGAGCAATTTCCTATCGAAGCTATCGGTATCGGTATCAAGAAAAAATGAAACTATCAATGAAATAATTGAGTACATTCAAAAGATCCGATGATTAGGTATCGATAGGCGCAACGCGTTGAAGAAGTTGCTCGTCCCTGCCGTCTCTCTCCGTTTTTGGCTGTTGCTGCGACCAAGGTAGAACTCGAGAGGTAGGGATTTCGGAATCCCCGTCCGGGCTGTTGAGTAGCCAGATCCAGAACCACCAACCCCCGCCGTTTAACCATCACGCGTCGACCCAATCCAATCCAATCATCTGGTTATTGTTTAAGTGTTCTTCAAACCCCCAATGAAATCCCACAAGTGAATCGGATTTGATTCGAGAGCAGCCAGTGCAGTTGTCCGTCGTTTGTCGTTTTTCGTTTCGCGATATTCTTCGGTTCGGCCACAAAAAGTCATGGAAAACCAGGACAACAAAAATGGCGACTTGACCGCCAAGGAGATGGCCAAGTTTCTGTACTGCATGGATAAGTTCCTGCCGCCACTGGATCTCAAGAATGATATTGTTTATTGCCAGCGGGCACTGCGTGATTTTATCAAGGTGCATTCGGTGAGTAGTGTAGTTGGAGCAGCAGCAGCAGCCACTGCGGCAGGCAGCGCTTGCGAGGGGTACATCGATTGTTAATACAATTTTCATATTTTTCCCTTGCTTTAGTTGGTCTCGGAGGTGTTCTCGCAGCAGGAGGATGCGGTAAGTTGGTCAGAGTTTCGTGTGCAGCACAGCAGTGGCGTGGAGGCACCACCCGAAGCAGTGCAGCACAACCAGGGTTGGCAACAATTGCAAAATTGTCCAAAAACAAAAAACAAAAAGAAATTAAAATTAACACTTTTCCGCACTTTGCCCCTCGCATGCACGCACCCCTCTCTCTCTCACCTGTTAACCTGGTTTTGAATTGAATTTTTTGTATTTTATTTATGACCTCTCATGCCTCTGTCTCTCTTGCTGCTTGCATAACAGGATCCCGTGGCTATGCGTCGCATCTTGGACGAACTGGAGGAGGAGATGTATGAGATCAATGCCGAGTGCCAGTACCTAATGCTGCGGCTCGATGAGGATGTGCTTAGTTTTCTCAAGAAACTGGAGGCGATCGACATTAAAACCGATCTAAAGGAGGCCAATGCGCACGTCTCCACGCTGTTAGTGCCTTTAATTGCGGACGAAGACTATATGATCATTCCCAAGAATGTGGGTACTCGCGACACCGAGGAGACGCTCATCCGCAAGCATTTTCTCCTGTCGCAGGAGGGCGAGGATCCACCCATGAATCTGAGCGACCTGGATGATAATATTGCCCTTATGCTGGGTCCGACTGATACGACCATTCAAATCGAGCTGGAAAATGGTGACGCCGAGCAGGCAGCGACGCTGGAATCGTCCCAGGAGACGCCGACGCAGTCGCAACTGGCTGTACCAGCGTCTTTACTGCGATCTCTGCCGGACACTGTGATCAGGACAGTGGAGCAGGGCGAGAGCCAGCCCCCGCCGCTGCTCATTGCCACCACTACGCAGAAGTCGCAGCAGCGTTCGCTTTTGATTCCAAGAAAGCAGCCAGAAACTTTTGGCATGCATCAGCAGAAGCGCATATCGAGTACCTCACCGCCACCCTTGGCGCCCATAACGATTGAGTTTCCACAGGCTCAGGTTCAGCATCAGGCTGTGGTTCAGGATCCAGCGAAGGCTGAGCTGGACTTTGAGCAGGTGGAGGCGAGCCGCGGCAACCTGCGCCAGGTGCTGAAGCGGTCCAGGAAGACCAAGCAAATGCCACGCCTCTGCTACGAGGACCACGTAGAGCTGACGACCTTAGAGACTGATACAAAGCGAAGGGCGGGGAAGGTTACGCAGATAACCAACGTTGCCAAAGCTGTACAAAACAATGCATCATCATTATCAATCGCTGAGAAGCCAGACAAGACACCGACACCGCCAACGCCACCGCCGCTGCCATCACCACCACTGCCGAAGCGGCAGGGCCCTGGAGTGGGCGCTGGGGCAAACAAAACTTCCAAGATACGCAAAACTCTACGCAAATCATCACCAGAGGCACAGCCAGAGGGGCCGGGGGCTGGGGCTGGGGGCTCGCCATCAGCTTCATCAGATGACTCCACCACTCAGGAGTTGCAGCAGGAGCAGCAGCGTCTGTCCGCCTCGGCGGCCCAGTGGCGCGACGAGCCGCGCGAGACACGCGTCATGGCCGCCGAGTACGGCCAGGAGACATTCTTGCGTATCTTTGGCCTATACACGCCCGAGGTGATTACGAAACTCAGTCAGCGCCACTCGAAGCGCAAGCGTCGCAATGTCCAGAATGCCAGCGGCGTTGACTTTCACTATGGTCAGCAAATGAATGCCACACTGGACACACCGATGGGGCGCCAAAAGAAGGTTAAGAACAAACCCGAGTTCCTGCTCTCGCCCAAGGAGAAGCGACTGCAGGCCAAGAAGGCCGATGTTCGCAAGAGCAAGACTCCGGACAAGGCTGCTGCCGAGGCGTCGCAGACTGTTGTTATTGAGGGGGAAGATGCTGCCGCTGCAGCTGCTGTTGCCGCTGCCAAGTGCCGCAAGTGTCGCGGAGAATGCCAGCATTGCCGCCAGTGCAAGCGTCTCGTGGGTGAGTACCCAGCCGTCGATTGCAAGGAGAACCTCTTCTTGATCCTATATTTTGTATCTATTCAGCAGGAAAAGACGATGGCGTTTGCGAGCAGTGTGATGGAGTGTATCACAAAGACTGCCATCAGCCCACAAAGAGCCGGCTGCTGGCGCAGTCCCAAAGAAAACGCTGCCCCCCCTGCTGTCGCGAAATGCGTGAGACTATGCTGTCAGTCAGCAGCAGCGGCAGCAGCACTGCCGCTTCCAGCAGCAGCAGCAGCACAACCAAAAAGGCAGGCGGAGCCCAGACCGTTTAACTTTCTAATGTCTTCAAATATTCTTAACTTTTTTTTCCCCCCCCCACCCCGAACTAGTTTTTAAAACTAAAAATGTGAAAAACCAAGCTTTGTCCGCCCGCAACGCCCAGATCCCGAGAGAGATCCGATCCCCCCTTTGGCCTTTGGCCTGGCTCTCTCTCTCGTTCGTGCATCTGCGTTGTGTTGCGTTGCGTTTGCTGTTTTTGTTTAGTGTTGCATGGCAGTGGGCGGCGTCTGTGGCGGCCGCTTGCTTACTCCAGAGTGTTTTATTTTATATTTTTTTTTTTTATATTTTTTTATTTTAAATGTTTATTTCAAGCTACAGTTTCACACATACCTAAAGAAGAAATGTATGTGCATGCATGTGCATACGCGAGAGCAAGTGATTTCAATAATAAAAAATACTGTATGAACAGGCGGAGCGGAGGATTGTTTTCGATGATAAAAAACCAATGGAATTTCTTTGTTGCTACATATGATTGGGACATGAATGGGAACACATTTAATGCGTCATTCAAATGGGTCTTTGTGCTGACCCACATAAAGACTGATAGGTTAAGTTTCTTGGAGTTTATAATGGGGATATCTATAGGTTAAAGGCTATTCTCTGTCTGCATGTTCCCCCTTTGTGAATCAGATTTTTGGGTTTTTTTCTCGGGTCACATCTTGTGTCTCATGGGAATTCCAATTTTAGATTAAGATTTTGCCCAGCTGGTGTGTACCTAAGCATTCCATGTATTTTGCCTACGCTAGAAATAAGCATCTTTATAGCGAGATATTTGCCATTATAATTAGTTTATACTTTATGTGCACTGCAGCCCTGGCGACTTTCGCTTATCTGGCATCTCCCACATATAGCCCCATGCGCGCAAAATATTTAATTTAATTAAATAGCATAACTAACACATAATAATAGGCCTAAGCCCCAAAAGGAGTTGTATAGGATGATGTGGAAAGTTTCAAGATACCAAAAACACCCAAAGAAAACCAGGATAAATACAAGTTTTTTTCATTTCATAATAAAGTAGTATAAAAAAAAGAATATTTCTATAGACTAAAGGCTAATTATTGCTTCAGATTAGACGACATACAGGCAGAAGGACTGCCAGAAGGGGGAGGAGTAGCACCAGCCGTCCGGTTGGCTGCGTCCGACTGTGCCCCTTGTTGCATAGATCACCCTGGCAGAAGCACATGTAGACCTTCTTGTAGTTGTAGATGGTGTCGGCGCAGCGGTCCATGTTGTCGTCGGGGCCACGCTGGACACACATGCGCTGGATGGCAAGGTCGTAGTCGTCGATGGCGTACGTACCGCCGCCCTCGATTACTTTGCCGCACCAGCCGCTGGCGCAAGGTATGGCGGCCAGGCCGGGCTCGTGCTCCACGTCGGTGGCATTGAAATTAAAGGGATCTTTGCAGCTTCCCAGATCGCCACGGGAGCGGCACTGGTAGCAGCGGCGCAAAAGACCTGCAGGGGCAGAAAACAAAAAGTGAAATTGCAGTCAAAACCATAGCACACACACAAACAAAGGCCTTGCAACACACACACACATGAAAGCAGATGACAAAAGACTTAAACGGAGCACAAACTTGGCAGAGGACTCACCATGGATCTTGCCAAAGAGAAAGCTGCAACTAAAGAGGAATATCACAGCCAGGCATAAGCTAATATATTTCATCGTTCCCTATTGTTTAAATGATAATTGATTATTTATTAAATTTATTGTCGCGAATTTCTGTAAGGTGGCAACTTTCGACTGTTCAGCGTTCCCGTACTCGATTGCTGAAATACAGCCCTGAAAATAGCGTTGCCGTACTATTGCTCTGAAATAAATAAAGTAGAACAACACTAAAATCGCCCACTTCTGTACATATTTTTGTTAGTTTTTTTGTTAACCAAACAATAACCAAGATTCAGCCCGCAGCTGGAAGAGTTTGTGGTAGAGCTGTCAAACGATTGATAGTTAAGACATCGATAGTTTTGAATGTTTTGAAAAAAAAACAATCGATACTATCGTAATAGTATCGCAGAGGTTTTTCTTCTTGTCTTCTTCTTCCTATTTGCGGAAAATGGTATCTTCTTCTTCTTTATTTGCCTACTTTTGTTTTTAGGGCTACCAGATCGGTTCAAAGCGAATCGGTAATGAAACGGGTTGCAAAATATCATGGTGGCAGCCCGCAACTACGAATTGTACGAGTCTGGCAGCGCCACCCACAACGACGTCACATTCGTTTTATGTTCTTTTCGTTTGAATCATTTTATGTAAACAATGCAATAAAAAGGACTTCTCAAAACTTGCCAATCTTGTAGAAAATTTATGTATCTACCGGATAAAATTATTTGTTTAGGGATGAGAGGGCCAACTAGCTAGTAATATTAAACGGAATATCAAAATCGAGGAATATCAACGTTGAATGTTTTGAAAAAAACAATCGATACTATCGTGATAGTATCGGGCTGAAATAATTATTAAAAAACCATTGAAACCTTTTAGGAACTTGTCCATTGTAAAAATTAGATGCCACCTGTCGATTTTTTTTACAAATTTGTCTTCGTATTTTATAGCAGCCAATCCAAACATATCAAAAGCGCAACGACTGTAGCTCGATACTATCATGATAGTCTCAAAACCGTCGATAGTAGAGGCCATCAGTAAAATATCGATACTATCGATAGTGCCCTCGATGGTTTGACACCTCTACTGAATTGCGAAGGAAGCGCTGCGTACGTACAAAAAAAAATAGCCCCAAAAGAGAAACAGACAAATTTGCAAATTGGTTGGCAGCAGCAGCCACGGTAGAAGTAGCAGCAGCTGTGCGTCGTAACAACACAAAAGTGAGGAAAGAAGTGAAGACACAGAAAGACGGACGGACGGACCGCAGTGCCCAGGCGGTGCATAAACAAATGAAATATTTAAATAGACATAATCATTCGTTGACGCTGACAGCGACGTCGACTGCACAGTGACACCTTGCAATCTGCAATCCGACCCCCGCCCGTAAACCCCTTGCCGTTTGTGTTTTGTTTGCCAACTGTTTCATTTCTCCGCAGCAGTTGCATCTCATTTGGAATTCGAATTCAAATTGGAATTGAGATCGGACCAGGAAGTGAGCGCACCAGCACCAGAAACAGCAACACCCACAGCAACAACAAGAATGGCTTTGGAAAGCGGCACACAAACGGGGAGCAATGCGCTGACATCATCCTTTACAACAAAAAAGAAGGATGCCGCCGCGGAAAAGGAGAATCTGTGGTGAGTTGAGTGCATAAAAATATAAACTCCAATTAGTAGAATTTGTCCTGTCCCGCTCTCTCGCGTTGGTCACTCTCTCTCGCTGTGAGCGAGCGCGGCTACCACTTCTCTGTCCCCCTGTCGACTTTCTTTAGCTGACGTTTGCAGTAGATTTGTGCTAACTGTTAACTGTCCCTTGCCGGCACACCCACCAGGCCAGCCGCCCTAGACCATCCCACCCACACCCCGCCCGCTCTCGCTCTGTCGCACTCGAGTGAGTGAGTGGTCGACCAGCTGATTGCCTATGCATGTTGTCATTTCCCTCTTTCGTTGTTCTTTCGTTCTTGGTTATATTTTAGTCTCTCTCTCTTTCTCTGCCTACTGCCTTTTTCTAGTTAACCTCAAACGTGGGTTGGCAACGTTTTTCCCAATGATTTGTTGCTGATGGCAATATTTAAGCGCAATAATTATTAAATTAGAGAGAGAGAGAGAGAGAGCTTCAGGCAGCCCATACATAGGTTGACAGAGAGGGACACAGAAAAAGAGAGCAACAATGTGGGGATGATTCACTTAGCCAGCGGCAGCGACGCTGGCAGCGCTTACCTTTTTCGCTTTATCAATTTATTGTTGTTGTTTTTTCTTTTCTGTTTTGCACACAAACACATATGCACATGCACAGGCAGTGAAGCTCAGCTTAGTGCGTGTTTCCTATCAATACTGATTCCAATTGGAATTCGGACAAACTTGGCCTGAAGCCATGGCTATATATATATGTGTGCGTTTGTGTGCGATGATGCTGTCATCGTTCAAATATGACTGGGTGTATGTGTGTCCGTCGTCTGGGGCTTTGGGTTACACTGGTCGTCACAAGAAATGGAACAATCCGGAGAATGGGAATTTCTTGTTCATTGTTGAGAGGGTTTGCTGGGAATGTTGCCCCGGTAACCGACCAAGGCATGCATAGTCCAAGGCTGTTCTATTCAGAGTAAACTTTTGTAAAAAGAGTAACATTTGCAACAGATCCATATTTTCCACTGGGTACGGTATATAAATGGAAACCGCCTAGATGGGTGCCATAGAACATAAGGTTTTCAAATAAACAAAGAGATTGTAGGACAAGTTTTTGTAAGAGAACCCTTTAGAAGCAAAATTTAATCAAATTAGGGTCGATTTTTATTGGTTTTAATAGAAATTAGGAAAAGAATTCTGATGGTGATTATCTTTGAGATTATCTGCTCATTGACACCCAAAGTTTCCATAATTTATCTATTAAATTATGAACAAATTCACTGATATGCTTTCGCCTGCAAATCGATAGTTTTCGATAGTTTGTGGATAAAACGGTACATTTGTCGACTTATTCCCTTTAAATAGTGTATTATGTATTTTCTATTACTAATTAATCAACTTTTGTAGCTTAGTGTCGTTTTCTTTTTAATATGTTTTATTGGCTTGGGATTATGTTGCTGTCAAATATAATGATGGATAACGTATGCAAACACATAGAAATACCAGAGACTATGCTGCTGGGGGGAGGCGGGGACTACATTTCCTCGATGAATACGTCGCCATCGTCATCGTTATCGGTGCGTAGTACCGTTTGCGGCTGCTGCCTATCGAAGTTGTTTTGGATACGCTCCAGCAGATCGGTGGCCACCAGAGCAAAGTCCTCCCACAGGGCATCGTGATCTCCGTCATCGTCATCTGTCTCCTTTTCCGTCTCCAGCTCGTGCTCATCCTCCCCAGGCTGCTCGTCATCGTCATCGCCATCGCCGGCATTGAGGCGATCCTCGTCGAGATAGTCAGCCAGCAGGTCGCTCACCTCGTCCAGAATGCTGCCGCTTCGACACAGAGTGACCGCGCACTGCCCGTCGATGAGAAGATTCCACAGGGCCTGGCACACGATGTTGGCCAGGAACCAGTCCTCCTGCTCCAGGGATCCACGCAGCAGCAGCGACAACAGTTCGGCGCCGCGCAGCTGCAGGAATGGAGCCCGTTGCTCGCCATCGCCCAGCAGATTGACCAGAACCCCGATAGCGCAGGTGCGCAGCTCGTAGTCCTGGCCGGCCGCCTGCCTGGTCAGTTGCTGTACCATCAGCGGCAGTCCGCCGGCCGCACAGAAGCAGCGTCGGGCGCGCTCGTTACGCGTGAGATTTCCCAGCACCCGGGTCAGTTCCACCTTGGTGGCAGCCGTCTGGCAGTTGGCCAACACCTCGGCCAGCGACGCGGACAGCTCATCGATGAGACTCTGCAGGGAACCAGCCGCGGCCGTGGCCGGGACGGCAACGCTGTCTGTCGTCTGTTTATCCTGATAGAAACACAAATTGTGCAGCGCACCCAGTGTGGCATGCAGGAGCTCCTGATGCTCAGCAGACTGCAAAGAACGAGAGCATAAGCGAGGAACCGAAGGCACAGATGACGACTCACCTTCTTCTTAGCCAACGAGGCGCTTGTGTGGCTGAGCAGCTTCAGCAGCACCGAACCCAAGCACCGGACATTGCCCAGGCCGGCGCCCACCTCGGGATTCACGCTCATATTGGCCACCACACGAATCAGCTTGATCTGGGCATCCAGCAGGGCCACACTGCTCGGCGAGCGTTCGCCCAGCTGCTCCAGCACATTCAGCAGATACTCCATGGCCACATCGTTGTGAAAGTACTGTAAAAGAAGGAAAGGAATCCCTTATTAAATGTTGTCTTGTATTGATTGTAGATGCGCACCTGGATTCTGGCAGACTCGTGCTTGGCCAGAATATTGCCCAGCATATAGCCCAGGCGACTAAGGACGGCCAGAAGTCTTTCACTGGCGCCCGAACTCGAGCAGGAGGGACCCAGCAGCAGGCCAATTCTGGCGGCATAATTGTGCAACGTCTCGCAGCAGTCAGAGTCCTCTGAGAGCACACTGCAAAAGAGGGAAGATAGAGATTAATCGTCATGTTCATCATGAGCAGAGTTCATCATTCGCCACGGACCTCAGAGTGCGCACAACATTGGCCTGAACCTCCAGCTCCCCCATGGACACCTCTGCAGCCCGAATCAGATGCGGACACGCCAGCTGTAGCTGCAGCTGAAGCCGTTGCTGCTGCTGTGAGACATCCGCCAGGGCACGCATGGCCGCCGACAGCTGGTAGAGCGTATGCAGCGGTGGTCCGGTCAAACGTTTAGTGGCACCCGCCTCATTGAGCATCTGCAGATGAAGGATCATCAGCTCCACGGCGCCATGGCGGGCGAGACGTGATACCAATGTCTGCTGTCCCGTCAATTTGCGCGGACACAGCACTGCCGCAGGCACAGCAGAGAGCGTAGCAGAAACGGGAGCAGCAAGGGGAGCCTTAATGGCTTCGCCCAAACCAATCCAATTGCGGTTCAGGGCATCATCGCGGTCCTGGGCACTGCTGGCGGTGAGGAAACGTATGCAGCCATAGGCATAGATGCACGCCTCGGGCTCGTCGAGGGGCGAGGCGCGGCCCAGGCCGTCAATCAGCAGTTCCAGCACATCGTGGTCATGGAACAGGCCATCATTCTGCTCGTGCCGGGCCACCTTGAAGATGAGTTTGCAGGCGCCCGTTAAATTGCTGCCCGTCACACGAAGCTGGAGAGTGCAGAGAAACGATTTTTGGGAGGAAGACGGATGAACAGGATGATGGATCACTCACAGCTAGCACCACTCGAGCCACAGCCAGGAGAACACGCGGCGAGGTACACTCCACGAGGCCATAGAGACCGCCCAGGATGAAGCCACGCTTGAAGTTGCGCTCCTGCTTTCTCACGCGTGTGTACAGCTCCTGCAAGATCTAAAGCAGAGATGAGGGATAGATAAATGGAGATCTCCTGCCACTTACTGCATTTATATGCTGCACTGTCTCGTTGGTGCACTCCTTTAGGCCGCTATGCTGCTTCAGCAGCTCAATCAGCGTCTCTGTGGTGGACTGCCCGAGCAGCGCACCGTTCCGTGTGGGCATGGGTGTCGTCGGCCCCGTGCCAGAGAGTGCGGGAAGTTGTCGTGGCGCTGGCTTCTCATTCTGTAGATACCGCATTCTGCAATGGACAAACCAAGAGTGAAATAATCAACCTCGAAGGATGCGCGGCGTACGGCTTGGCACTTACGAAAATGCGCTAGGTGGACGTCCGGCTAGGGCCACCTTGCCATACAGCACTCGACCGGGTTCGCGCGGTGTGATCGGACGACGAGTGCTGACCAGACGTGCGCCGCCAGTGGCCATCATTTGCATGGCTGCACCACCAGCACCACCGCCGCCGCTGGCACCTGCCACCGTTTCGCCAAGAAAAAGCTTGGCCTCGCTGATCAGCTCCGCAGAGGTTTTGCGTCTGCCCATGCCGCCCGCCATCGAAAAGCTGGTGGATTGTTGTTGATGGGACATTCCCAATCTGTTGAGACTCTGCTCACTGGAATGCGGCTTGCCACGTATCTGTTGTGGTCTCTCCTGCAGCTCGTGCTTCTCCTGGTGCTTCTGCTGTGGCTGTGATTGCTGTTTGGATTTATCTGGAACATCTTTGGGACGCGTTTCGCTGTGGGAGCGTCGCTTTAGCAGCAAACTCATCTTGGAGCTTCTGCCTGCTTCCTGCTACTCCTTGCGACTATTCAATGGGAATCCTCAGCAGCTGGACAGCACACGCGCTCTCTCAACTGGCACGGCCAACAGCCTTAAGTGTACTCAAAACGGCGATAAATGCCTGGAAAATGTATTTTTCGTTTGGGCCCTTTCGTGCACCATGCCAACCGGGGGTCCATGTCGCTGCCACTCTCCCCGCCGCTCCATTCACCCGACCCGAACCCGAACCCGGGTCGGCATGACTGTCAAGTGTGAAGTGAGCCACCCGCCACCAAATGTTGGAACGTTAAAAGTTTCGTTTACTATTACCATCAGTGGAGGCACAGTGGGACGAGTGACTGCTAAATAAATACATATATATTAATGCGGGCATTTCTTGGGAATACAAATAAAAAGAAGGGGAAAATTAATGGAAATAGGAAGAAAATTGCATGGAATAGCAGCAATGGATACGAAGTTATGGGATGGAAAATGGATAGGATCACTAGAAAAAAAATAAATGAAATTACATTTAAATGGATTGATGCCAAGAACTGCTTAAGAATGGTTTTAAATGCAAGAAAAATCAGCGAATTTGGATGAGGAATTTGATTTTGGACTCGAAAGAAAAGAAATTTCAATAAATTTCGGAAGTGCAGCAAGAAGCAAAAATTATTTTATAATAAAACTTGCACCACTGTGTCATAGGCAAATGAAGAAAAACCAAAAATACAATTGAAAAGAGCTGGAAAAGCGGGAGCTCGCAATCGATATTCCTGCCAGTTGGCTGTCGGCCACTAGTCGAGAAGGCAGGGCCCAGAGCCACAGTCAAACCAAGAGCCGGTGGGGGCCCGGTCCCGTCGACCGAGGTCAATTTGCATGTCCAGGCAGGCAGTCCAGTTGCGGCTGTCAGTCGGAAGGATGACACAAACACAAGTATTTCACGTCAATTGAAAAATATTTAATTGCTTTAATTGAATTGCAGGCAAATGCTGCGACGTTTGAAAAATCGCATGCAAAACCATATCAAATATTGACGACACCACCCGCTCTCCCTCAAGCGCTCCAAAAAGTAAATGAATTGAGCACGATGGAGGGGCATGGTGGAGAATGAGTGAGGCAGTGGCAGTGGCAGTGGCAGTAAATGTAGATTTGAATATGGTTCGAGGGGAACCAATTAACTTGATGGCGGATGGTGGAGTGCTTTGCAAAAAGAAGGGAAAATGTTGATGAATGATGGAACTGACCTGAATTTACGATTGTGCGCTCGTATTTCCTACCTACCATGTTCGTGTGGGGCTACCACTCTCAGGCAAGTGGCAAGTTTAAGCCCAGTTCTGGTATTGCTAGCAGTCCGTAGGAAAGTGTATGATTTCTTGATCATTAGTGGATCAGTCTGCACAGCTGAAAGACGATAGAGACGATAGAGAAAAAATAATTAGCTTATGGCTTTAAGAGCATTAATAGCAACGTTAAGACAATTTGTATGCATAAAGTAGCGTCGTCTAGTCATTGATTCTGTTGCTTCTTGAATCATCAATGTGCAAACGAGCAGCTAGTGCCATTTATTTGCCCTCTTTAATTTGTTTTCTGTTCTGTATCTTTGCAGGTCGGCAATATTGAATGAAGTACAAACACAGGGCAGCACAAAACTTCCATCAAATAAATCTGTACTAGTATTAGGCGATAATGCCACCGGCAAGACGACCCTCATTGCCAAACTTCAGGGTGTGGAGGATCCGAAAAAGGGTTCCGGCCTGGAGTATGCCTATATTGATGTCAAGGACGAGTACAGAGACGGTATGCGGCATGTCTGCCGATAGTATAAGCAATTATTTTATTACCTTATTATTATTATTATATTTTGCAGACATGACGCGTTTGGGTGTTTGGGTCCTGGACGGTGATCCAGGACACACAAATCTGCTGCACTTCGCGCTCAACGAAACGAACTATGCACACACACTCGTCATACTCACAGTGTCGATGACCCAGCCATGGGGCTGGCTGGAGCAGCTCAATCATTGGATCAAAGTCCTCGGCCAGCATATCGAGAGCCTGCCACTGGAGGCCAAAGATAAGGAGACGGCACGCCAGCGACTAGCAACGACGTGGCAGAGCTATTGCGAGGTCGGCGATGATCTGGATCCAGGATCACCAGTCAAACGGACCATGCGCAACAATTCGATCGATGAGGATGATCTGTTGCCGCTGACAGAGGACGCACTTATTACAAATCTGGGTCTCGATATAGTCGTTGTGGTCACAAAGGTAACTAGCGGGAGAGACTCGGTCTGTGGTAGCATCTAAGTGGTAATCTGAATGGTAATTTTATTAGACGGACTACATGACCACATTGGAGAAGGAGTACGAGTATCGGGATGAGCATTTTGATTTTATCCAGCAATGGATACGCAACTTTTGCCTACGAACCGGCGCCTCGCTCTTCTATACGAGCGTCAAAGAAGATAAAAACTGTGATCTCCTCTACAAATATCTAACGCATCGAATTTATGGCCTACCATTCCGTACGCCAGCGCTAGTCGTTGAAAAGGATGCGGTACTCATGTGAGTTTGGGTGTTTATACATACATACATATCTTCGCTTATTTCCAACCATATATGTGCTCTGTTTTTTGTTGCAGTCCGGCTGGCTGGGATAGCCTAAAGAAGATTAGTATTCTGTTTGAGAATATGCATGGGATCAAGGCCGAGAGTCCCTACGCAGATGTCATCAAGGCGCCGCCCACACGAAAGGTTTGTAGATTGTCCCCTTTGCCCCCCTTTCGATCGGTTGCTTTGCTCACAGCACATCTCAAGTTACCCAAGAAACATGCACCAAAAAACATGAGACTAAGTCTGTGAATGTTCAAGTTCGAAGCTCATTTGGAAATTATTCATTGGCTGTGATTTTTAATGTAGAAAAAAATAAAAATAAAGCAATCGCATAGTGATCAGAGTATTTGTTCCATTTAACCCCCCCACTAATTATTGAAATTGCCATTATTATTATGTTTCTTAAGGCGGTGTCCAATCGCGAGGTGGAAGTGCAAACGGAGGACGAGCAGACCTTTCTGGTCCGCCAACAGGAGATACTCAAGCAGGCTGGACAGGATCGCGGGGAATCACCGCTGCGTTCGCAGGGCGGCGGCGGTGTTGGCGGCAATAAGAGTGTGGCACGCACACCCGGCAGCACCGGCCAGAGCTCACCCAAGAAGGTTCCTTAAAATCTTTAAAATTAAAAAAGAAATCATTTTCTAATCGCGTTTTTGTTCCGCAGATTGATCCCAAGCTGACGCCAGCCACGCCTGGTGGCGAGGGTGTTCTGGCCAATTTCTTTAACTCACTGCTACACAAAAAGTCGGGCAGCCCGGCTGGCGGTGCTGGGCCACCGGGCACCGGCACACCCACAGGCACAACGCGCACCACCAATGGCACCGACAGCCTCATGACGCCCGAGAAGTTGGCCGTCCGTTCAGATGCGGCCGCCGAGTTGGATCGGCTGTCGCGCAGCGTCAAGAAGGAGATTGATATGTCACAGAGTGAGTGTTGAAATACAACACCAGCCAGCCCACAGCAGCCGCTTCTACAGCGACAGCACCAACAACAACAGAACCAGAACAACATTATAAGAAATCTTTAAGCAAAAAGTGGAATGCAGAGAGGCTCGTAAAGTGAGGGAGAAACATATGCTTGAGGGCAAAAGAAAGGGGCAACAGCTGTTTGGATCATTCAATGGCCAAATGGTTGTGCAAAGGGGGGTTTTGATCATTGTGTTTTATATCTTAGAAATGAAACAAGCATGTTTTCATTTCGGTTCCGTTTCAATTCAGATTTTAAAAATTCCCAAATAATCGTAATCGTATAATTGAAATGCGAAAACTGATGGAAATGAATTATATTGTTTTATTAGCAAGTGATAAAAATGTTTGATTAAAAGCTGACAACGCTGAAACATGAGAAAATCGTTTGATTTTTATCAATCGCTCCAAATAAGTTTTTAACAAATGAGAACTAAAAGTAAAGCACATTAAATACGAAACGAAAATCATTTCGAGTGAAGCGACAGTCCCCCAAGCCTCCCTTTCATTGTCATTAAATGACCAGAACCACTGAAAACCGTGTTTAAAATGAAACACCATTAAACTCCTTAAATGAGAAACTCATCTGATGGGTTCAAGACCAATTTCCGACTTTCCATCATGCACTCTATAATGGGTTATATTTTTACGAGCCTCCTGCGACTCATACTCAAAAAACGTTCGATAGGAAATGAAACAAAAAAAAAGAGAGAGAGAGAGATATATACAATACGGAAAATATTTGGCACTTAATGGTTCGGATTAGCGAAAAAATGTATGCTATATATTTTAAGTAATATTGTCTGCGAGGCATATTAATTCCCTTTGCTCGCTTATCGATTTGGGCCAGCGCATGTGTTAACGGGTCCAGAGCGGGGAGAAGATGATGATGGTATGAAGGAATACGAGTAATAATACAAATCAAATAAGTAACACGTTTTTTTTTTTTCGCGGGTCCACACACGTTTGTATAATAACTTATTTAAATGCTGTAAAATGTAATTAACAAAACGAAGGGAAAGAGTGTGGAACAATGAGAGATTCTAAATGTGCAAGAGCCCCCAGAGAAATCGTGATAGTGGGGGCCTACACAGATACACACACAGAGACACACACACGCGCCTAACTGTAGCTCGATAGCTTGTATGTATTTTTTAATTATATTAATTAATTACACTTACACAGACACACTCGCCTCTACACACCATACATACACTGTAATTGTATTAGTTTCCTTTCGTAAAACCGTAAATCCGTAAGCAAAAGAAAAACAAAAAGGTTTATAACATTATTTATACAACAACAAAAAAATTAATGTAATTTGCTTTCCTAAAAGTCGTAAGCAAAAAGTTTATACAAACAAACAAAAAATATTTATAAAAATCGATAAGAAACTGGAACACCCCTCTGGCCTGTATGTAAATGATCAGTTACCTGCCTATTATACCCTTCATTAGTTTCGTTTTTCTCCTCTGTAATTAATTTTAAACCTAATCCATTGATTCGAATTAAGATTCAAAACCGAATCCGTCAGGAAATGGAAAGAGACAGACACTTTTAAAATATGTTTTAGTGAAGAATTTTAAGCGATCGCAAGTAAATTGTCGCGAAAATGTTAAACGACTCTGAATCGATAGAATATGTTTCTTCATTCATTTTCTTTTTCAAATCTGTGTTCAAATCAAGTCCAAAACTCCATCAAGATAAATCAAGTTAACAGAGCGAGATGCCTAGATATGTGGTCCGAACCGAGTTTAAAAAATTTCCAATACCCAATTTCCAAGTTTATTGTTATTCTGTTTGGCACAAGTTTAGTTTTATCCTATGCCAAATGCATAGAAAAACTACCAAGTTTTTGTCGCATCTTTTCTCTCGTTTGTTTCTCTTTGCATCTCGCTCTATGCCGTGTGTCGTCAGAAGCAACCACAAAAAACCACAACAAAAAACAAAACAAGATTTGTGCTACAGAAACTATTTTTATGTATAAATAAAAAAATAATTAATTATATGAAATATATTGTGTAACATTATATATACATATATGTATATATATATATATATGAAAAAGGAAAAGCGAGATAAAATTACTGTGCAAGCTAAATGCAAATTGAACGGCATTCGACCTCCAAGAGCATCCCACATCCATCACGAGTCTTGGGCTATCTACGAGTAAACATGGTACGTGGAAAAAGCGAAAAATTTTGTAAATTCGTTAAAAAAACAACTAGGCATCAAAACTGCAAACAAAACTAAAATAATTTAAATAAAATTTTCCAAAAACACAAAAAAATTAAAATAAATCCTACAATGGCTTTTCTTTATTATGCATATCAATTAAAAGTCGGGGAAAAAGGTGGTAAATCTTTATGTGACTGAAGAATAGTTTCAAAACAACATCGTCAACTAGTGTTTTCATTACTTGAGTATAATACAATTAATACCAAGAAAGGTGAATAGCGTGTAAGTACAACTATAGGGATTTTCTGACGAGTCTAGCGGACACTTTGTACACTTAAAACAGTTTTTCGTCATTTGATTTAAACGTGGGCGATTATTCAATCAAAATATTCTTCAGATTGAAGAATTTCGTTAAATATTCCTTTTTAATCCTAGATGGTAATTCTTATTTTTTAGTACGTTAAGGCCGTTAGTGCCTAGTACAGCATACTGCATGGTTAGTGGTTAAGGTCATGCTTCGTTGGCGAAATGACGACCAAATATTTCAAATCAATCTCATTCTTTAAACACGAATTAAACCATATATTTAATGATGCAACTTCATTCATTCATCTCCTGGTAAATGAAAAACAAAATTATACAAATTTAAAACTGTTAACTAAAATACAAAATAAATAGTCCGTTATCAGTTACAACTAAATAAAAATATAAAGTTAAGTAGGAAATTTCCTTTCTTTATACAAGAGGCGAAGGGATATTTGTAGTGTTTTTTGCATAAATTTCTTTGAAGTTTGTTGTTTTTTTTTTGTAATTTTCCTCTTATGAGGTTAAAAAATCACTAAATCTTGATTTTTAAATTTGTTTTTTTGTTTAATAATATTTTCTTCTTAATTTGCATTTGAATTCAAATATGTAGTATCAGTTGGTCAACTACTCTACTCAACCAATCAATAAATACTTTATTAGAAGCTTTGAGCGTAAAAATGTTGTAAAATTGCGATTTCTTTTTATTTTTAATCCTATCTGGTACATTTTATTGGAACTAAAATTTAGCACGACTGCTTAAACAGGCTAAAACTAACATTCCAACAAGCGAACCAACCAACCTTGGTCAACATTTTGTCAATTTGTTTGCCCAAATGATGATATATGCCGCAAAATCCAATATCGGTTTCATCATCCGCCAGCAACTGTTAAATTTTTACCTCGAATAATATTTATTTTCTTACCTATTTTGATAAAAAACGAGATGTGCAAAAAAAGATTTTTGTAAAAAAAGTCACACCAAGTCATGCTATGTCGTTTTGACGAGGAAAATTAAAAAAAACTATATTTACTGGTTATCTTAATGGTAGTTCGACTTGTAAGTCGGCATACTGCAACAGTTCAGCAATGGCTGGAGCTTTACGAAAAATTAGCAATAAACGACAAAAAATAAGGTGATCACATATCTTGATATCTTCTTCTTATTTTCGTTATGACCATCTAGGGTCCATAGCCTATAGTGGCTTATGACCTCGAAATGAATCAAAAAACTATTCGTTTCAATCAATTGTGAACACATAATTTAGCTCCGCGACTTGAACTATTTTTCTTGAAAACCAACTAACAATGTGGTATTAAATTTATATCTGGTTATAAACTTTTTTTAACATTTGAGTAAAACTAATGGAAATTATAATAAATTTGCAATGCCTTATATTAAATATTCTAAATTTAAGTAAAACTTTTCAGTTTTTCATAATCAAAAACCCATCACACATTTATTTTAATAGTTTAAAACTAACATATTCCTTACTAATTTGTAATAGTATTTATAACATACATATAATAATCAGTTTTACTCAATTGATCAAAACGACGGACTTCCCATCAAAAAAACAGAAATCGAAGAGAACATTTATAGAGACTGTGGGTTAGTTGGGACTTTGGGATGGGAAAAGCAGCCCTCAATTGTACATTTGATTTCCGGGACTTTTATTAATGATGAGCCGCTTCTAAGATGATAATCGCATGAAATGTAAGCAGGAGGACGGAGCCACAGCACCTGGAAAATAGTACATATGTATGTATGGATGTACATATTTCACATATCAATGATATTTTCATTTCGATAGTGATTTTCCCAAGCGTTTCCCACTTTCCCCTTTCACACTCACGCCTCCGCACATCTGCCAATGTTTCTCTCTCCTGCTGTGAGGCTAACAGCTGGCTCTCTTCCACACCGGCAGCCTTGATAGCTCCAAGGATAACACTTTGCTTGACCTTTCTCTATGTGGCAGTATGTGTGTGTGTGTGTGTGTTGTGTTGTTTTGTGGGTGTGAGTGTGTGCGTGGGTTTGGGAGTGCGCGCGTGATAAATGATGACGCCAGTCTACCTCAGCCGCTGCCTTCTGTCAGCTTGCGCTACTCGTTTGATACTTATTGTTTCAGCCCGCAGCCTTTGAGCCAGGCGACAGTTTGCCAAGTTTGCTTCAGCCACATCCCGTCCTCCTTGCACGTGCTCATTTCGCTTATTGCCAGACCCAGACCCAGACCCAGTAGGGCCCGAACTGACTTAGCGCCTTTTCTGTGCCAGCCTCGATTCGGCTCACAAAATATTGACATTGATTTTGATTCCCTTTTTGATTTTGATGTGCCTGCTTGGCCTGCCATCCTTTGCACGTAGCTTAGCTGCTGCAGTAGCAGCTGGCACTGCCTCAAGGGTTGCATGTATCCTTATACCATCATCTTATGAGATTTTTTCTCTGCATTTTGATTGATACTGTGCTGCCAAAGTTGTCTCGGGGATGTTACAATTAAATATACATTTGTACATATAAACGGAAGCTGCGACCTAGTTTGAGTGGATACAATCTTAAATAAAACCTTTGAAATTCTGCCTCTAATAAACCGATCCTAAACGTATTGTGACCAAATCGAAAGCCATAGGAAAGCCTGATACTTGAATTTTACATAAATCTCTAAATTATTTAAATATAGTATTCCGTTTTAAGTTCATTGAAAAACAATAAATTGTTTTTTAGCTCCTTGATTAAGTTCATGTATGATTTATTTAATTTTATTCATATTTTGTTTGTTGCCCTTTACTTTAACTTTTTTTTAACGTGTGTGTATTTAATTTGATTTAAATATTTTATGGAAATTAATTTGAGCTTTTTTCTTGTTTTGATTTTGATAGACAATGAATTTAATTGGAAAATAATTTATGCGCACACAGACAGCAGCAGCAAAAATAAAAAAAAATGTAAAAATATAAATGTTACAGCAAATCAAATTTTATGTAATGTAATTAAGATTCTTTTTCGTTCGCCACCCACTCTGTCGGACACAAATCTAATATTAATTAGGTATTCCACAGAATTCGGATGGCTTCTCTCTTGGAAATGAATCGAACTAATTGAATTTGCATTAATTTTCCGTAGCAGAGGAACAGAAAGGAGACCGACCGAAAAATAAATAATAAATATCCATAAAAACCGGAAAAATACTGGAACTGGTGAAGGGCGGCCATATGTATGAATTATTAATGGAGCATCCTCCTCTTGGTTTGATGAGCAGCCCCAAAGAACTGATGCTGTTCCCATTATTCAATTAATTTGTTAACAAATTAATCAACAATTTGCGGCTAATAAACAACACAAAGCCGAGAATATCACAGCCTATTATAGTAATATGTATTCTAATTCCAGCTTCAGTCAGATTTTGACGCACACCAACAAGTTTTTCCAGAGCCAGTTTCATTTCTATAATGACAGTCTAATTGGAATTGGCATTAGATGGGATGTGCAAATGGAATGTCTACTAGTGGAATCCGTTCTGGGGGGAGGGTAGTGGGAAGTGGGAATTGAGTGTAAAACTTTTGACAGCCAGCGGCCTTGTGGATGCCGTCAAAACAACTTTCTGATGCGGAGCCGAATAGACAAATAAAGAACGAAAAAGCAAACAAGCGGAAACACATAAAGTCAGAGAAAGATGCAAAGGGAGAATACAATATAGAAATGAAATTTATCAATCTCAAATGGCGAAAGAAAAACCAAAAGTTCAAAATGAATACATGTTAAAAAGAATTCGAAAACTAAAAAATGGGGCAAGGTATGAGCAGCGTTTATATTATGGATAGGCGAATCTCTAAACCTGGCCAATAAATTGTAATAAAAGGGGTAAACAGATCAGAACACATGCTTATGTACATATCAGCTCTTGGGAAATATATATATTTAATTCTGTCAAACTGGAGCCCATTCTGCAAACACCTCTAGAGTTTTCCAATCCTTAAGATTTCAGTGAAGATCTCTTCGGTATGGTATCTTCCACGCCCGCAACGGGTTTGCTTGATTTAAGTGTTCTTTCTGAAAAATTAAACGTAGCATCGTTGAATCCCTATCGTAGCATCCACAGTCGTATTACACTCTCTTCGTGGTGGACCTTATTCTGGATATCTCTCTGCATCCAATGGACAGTCAGTGCATGATATGGCGGCCAGCTAGTAATTCCTAGAGACTATCAGCCTTCGCACGGAGTAGACATCCGTCTTTAATGGCACCACATTCTTAGAACGCCTCTGTCAATCATAAGTAGAAAAAATTCCTAATTTATGCAACATATTGTTGCAAAAAACATAAGTAAACGTGGCTAAGCTTATTGGTTCTCTGTATATATAGAAGTTTTTTAAGCTGAACTCCCTGGACCAAGCCATACTGGGACTGGGTTACCCCTTCTCTGCACCGGAAGCCATTTCTTTCGTTTATTTCTTTTTTGGGAGGAGAGAAATGTGTGTGTCCCTACCCAAACGATCTTGCCAGATGCCATTTAGATAGTTTTTGGCTGTAAGTGAAGTAAAAACGAAAATACTCGTAGAATACAAATACGGTGGGGTCGGACATCCGGAATGAGTTTCCACAAAATGGTCAGCCAACTAATTGCCGTTGGCCTTAATGGCTTTAATTGACAATTTTTGTTGTCCAACTGGGCAAATGGCTCTCTCGGACAAGAAGCGAAGAAACAATTGAAATTTTTGCACAGAAAAGGCGAACGAGCGGTCGAGCGAGTGGCTGGCTGGAGGGTGGGTGGCTTGAGAATAGATAAATGAAATTCTCTCTGTGTGGTCAAAGAGTGTCATGTGCATTTGGGGGAAGAGCTGCTGGCAATAACTTTATACAGTGCAAGCACAAGAAAACCAAATCATTAGTGTGTCCTGCTGTTCTGCTGTCCGTCTATGCTGCCATTCTTTGAAGCTGATGCTGAAGCTCCTGGCTCCTGGCCACCACATTTGATTTTATTTGAGCTGCTTTTTCCCCGAGTCCGTGTCAGTCCGTCCGGAAACTCAATTTGTTAGACAAATGTGAGAGAACAGAAGCAAGCAGCAGCACGAGCAGGAGCAGGAGCAGGAGCATGGGCAGAGCGAGAAAGCACAAAGACAAGACACAGCTTCAAGGACAAAGGCACATCCGCACTAGCATCCTATGTACATATGTATGTACTCGTATGTATGTGCATCCTAGGTCATGTCTATTAAAGCTACATAAACACTTTTCCCTCAATGAACTCGGACTGCAGCTCCAATTGATTTCAATGAAAAGATGACCACAACCAAAAAAATATAATACAAGTTTCTTATAAGAGAACCTTGGCAGAAGGAAAATGTACTTAAAATAATAAAAAGATACATGAAAGAGCCTTGCTTACCAATTTTTGACTGCAAAAAAGTTATTTCCACTAAAATTTGTTTTATACCGGATAATATTCCTATATTAGTTGCATTATGATATATGTTATGATATAGTCAAAATTTAAAATAGCCCTGACCATGGGGAAAAGTTCGATGATTAATTCTTTTACGGTGGTGTTCAAATGCTGGGTCTTGTCGGCACTAGGGGAATGAGAACAAAATATTAAGTAGTCAGAATAGATAGCATTCGAGTTGATCAAATCCCTCAAATATTGTTTTCATTTCTTTTTATACCCGTACTCAAAAAAGAGTTAAGGTGTATATTATATTTATGATGTTATGATGATTAGATGTAGATGACAGATGTAGCAAAGAAATGTAAGATGTAAAATATTTTAAAATTCTACTACATAAATCATAAGCTCACAAATTTATATGCTGACTGAGTACGGGTATAAAAGTAGAGTCGCGTCAAAAGTAGCGACTCACACGTTCCTTCTTGTTATTTATTTTTTTTTTATTTGCAGTGTCAAATTGAAGGATTATAATTTATCGTTGGAGTGCTATCGAAACCTCTATTTCATTTATATGAGCTCAAAACGGATACTACGAACAGATGGATCAGATGGATTTAACAGGCAAGGGTTAAATCTTATCAAAAATAATTACACTTACAAGTATAGGATGCAAGTCACAAAAGAATATTTTACCGAAACTTAATTTTCGAGCCATACGGGAACCGAACCAAAATCAGATTCGGTTTTATTCCCTGCTATTTGTTATTAAATTCCGACTAAATCCATTCTCAATTTGGTGCTATAAAAACATTTTTTTATTCTGCAGATAAGTGAGAAAAATTTCACAAGGATCTAAGAATAACTACAGAAAAATTAGCTCATCGAAATAACACACAAAAAAAAATCTTAAAATGTACGAAAAAAATTTGCAAAAAAAAAAGGTAAGCAATTAGAGAAAATGTTTAAGAATAAAGATTTTAGAGTGTCTCGCCCATGGGTTTAATAATTATCTCGTGTACTTGGACATGTGGGGGCGTGGCAACGGCATAGAGGACAGCCTGGGAAATGTCCTCTGAACGAAGCATGCGTCCGCTGATGGCATCCCGTATGCTATCCGGTAGAATTTCCGTGTCCACCACACCAGGACTAATGCTCTATAGGAGGACAAGAGGATAAAATAAATATAGTAAGCTATAGAGATGGCAACGGATGATGGGGTGGAGGAGGACCCACAGTAATTTTGATGCGTGTTCCCAGGGCCAGGAACTCCTGGCGATAGCCCTCTGTCAGGGCAGTCACCGCATGCTTGCTGGGCGGATAGACATTCACATCGGGCAGGACGTCCTCCTTGGCGGTCATGGTCTTGTGCCCCAAGATGCTGTTGATGATTACCACATGGCCATCGAATTTGCGCTCTCGCATTGAGCGGACAGCGCGCTGTGTGCAGAGGACAACGCCCATGATATTCGTCTGGATAACCTGCTGCATAAGCGCTGGATTCATGTCCACCAACTGGCCCGACTGCAGAGTGCCGGCATTGTTCACGAGTATATCGATGGCACCGAACTTCTGGATTATCCAGTCGAAGGCCTCCGTCACCGAACTCTCGCTGCCCACATCACAGTACAGGGCTACCAGTTTGTCCTTGCGGCCGGCGGGCAGGCGCTGCTGCAGCTCCTTGACGCGCTCTACGCGACGCGCCAGTCCAACGACCGTTAGTCCCGCTTTGACCAGGTCCACAGCAATGGCCGATCCAATGCCCGAACTGGCACCCGTTACGACGGCCACGCGATTTTGCCAACGATCCATGTTGTTTCCCGGTTAGCGACTATTTCTGATCTCTGATCGAATGGTAGCTGCGTCTCCTTTTATAACACCCTGAGGTTGCGTGTGGGCACCCACCACCACCAGTAATTTCTCTGTCTAAACGGGTTCTAACCGCTGGCCATACTAAGTTATAATTACGACGGTGGAGGCGGGGGGGTCTAGTCAAGCGTGTCTAGTCGATGAGAATTTGCCAACTCAGGGCTCTGGCCACTACTGGGGGAAACGTGCAGTGGCAGTGACTGCTGCTGGCAACGAAAAGAGTACTAGAACTGATTTAAAAAAACATCTGCTGGAGTGATCATATGAATGAATATGAAACGTGAACGAGTAGTTGTACGAGGCGGCTACTTTACTTAATTCAACCTTTGCTGGCTGTTTCGTGTTGAAGCTTAGAGAGGATGTTTGCTAATTAGGGTACTCCGAAAACGAGCTGTATTTTCTTGAAGTTCTCAATGAATAGTTCGCGTTTGCCTCCGTAGCAATTTTGTGGGACATCAATCATCAATTACAGTCATCTCCAGACATCTAAATTTAGAATGTACTTTTAATATTAGTTTTCAGATTCATAAGACTTATTCAATTAATTTCCATGGCATTATCTTGATAAGTGCACTTGCCCAAAGCCATCTGTCCACACGCTCTTTTCAGCCTGTTGAGTGTTGAAGATTACTATGGTCAGACCTTTAATAGCCTGATTAACAAACAATATAACTTTTATACAAACATCAGAATAATGACATGTCAATTAGCCCGATGTTTCTTAATCGGAAATTATATGAATCTCCGCTCCCCAGTTGCCATTCCCATTCCCATTCCCATTGCCCATTCCAATCTTTTATTGAAAACACAAAACGTATTAATTGATTGATACTTTTTATAACTTTTTATTTGATTTTCTTTACAATTTGGTGGTACTGCTATCGTGCAGCATCCTTTTTTTGGGGTGGGGGGGGGGCGTCTACCAGAAGCCACCTTTGCCGCCGCCCTGTCCCTGCATGCCACCGCCGTAGCTCATGCCCATATCCATCCCGTTGTAGGCACAGAAGGCTTCACCGTTCTCGATGCACGGCTCGTACGATCCCTGGGCCTGGCTCTGAGCAAAGAAAGTGTTCGGCACCGGACAGGTGAGAGGGGAGCTCATGGAGCTGTAGTCTCCCATGCCCATCATACTCTGCATGGGCATGGAATTCTGCCCCGCCATTGAAGCTCCTCCCATACCAGGATACTGCTGCTGCTGCGGCTGCGGCTGCATGCCTCCTCCTCCGCAAAGGTTCATGGAACTCACATGATTCGGGGCCTGGGTCTGGGCCGGGACGGCAGGCGGGGCCTGGGTGTGCGTCTGAATGGGAGCCGCCTGCGAGTGGCCACTAGAGGGCCACTGTCCACCGCTGTAGCAAGATGCATTCGGCTGCATCAGGTCTCCCACTTGAGGGTACAGGGGTGCGTTCACGGGCTGTCCGTTCCAGAATGAGAAGTTTGCCATTTTGGTGCCGCACGAAGGTTTTTTTTTCTAGAATTTCGTTACAAAAATTATTTTAAATAAAATTTTTTTTTGGGATAATTTTTGTTTTTGCTTTTATGCACAAAATTTTGTTCAGCCGAATGATGTGAACAGTTCGAAAGTAAGATTAAAACTGAGGAAAACCACAGGAATATTTCCCAACTCATTTGACATTTGCCTTTGCCAGCTTCATGGCTGCCTTTATGCATGAAATTTCGAGTCACATTTTATGCCAAGCATGTAGTCCTTAATGTCAAAAACGTATCGTACAATCAAGCAGGGCGTTTGAATAGATTGAATGAAGCAGTGCTTATTAACCCTTCAGTAAAGCATTAATGTGATTTGGTCTATAAACATTTCAGGCAATATTTTTTATTAATATGACCACAAATAATAACCAAAATAAATTCCATGGTATGTATTTTAATTAAGATTACGTTTAATTAAGTATACGCTAATTCTGAAGTGAAATTTTGTAGATCGAAGCCATGCTGTTTAATTTACAGTTCAGCTATTCAAATTGCTGGATTATTTATTTACTTTGAGACTTAAAATTAAAAGTAGAAGAAATTCGCTATGGACCTCAGTCCGTGATGGTTAACTTAACAATTTATTGGCTTCAGCTCAGAAAAAAATTTTTAATATTTGAGAGCTTCCGTAAATAAAGAAAACAGCTTTATATAACTATCAAACTTCTTCTAAAATGTAGAAGAATATTAACATTTTTAGAAGCCCTCTCTTTGAATATGATATACTTTTTCTGAATCTATTATATTTAAATTCAATTTTGAGCGTACAAATTTTGAGCGAATGGCCTCACAGTGGACCAAATATGTATCCCATAATGGGCATAAAGTTTCCCCGCTCGGCTCCGCTCTGCGTTTTAATTCAGGTCAGTCCATGTTATTTAGCATACAATTTAATACAGTGATAAATGACATTTCTTTTCATTTTCATCTGTGTTTATTTTTATTTTTATTCGTTTCGTTGTCTTGGGGCGACGCTGCTGCTTAGCCTTGCCTTGTCCGAATCGGGGGCGCCCTTGCTGGGTTGGGCGGGGCGGTGTGGTTCTGGCGTTTGTGTTAATTTTTAAAAAGGACGCCAACTGTCATGGATGCAGCGTGGATGTTAATGATGAAGACGTGGCAAGAAACGTTTGTCCCACCCAAGGGTAGCCGTCGGGTATAATGGTCTCCAGCAGCAGCTGGGTAAAGGAAAAGTGACTTAAAATACCTAACAGCAGCAATCCGGATTAGTTTCCAGTAGAAGATCACATTTATACAGGATAATGTTATGGTGCAACAATGGATTAAACAAAACAAAAAACTGTCCTTTGCAGTAGATATGCGCATGGGCTACGTACTCGTGTCACATCGCAATTGTTCAAGTTAGGATCGAATATCTGTGAAATAAAACGATTGCGATCGATTGTTGCAATGAGTTCCTCGCATTTGATTTTGGGAGGAAACAATGAAATAGTTTAGAATATGTGCTATAGTTTATGGAGGAGTGGATGTGTCCTCTTTTTCCACCCAAATATTTGTATCGAAATCTCCAACGTTATATAATAAGTGAGCCATAATCCAAAGGTTTTTCCTATATACAATGGGGCTTCGGGCTTTGTGGCGCATACTGGGCCGTGCTGTAAGAGCCGTTACAGTGCCAGTGCCCGCTTCCATCTCTAGGGCATAAAGCATAATATCAAAACACTTGAACTGAGTGGAAACGAAGGCGAAAAGCGAAGCAGAGCCGGCAGCAGAACAACAGCTAGCAGAAGACAGCAGGAACAAGAATAAGAACGGACAGAAACAGCAGCAGGCAGCTGATGTGTATGAAGCTGGAGAAAGATACAAAGATACAAAAAAAAAGGAAAAAAAAGAGCGCCACATGGCAGGTGGTGGGGGTGTTGATAATGATGGCAAAGACAAAAGCCCCACCCATGGCTAATGGGACACAGACTGACAGAGGGGGTGAGGGGCGGTCTATCCGGCTGTCATGCCCATGTCCTTGACGCGGATTGCAGTGGCGACGCCCTCGCCTCCGTCTCCGTCGTAGTTAAATTGCCTGTCCTCGGCCGGCGTCAGCATTGTGTCATTGCTAGTATTAAATCAGACCCAAACAAATGATGATGCATAAGTACGACACAAGTTGTACAGACATATTTACATATTTACGTAAATTGTACATTTGTATGTATGTATTTTAAGACCCACTAGGAAAAGCACACGGAAAAGATTCACTGGAAGAACGGATGCTTCGTAGGCAAAGGGTGCGATAAAAATAAAAAACATTAAAATCTAAACGAATAAAATATAATATATAAGCACCGCATAAAGTAAGCTGCAATTCGTAACAAATCGATGGAGCGTTATCGATTCCAGCGTAACGTTAATGCCACTCACCACCCTATGATCAGATATCTTAGGCACTGGGATATCGCTAAGCCAGTAGTACTTACCTCCCCACAAACATTCTCTGAGATTGAAATTTAGGGCAAATGCAATGCAGACAGCCCACATAAACTACATACATATACATATGTAGAATTTTATGGACATTGTGCAGCTGGAGAAGATATTGGACCATATTTGATGCTATCAATGTAACAGTTTATACACAAGTTTTAGCAGTCTTCCACATAATTATCTAAAAATGTATGAGTATTAATAGTAGTAGTAGTAGTAATAGTGTGGGGTACTACCAGTTTCTTCCCTGCATAAAAACAACAATAAAATCTTTAAAAGCTGAACTAAAGGAATTTCTGAACCTACCCAGCAGTTCTGCGGACTAGCCCTTGCCTAGCTATCTGACTAGCCCAGCCGGTCCGTCACTGGCCCGTAGACTAGCCCGACTATATGCAAAATCCTATACCATTTTCTCATTGCATGTCATTGGGGTTGATGTGTCGGCAGGCATTGCATCAGCGTAGTCTAGACCACTGGCTAGGCTGGGTAGACCGACCATGGACTGGACCACCTGGCCTAGACACCGGGCTAGGCTGAGTATACCAGACCATGGACTGGCCCACGTTGCCTAGACCACTGGCTACGCTGAATATACCAGACTATGGACTGTTACACGTTACCTAGACAACGGCTAGGCTGGCTGAGTGGCGAATAGTCTAGGCTCAATAGGCTTAAATCTAAATCTCAATAACTATTAACTGCAAATAATAAATAAAAGCGAAAAAACCTTTCAGTGGCGAAAAAAATAAAACAAATTCCTTCCTGGCTTAAATCTAAATCTTAATAACTATTGACAATTATGCGTAGCTTTTTTTTATTATTTTTTGAAATCACCTGCTTCTTTTGCAGGCTCTCCCATTTCAATTGATGCTGAAAATATATTTGAAGAATTATTTTAAATATTGTTATTTAAGATTGGATTTAACTTATTACTTACGATGATCGCAGAGTAAAAATGTTCAAGAGACTTAAGACACCTCTTGCCTAGCACCCCATCCACATTGCAGTCAAAGCCAACCCCGTCAGTGAAAATATTTTTTAAATTTTGACCAACTGAGCCAACTGAGGCATTGATCTGTTAAAAATATTTTGTTAGTTATATTAGATAAGTTAGACATATGTACTATCAACAATACGTACGTATTCGTCACGATTACCCTTCCCAATTTAAAACTACACCGATAGAAAAAAGCACTGAAATTTTAATATTTTCACTTAGATTTTAATATTTATGCCATTGATTTTCATCCAAGAGTGGTTGTATTCATATTGAATATTTTTCACTTACATTTTGATATAAATATGAAAATATTTAAATTTAATATGTTTCATATTTAAATTTAATATGTTTCTTATTTAAATGTAATATGCTTAATATTTAAATCTAATATGTTTCATATTTAATTTAAAAATATTTTATGCTTAAATTTAATATTGTTGATATTTATATTGAGTAATTTTTAATTCTTGAACTAATTGGTTATTATTTTGCCTATGCGGACTACATTTCAAGTCCTCATGGTGTGAATTGGTGAAAGTTTTCAACTAGAAATAATCGCAACATAAGTAGAACTGCATTGGTTGTGATTCAAGGCGGCAGCAGATTGAACCAGTTGGGAATTCGAGGGACATAAAAAAAATATAAACATAGCTAAAATAAATACAAAAAATATTTATTTTTATTTAATATGGAATATTTAAAATAAAAAGTTTTTCCTTTTGATTTTAAAACAATTTTGAAATCAAGTCATGTTCATATTCAATTTAAATATAAAACATATTAAACTACAAATTTAATATATTATATTTATTTTAAAGTGATTTGTATTAAGATTAAATATGACCGTATTAAAAATGCCATTTTAATACAATTACATTTTAATCAAAGCGAATTCTATTTAATTTTACTATGTTTGGATTTAAAAATCGCATTTTAAATTCAAATATGATTGTAGTTATTTTTACTATGCCTTTTTTCTATCAATGTATAGTTAACTATAATAACTATAGTTAATAATGCAATTTAAATGTTTCTATAGTCGTTGTTTGGGGCGCAAAGCCTTACCTGCAGCAGCTTCTGGTTACCAAGTTTTCGAGATAAGCCGTTCTGTATTTTCTTCTCTATTTTGATGTCCCTTTGCTAAGTTGCGACTAGGAGTCATAGGAGTCAAGCAAGAGCAAGAAGAAAAACACTCGATAGTGTCATTTGATGGGAAGTTCGGTTACTTTTGAGCTATGGCTTAGCTGGCCTAAGCCTCTCGCTCTCGTAACAGGTTCAAGCGATCAACTGGGGGCCGGCCGGACTCTAATGACTCCGGCTTGGCCTAATCACTCCGCTTCAGAGAACTTTAACGGAAGTGGTGCGGCGCATAGGAAGTGGAGCGGGGACGGGGGCAGGTTCGTGGGCAACTTGGGCAATGTCCAGCTGCAGGCAGAGCTAAAGAAAGAGAGAGGAAGGAAGGGAGGGACTGCCTGCCGTCTTACCGCATCACATAGCCCTGCCAATTTATTTAATATGCCGTACGTGAGCTTCCGCCGCTTCGTTTATGCGGCTCTGCCCCTCCGCCTACTCAGACTCATCCTCTCTTTCTGGTCCACCTCCACTATGCTTCTGGCCTTGTCTCTGCTACTGTGTATGTGTGTGTATGTTTTTTTTTGCACTTT